TTTAGTACCTTATAGCCTTTTATTTAAAGATAATATAACTATCTAAACTTAACTATAAGGTCTAAGATAAAGAACTCTTAGCTATTATTCGCGCTTTATAGGAATAGAGACTAGAGCTTAAAGGATTAGCCTAAAAGGATTAGTTTAAAATCTTAATAGACTACTAGTCCTTAGAATACTTTATAATAACTTAGTAAATAAACTAATAGTAGGTATAATAGAGCGAATTCCTATTATAATTCTACTTTATAATTAAGTATTAACCTAGTAAGAAAAATACTATTACTAATACCCTATTAAGAAAGGAAACCCTTTATATTAATAATAGTTAAAGCTTTATAATACTACTAAAATTATACCTAGAAGAAAGGGTAATACTAGCTTATTTAGCTCTTATATAATCTAATAAAGTAGAGATTATTAAACGTATCTATATATCTAACTATTAAAACTTAGAACTAAATAACGTATTCGGTAAGCGAGCTGGCCATGTAAGCCAGCTGGCCACCCCAAAACACATAGTAAAAGCGATAAATTACAACTTGGTATCTCAACAACCATTATTTTATTTTATCCCCTTATTTCACAATAGTCATTGATAAGTCTAATTAGCGTTCTATCTCAATTTCGAAAACAGCAAAAGGTTATATTATAGTCGTTTCAAAAATTACCGAAAATTACGTTGCCAAAATCTGGATATCTATATACCGCAAGCATAAAGTCTCAAACTTTCCTCAAACTTCCTATAGGTACTAGATATCACCTTAGAAGCATATATCGATAAGGAAAGCCCTATATAGTATACCGTTGTTTAGATACTAAGTTGTAATTTATCGCTTTTACTATGAGTTTTGGGGTGGCCAGCTGGCTTACATGGCCAGCTCGCTTACCGAATACGTTAAGCTTTACTAGTTAGTTTAATTAGGAGGTAACCTAAAGTAGATAATATAGGATAGGTTACTATTTTATAAGGAGCGACTTAAGGTATTTAATAAGAGGGACCTCTGTACTTAACTACTTAATAAAATATACTAATAGCCTTTAATAACTTACCTTAGGATTAAGAAGATAAAGAAGCTAGTTATAGAAAGATATTACTAGTATAGGTAAATAACTAATATAAGGTAATATATTAATAATTACTTAGTTTATAAGTATATAAAGGCTTAGAGGGATTATATACTTAGATTACTATAACTACTACTAATTCTAAAGAGACCTTAGTAATACCTTTTAATAAACTTCTATTCTTTCCTAAAAGATTATTATAGATATAATATAGTACTTATAATTATAAATTATTTAAATAAAAGACTAATATTAATCCTCTATAAGAAAGAAATAAAGGCTAAGTAAATAGCTTACCTATTTATTAACTATATAATTTAGATTTTAGGGATTCTAAAGATAATTATATTAAACTAAGGTAGATAGTTTATATTAAAGTTTTAAGCTAAATTCTATAGAATCTTTAGAATTAGAAGGAAATTATTAATAGTATACTACCCCTAAATAGATAGATAGAGTAAGACTACTAACTAGTATATAGCTTAATAGCTATATCTATATATAGAATATAATTAAAATAACTAGTTAGAGTTACTCTTAATAGTCGATTTTATAATATCGATTCTACCTTAAGATATAATAAAGAAATTACCCTTCTTTATAAAATAAGGGTATAAATTAGTAATAATATTCGACTAGAAAGACTAAGGGAGAGTTATATTAAATAAAGAGGAAGTAGTATAGATACTTTCTTAGCTATAAAATATCTAGTTATAAACTAAAGAGTAAATTATAAAGTTATAGTAGTTATAAATTTAATAAGTAAATAAATATTAGAGGGAAGAAGACTTTAGAGTAGGAGACTTAGTTTTTATTATAATAAAAGACTAGCTTTTAAATTAGCTAAGTAAAAAGCTATCCTACCTTACTAATAGACCTTATAAGATTATTAAGAAAGTAAGTAATTCCTATAAGTTAGAACTACCTAAAGTAATTTAAGTATACCCTATTTTCTATTTAAGTAAATTATAGAAAGTAGTAATAATAGAACCCCTAGAAAGTTAATATATAGATCTACCTCCGCTAATATAGATTAGAGAGATAGATAAATAGGAGGTTAAGAAAATCTTAGATACTAGGACGTACTACCGGAAGCTATAATATAGGGTATAATAGTTAGGATACGACCTAGATCTATAATAGTATCTTACTAGTAATATAAAATATATACCGAGAAAGATATAGGAGTTCTATATATAATACCTAGATAAGCTAGGACCCCTTATATATATCTAGGAATAGCTAGATACTAATAAAGAAGATCGAATTCTCGAAGATTATATTAACGATAATAAGCTAGTATTTAAGGACTGAATATAGTTTTAGGTAGGGGTTATATAACGATCTAATCTAAGATACTTCTACCAGCTTCCCTTTAGTAGGAATTTTTAACCCTAGTTAGAAACTAATTATAAAAGAATCTTTAACCGCGGTTAGAAGGATTCTACTAGTGGATCCCGACTTCGGTTAGGATAGAAGGATAGGAAGTTTATATGGTTTGTTGTTATGGTTTGCTGAGGCCCTACAAAAGGCTTTAGAGACTCGATTCTTTCTTCTTTCTTTCCTTTCCTTTTCTGTACTCAGTATTTTAGTTGGAATGCACTCTTCTCTTTGAAAAAACTGGCTGGTAACAATAAGTAGAGGACGAGATATCGCGGAAAGTATAAATTTTGATATTTTGATATTAGATATATATTTTTAATATAGATAGGAGTACCACTACTTTCTAGTAAACCTCTGTAATTTATCAAATTTCTTTATAAACGCGCTTTATCGCGTTTTAAAACGTGATTTTAAGAATTAACTAATAATAAGCTCTAAAACATTTATATAAATAGAATATTACCTTAGGGATAAGGCTTAGAAACGTAGGTAAAACGAAGCGTAATTAAAAAGAGAGAAAAGGGAGGGTTCAACTTTACTTAGCACCTAAATTCTTAGTATATTTGTACTATTTAGGGCCCATTGGCCCCCACTAAAGCCCAGTGGGCTTCTACCCTAGGCATATAGCCCACCGTGGGCCCAAGGACCGGGCCCAAAGCCCAGCCCATTTGCGGGTTGGGTTGGGTTGGGCCCTGGGCTTTATGGGCTGGTGCGGAGGTCTAGTTATATAGGTCACGTTTTTCTATATGTTTGCACTGTTTACAGTCCTGTGGGAGTCCTATCAAAGTCCTATAGGAGCGGACTGGACCCCTTAGTCCTATTCTTGGCACTCCTATGGGAGTTGGCAAGGTCTACTTGGACTAAGCCCTTGAAATTGGGCCACGGGCTCAATATCCCGATATAACGTATTCGGTAAGCGAGCTGGCCATGTAAGCCAGCTGGCCACCCCAAAACACATAGTAAAAGCGATAAATTACAACTTGGTATCTCAACAACCATTATTTTATTTTATCCCCTTATTTCACGATAGTCATTGATAAGTCTAATTAACGTTCTATATCAATTTCGAAAACAGCAAAAGGTTATATTATAGTCGTTTCAAAAATTACCGAAAATTACGTTGCCAAAATCTGGATATCTATATACCGCAAGCATAAAGTCTCAAACTTTCCTCAAACTTCCTATAGGTGCTAGATATCACCTTAGAAGCATATATCGATAAGGAAAGCTCCATATAGTCTATCGTTGTTAATATACCAAGTTGTAATTTATCGCTTTTACTATGTGTTTTGGGGTGGCCAGCTGGCTTACATGGCCAGCTCGCTTACCGAATACGTTATTCCAGGCTCTGAAGTGCAGGGGAGGTAGTCTTGTAAGTTCCCGCATCTAAGGGGGGAAGCGGTACTTGTATGTATATTTTGTTTCGCACAGATAGAGGGTTTATAAGCCCCAAAAGGAAATGAAGCATTTTTTTCTCTATACAAGTTATAAAGTATTAATTTTTTTCCCTTCTAAACTCCCACAAATATGGACATACTATAACAAGAATAGTCGGCAGTATAAGCGGCCCCATGTCTTTGAGGTGCGTTCTCAGAAACCATCATGTTTAATTTTAGTTTTAATTCCTCTACCAGTTCTAATTTAGGCCCGAAGGTTACAACTAGGAACTAAGGTATTAGTATTTACTAGAAATGGGGGTTTGGCAGCTGGCGCCTATGTCGCTGCATAGTTGTACCTAGGGCTAGATTGATCACATGCATAGTTAGTCATTTACCGTTCCCCGCTACCTGGGGTCTATTGGCACCTCTTCATTTTCAAAATTCCAGTTGCAGTATATTAAAAATACATCCCTTGAATGAGATATACAAGAAGTAGTTAGGGTGTTCCGTATACGTTTTGGTTTTGACGTAGAGTTTAATAAATAGCATAGACTAGATATGGGCTTCTATGTACGATATATGAAGGAAGTAAAAAGTAAACTGGAATTTCCTAGAACTGGTATAAGTACTATAATTGAATATGTCGGAGGGGATCCATGGATACTACCATGGATACTAATATACCTTAATGTCTTTCTAATCTTTCTCCCTCGGGATATCCGGCAGACTCTCTCGGAGTGGCGTGGCAAGCTGAAAAGGCTTAGTCAACCAATCAGATTGGCTGATATTCATCTTACCCTCGGCCTCTTCATTCCCTCAAATTCCACTTTAGATCTTCCTTTCTAATCATTCCTCTTTTATCTCTTTCAAATATGTCTTTCTCAAATTTGGTTTCCGACATTGCCTTTCGTGATGCCCGCGTGGATGATGGCAGCTCGCAAATCTCTCATGCTCGATCTCACCGGTCTCACGCGACCGCTCGGTCATATGCCAGCACTACAGCCACAAGTGTCAGCATATCTGGCGAAGTTTCCAGCCAGCTACATTCTGGATATAGCCATCCCCTGACTAGAGTATGGCAGGCCGATAGGCAATTGACAAAGGTCCGCCCTCAATGGTGTTATGAGACACATACATTACTCATCGCTAATACACCTGTCGCGGTAGGATATGCTCATTTATCCGTTGTTCGTCACAGACAATCCTGACGAGGAGACTTTAATTCCTTCCTTGCCAAACCAATACCGTCGTGGAATTAATCGCCTGGTCCCCTTTCTTGCCCCCCTTGTTCGGAAGGGACTGCGCTCGGTAATGCTGTTTGGTGTTCCGCTTCACCCGTCCGCCAAAGATGCACTCGGAACAGCCGCAGATGACCCCGATGGTCCTGTGATCCAAGCTATCCGTCTTTTACGATCCCGTTTTCCTCAACTTTATATCACGACCGATGTATGCCTCTGTGAGTATACGTCGCACGGCCACTGTGGTATCCTACGAGAAGACGGGACTCTCGACAATGCGCAATCCGTTGACCGGATCTCCGATGTAGCTATCGCTTACGCGGCGGCTGGAGCTCACTGCGTGGCCCCGTCAGACATGAACGATGGTAGAATCCGAGCTATCAAGCTCAAGTTGATTGAAGCTGGTGTGGCACATCGCGTACTTTTGATGTCTTACAGCGCCAAATTCAGTGGCTGCTTATATGGACCGTTCCGTGATGCAGCTGGCTCCTGCCCCTCATTCGGGGATCGTCGGTGCTACCAGCTTCCGCCAGGCGGCCGTGGTCTTGCCCGGCGTGCCATACAGCGAGACATGGCGGAAGGTGCAGATATTATCATGGTGAAGCCAGCTAGCAGCTACCTTGATATTATCCGGGACGCCAAGGATTTGGCACCAGATCTTCCAGTGGCCGCCTACCAGGTCAGCGGCGAATTTGCGATGATCCACGCCGCTGCCAAGGCCGGTGTGTTCAACCTGAAGGATATGGCCTTCGAAAGCACCGAAGGCATATTGAGAGCAGGCGCTGGCATTGTGATCAGTTATTTCGTCCCAGAATTCCTCGACTGGCTTTAATTCATTCAACCAGCTATTCTCTCGTTCGCTATACTTCTCCACTCCAAAAGTGTGATTTTCGGGCCTTTCATTTTGCGAGTGATTACCATGACTACATTTCTACATCTGACTCCTATCTATCACGGGCCCTGATGTATTGAACATAAATTGTCACTTGAACGTGGATAGATTTCCCTTATGTCATATGATGTTTTCCATTTACTTGCTAACGATTACCCCTTATTACAATGTTATTAATTTTTTTTTTCGATCCTTTTCAGAGTAGTATATCTGCTCTCTAGTAATTGACATGGGGAATTCTGTAGCAGAATCGAGATGGAATTGAGGTAAATAATGCAGAAACATTGTGTATAGACTGCAAGATGACACCTGGTTCGCCGAGAGGGAACGAACGCTAATAACATACAAAATTGAAGAAAAAAAACCATTCGTCAGCGACAGTGGATATCAAAACAAGATAGAAAAAATAGAAAAAAAAAACATCAAAACATCAAATCAAACAAAACTAGAAGAAAGCCACGGGCAGTCATAATTTTGCGCCCTTACATATAGGGCATTGGTACGTAGCGGAAGGTCGTGCGGCATTTCCACATACAAAATCAATAAACGTCACTTCGTTCACATAAAGCTGGGTTTTGACCCCTGAAACATGTAACCAGCAATGTTCGCGTTGACAATCTCTCCTGGGGCCACATAAACGCCTCGAGCAAGACGAACCCCTGGGTAGATGATGCACCCTGCGCCCACATAACAATCTTCTTCGATGATGACCTGACGACCTTGATACCGACTTTGTGAACCTTTGCGCTCCTGCATGTTGGGATGAGCAGTCGAACTAATTATTTTGACGTTGGGGCCTATCCATGTGTGAGCACCAATGCGGATAACACAGTCATCCACAAACAAGCAATTCTCCGAGATCATGACGTCTTCCCCGATGTGGATATTGTAACCATAATGACAACTAAAAGGAGCCTCGACGACTGCCCCTTGGCCGATGGATCCGGCAGAGCGAGACACTCCGGTTCCAGGGGAGTTAGTGATGGAACCTGCCGGGGGTACGATGATCTCCTTCAGGAGGCGGTTTTGCTCTTTCGAGCTAATGCCGGTAAGGGGATTGCAGGCGTTGTTAAATTTCCATAGTGCGCCGCGGCAACGATCCCTTTCTTCCACTAGGTGGACGTCGAATGGTCGGTAAAGTTTGCCTCTAATCATCTTTTCCTTCTCGGTTTCGTCACTCGAGACGGTCCGGCTAGAGAGCTGATGCTCGATGCTAAGTGCCATCCGAGCCTGCGCCTGGGGACTATGGGTGTCCACAGCCGCCGCGGGTAATGTTCGTTGCTCGGGCCCATTTTGGAACAAGGGCATATTCGGTTTAGGATGAGATGGATGACTGAGGTCCCGAAGTGAAGAGATGACCGGATAGTCAGGCTTGGGACGTCCTTCTCGCGATAGCTCATGGATAGGCGGAACTTCCCGATAATCAACTACTTTCGCCATAGGTTCGGATGGATAGGACGGATGACCGGTGTTGGGCCCTGGTCCTGGGCCGGCACCTGGCCAAGTTTGTTTTGACCATGCATGATTGGATGGTGTATGTGTTGGGCTGGTGTTGTATTGTTGAATAGGGCGGTCAGCCTCCTCCACCAGAGGCCTGATTTTTGTCGCGTCGACATGCTCCACTGGGTTAGGTGGTCGCTCTTGATGCCGAGGTGTTTCTTGAATATATGGGCCATTGATGTCTGAATAACCTTCTTTGGATTGTAAAGGGATCGGAGTTTTTGTACTAGATGGCTTTTGCCAGGTGCTTCGGGATGAATATCCTTCACACAGGAAGCCTCCACGAAGACAGTTGTTGCCTACATCGCATCATTAATGTCGCTCTTTCGATTGGATTTGGACCAGAAATAATTTATAAAGAAAAAAAAAGAAAAAGAAAAACGAGGGGAGCTAGAGCTAGTAGGAGTGGACTTACATGCCGGATGTTGCTCGTCGCATTTCTTTTTTCTGCGGCGACAGGTCATACAACCCGTCTTCGTTCGGTTACTAAATACCCGCTTCCTCTTAGGAGCTACCTGCATTGCCCCATGTCGTTCTGGCGCATAACCAGGAGAGGATGGCTGTTGAGTGCCGGGGGTGGAGCGATTTGTCATGGACCTTTCTTGGCCTGCGTCGCGTTGAAGAGCGTCCGCTAGGTGGGCATCCGATGCATCCATTTGCTGGGCTCGTTGTGCCTGGGTGACCAGGTGAGAATCATATTCTGACCAAGGACTATTGGCGGAGGTCTGGCCGGCATCATTGCCCTCAGACCGGTGAGATGGTGTTGCAGAATGATTACCACGCTCCATCTCCGAGACCGAACCTTGCATACTGCCATTCGGATTGGGTTGGTTGGTCTCAGGACGGTTCACCGGGCTCCTGGAGGCGTTCCCAACTTCAGGATTCGGAGAATCTTGTTCTCGAGACTCCGATCTCTTTCTCTTATTATTGTTAGAGCTGGGTGAGGATCTTTGTGACCGCTTTGGATCATTGGCAGGATCATCCCGGTCTGCTCGTTGACTAGGATCTAAGTTCTTTTCCTGGGCCTGTGCTCGTTCTCCATTGGGGATAGAACTAGGCGTTGGCCCATGTCCATTCCCATTCCCAGGAATCACGGGGTCTCTGCCATTGACTGCGGTGAATCGGGATGGGCTATGCTCTGTGCCCGTTTCAGCCCCAGAGTCTTGACCATTCACAGGTGCAGCAGCAATGGCCGTCATCATAGAGGCCAAGAAACAAAGTAAGGGAGAAGCCCGGATACCACAAAGAATAGGGCTGAGGTTACACCGAGTGCAAGAGACTATTCAAGTATATGGTGAATGTAGGCAAGTTGCAAGTCAATTGCCAAGAAATTCCCCAAATCTGAATAATCTCAAAGAGAAGAGAAAGTTTTCAAAAGTTGAATACTTTCTAATATCCCAAAGCTCTTTGTTGGCATGGAATTTGCAAGTTAATGTCGGGTGGGGCGAGGAGATCGGGAGATTATCAGAGGAGATAGTATACAAGATGTTGAAAAAGAGCAACCTTGGAAGGGAATACAGGTTTTGTCTTTCTCTCTTTCTTTTTAAAGAAAAAAAAAAGAACCAAAAGAAATCATAAAAAGAGTAATAAAATTCTCAAATATAAGAGAGAAAAAAAAAGAGAGAGAGAGAGAGAGAGAGAGGAAGCCGAAGGAGACAGAAAATGGGGGTAGAAGAGAGAGAGAGAGGGGGAGGAAGAGAATAAAAGAGAAGAAGAAAACACCGAGCTAGGACCCTTTCTCTCTCTCTCTCTCTTTTTCCTGAGAAAAGTACAAAATAAATAAAAATAAAAATAAAAAGAGTAATCTTTCTAAAAAACTAGAGAGAAAAAAAGAGGGAAAGGGGAAGTTGGCGCGCGATCGGCAATGACGGCGTCACAGGCAGCACCAATCGGAGAAGCGATCAACCGTGTCCTAGTGAGGCGCGGGTCTGAGACATTTCCCATCCGCTTACTCTTTGCTGCGCGCGTTCCCAGTTTTTTTTTTCCCTTTCCTTTTTACCTTGGCGCCCGTGTACGCCGTATCCCGCGTTCCCGCGCATAATGGCGGTTATGCGCTTAAAGAGGTTTCGACATTTTTATTAATTTTTGGGAGAGGGATATATAATATATGTATATATATGTATATTTAATTTCTATTTTATTCTTTTATTTTTTATTCCCTTTTTATTCTTCCTTCCCCCCAAAAGGAGTTTTCATGGATCTGGCGCCCATCTCGGGAATTATTTGATGACTGCAGCGTGCCGCGGCGCTAGGACCAAGGAACTAAAATCACTAGAGGAGTCGGCTGAGCACGGATACCTCTCATGGCGCTGTGAGTTTAGACGACTTTTTCTTTTAATCAAGTACAGGAGTATACATATATATTTAAATAAAGAGTATATATAATATTCCGTCTTCTATTTTATCTAAGGATTAATATTACCTTGAGATATTATCAACATTTATATATGAACTTTGGAACTATTCGTAGCTGATTCAGCCCAACTCTGACAATTCCATCACTATCACTATCACGTTTCTCACACCTATCATAAATTATGAAAAGTAAAAAAAAGGCATATATATAATTAATGATACCCAATGGAATATAAATGTGTAGTTGTGTACTCCGTATTCCGTATTTCGTGGGTAATAGATGTCCCCAGAGAAAGCTTGTGCTGACTAAGACATCAAGCAGAGCCAGATCAAGTTCAAACATTCAACGCGCTCTCACCGCCAGAGTCTGCGATAGCTTCCTTTTTTTGACCCCCAATTTCATTCCTTTTTTTTTGTCTTCAAGAGTCTGGTAAGTCTTGACCTGGACTCAACCCCCCATCTCTCTCTCCTTAATACCCCCCCGTCCAATCATTTCTCGTCCTGACATCGTGCTGACCCCTCACCCCTCCAAAGGATCTCTACCCCACCGATCATAACTTGCTTCTCATATTCCCCTCGATTATTCGATACTGCCCTGCAGCCGCCCTGGCACCCCATATCATATCCAGGCGGTTCCCCATCAATACCCACTTTGGACTCTCGTGTCTTGAACCCCATTCCGTCATCAGAGGCGATATCGCCAGCCTTCGCCGGGATGTCGATTTCGGTACAAGAGCTGGACAACACAGTCCGAGCTTTGTTTGAAGGCAAAGGTGCCGTGGTAAGTTGAACAGTCTGCTCTACTCTGCTTGGATTGGAGAATTTTTAGATCCTCCATATCCATCAGTGAAAGCTCCGGGGCAACACTAACATTCTATAACACCTAGCAAAACCAAGCACAGCAGACTTTGACAGAAGTAAGCGCGCAAACCTTCGGAACCTTATATGAACTGAAAGCTAATCACTCCTTCTCTCCAGTTCAAACAAAATCCGGATGCCTGGGTCACCGTGGGCAACATCCTTCAAGAGGCTTCATACCTCCAAACCAAATGTGTGTTTTGAGTCTTTGGCAATCCCCCTGTGCCTTTAAATGCTCAGAAAAGACTTGCTGACCTTAATAGACATTGCTCTTCAAGTCTTAGACAATGTGATTATGACCCGGTGGAAGGTCCTACCAAGAGACCAATGCCAGGGTAAGAACTACAATAACCGAGTTTTGTCTCTCACCCATACTAAGAGTGTTCTTAGGTATCCGCAATTTTATTGTGAGATTCATTCTCGAGAACTCCGAATCCGAAGAGAAAATCCAATCGGAGCGCCCCCTGTTAAACAAACTTAACCTCGTGCTCGTCTCCATTCTGAAGCAAGAATGGCCGCACAACTGGCCCACATTCATCAACGAGATCATTTCCTCTTGCCATGCCAGCCTTTCGATCTGTGAAAACAACATGACAATTCTCCGTCTCTTGTCGGAGGAAGTCTTCGATTTTTCGCAAGATCAAATGACCTCTGCCAAGGCACGGAACTTGAAGACCTCCATGACATCGGAATTTGCCTCAATCTTCCAATTGTGCTCTGAGGTTCTCAACACTGCGAACCAGCCCAGCTTGGTGAAAGCGACTCTCGAAACCCTCCTTCGGTTTTTGAACTGGATCCCGTTGGGCTACATTTTCGAAACTCCCATCATCAACACTCTCCTCACCCGATTCCTCGGAGAGCCGGAGTTCCGAAATGTCACTTTAAAGTGTTTGACTGAGATCGGTGGCTTGCAAATTGGCTCTCCTTACAATTACGACGAACGATTGGTGCACATGTTCACCGAGACCCTCACCACCGTTTCCAACGTCATTCCCCTCTCCCTGGACTTGAAGCAGACATATGCTATGAGCAATGGAAGAGACCAAGAATTTGTATCAAACTTGGCCTTGTTCCTCTCTAGCTTTTTCAGTGCTCACCTGGATGTATGCTCCTCCTTTTCTTCAACGTCAACGTCTTTTTCTTGCTTTCTTTTTTTTGGCGTTTAGCTGACTCTGTGCTTTCTTCTCTAGCTCATCGAAAAGTTGCCCAACCAAGATTACCTCACGCACGCACATTTCTATCTGATTCGGATCAGCCAGATCGATGATCGAGAGGTGTTCAAGATTTGCTTGGACTACTGGACAAGGCTGGTACAGGAACTTTATGAAGAGATGCAGCAGCTCCCAATTACGGACATCAACCCGCTGGTATCCATGAGCGTCAGTGGGCTGGCGAACGGTGGCGCGCCTAATCCTACTACCCTAGCGAACTACCCCTTGCGCAAGCACAAGTACGAGACCGTGTTAACAAACCTTCGTACCGTGATGATCGAAAAGATGGTCCGCCCAGAAGAGGTCTTGGTTGTTGAAAACGACGAGGGTGAAATTGTGCGTGAGTTCGTTAAGGAGAGCGATACCATCCAGCTTTACAAGACGATACGCGAGTGCTTGGTCTACCTGACCCATCTTGATGTGGTCGATACAGAGACCATCATGATTGATAAACTTGCCAAACAAGTTGATGGAACTGAATGGTCGTGGGTGAACTGTAACACGCTGTGCTGGGCTATCGGTTCTATCTCTGGGGCCATGAACGAGGAAACCGAGAAACGTTTCCTGGTAACCGTAATCAAGGATCTCCTTGGTCTCACAGAGCAGAAGCGCGGAAAGGACAACAAAGCCGTGGTGGCGAGTAACATCATGTACATCGTGGGACAATACCCCCGGTTCTTGAAGGCTCACTGGAAGTTCCTGAAGACGGTCGTCAACAAGCTTTTCGAGTTTATGCACGAGACACACGAAGGTGTCCAAGACATGGCTTGCGATACATTTATCAAGATCGCCAACAAGTGCAGACGGCATTTCGTGGCACTCCAACCCGGCGAAAGTGAACCTTTTATCGAAGAAATTGTCCGAAATATGAGGAAGATCACCATGGACCTTTCCCCGCAACAGATTCATACTTTCTATGAAGCCTGTGGCTACATGATCTCAGCCCAAGGCCAAAAGGGTCTCCAAGACCGCTTGACCGAGAACTTGATGGCTCTCCCTAATACCGCCTGGGATCAGATTATCGCCGAGGCAAACCAAAACCCAGCGATTCTCCAAGATGCTAACACCATCAAGATCGTCGGAAACATCATGAAGACTAATGTCGCGGCTTGCTCCTCGATTGGCACCTACTTCTATTCTCAGATTGGCCGGATCTATCATGACATGTTGAATATGTACCGTGCTGCCAGTCAGCTGATTAATGATGCTGTTGCAAGTGATGGTAATTAGTCCTTCATCGTTGATGAGCACCCTGAGGGAAAAACAACGGACTGACACATAAGCAGGAGCTATTGCACCGAAAACCCCCAAGGTCCGAGGACTTCGGACCATCAAGAAAGAAATTTTGAAACTCATCGATACCTACGTGGACAAATCAGATGACCTCGAGATGGTCAATGCCAGCATGGTACCGCCGCTCATGGAGGCTGTACTCATTGATTATGCCCGCAACGTCCCCGATGCACGCGAGGCCGAGGTTTTGAATGCCATGACCACGATCATCCACAAACTTCACGTAAGCCCCTTCTCTCTGCTTGTTTGGCTTGATGACTAGAATTTCCGTTTATCTTATGGCCTGGGCACACTTGCGTACTTGCACCTTGCTAACGAGTTGATTAGAATTTAATGGAGGATAAGATTCCAGCCATCATGGACAGCGTTTTCAATTGCACTCTTGAGATGATCAACAAGGACTTCCACGAATACCCTGAGCATCGGGTCGAGTTTTTCAAATTACTTCAAGCTGTCAATTTATACTGCTTCCAGGCACTTCTGAAGCTCGATGCTGCGCAGTTCAAGTTTGTTATCGATTCATGCATGTGGGCATCGAAGCATGACAACCGCGAGGTCGAGAACACTGGTCTCACAATGTGCCTGGAGCTGATGAACAACATGGCCGAAACTGACCAGCAAACCTCGAGCATTTTCTTCCGCGAGTTCTACATTCCAATTCTTCAGGACGTCTTCTTTGTCCTTACGGATAGTGATCATAAGGCTGGTAAGTAATTTCCTTGATATTTTCAACATGAAACAAGAACTTACCGTGTAATCTTTTAGGATTCAAATCCCAAGCCATGCTTTTGTCGCGCATGTTTTACTTCGTGGAATCTGGCAAGATCCAGGAGCCTATCTATTCCCCGGACCAAGCACCTGCTGGAACTTCAAACAAGGATTTCTTGCAGGAACACATTGCAAATCTGCTCAAGAATGCATTCAGTAATCTTCAAGAGTAAGCTTCCTCGCCGTCAACTGAAACCATGCAAGACCATACTGATTTTGTCCACCAGGGCACAAATCAAACAGTTTGTTCTCGGACTGTTTGCATATACGGATGACCTGAACAAGTTCAAGACTCACCTTCGTGATTTCTTGATTTCTCTGAAAGAGTTCTCCGATGATAACGCGGAGCTGTATGCGGAAGAACGGGAACAGGCGGTACGCGATGCACAGGTCGCCGAGCGTGACCGAGCTATGAAGGTCGGAGGCCTGTTGAAGCCATCGGAGATGGATCAGGAGGATGAGCTATGACTGGACCAAGAACTTCGCGCCGAGTTTGTTGCTACCTCTACTGGTTCCCCTGGACATGAGCAAGAATCAAGGTTGACCTCCCGGAATGACGCCCTTGACGGCTGGTCCTTCTACGAGCTCTAGATCATGGGGAAGCCATACTGCAACATAGGATTGTTCTGGAAAGATGTGTGTGAATTTATCCTTTTATCTTTTCTTTTTATCACCCCCCCCCCCCTTTCCTTGGTTGGCTATCGGACATGCAAGATAGACCCATTCCCTGGCTGAGCGGGTTCTTCGAGGTTGGTGCATCAAGGGCTCTTTTCATGGAACGGATTTCACAATTTTATCCTACGTGTATTTCGCCTATCTAAGGCGTGAGCTTGTTTGATGGCTTTTAACGTCAAATTCAAAAAAAAAAAAAGGTTTATCTCAAAGACGTGGGAAATGGACAAGTAAATCTAGACTCTTAAATGTTTTAGCCTATAAAGTATCAGCCTTAGTGAAAAACTATCGTGGGGAGACCAAAGGCGGTGAATCCTTATCAATTGCATCATCAGAAAAATAGTCTCATCCTTTCTAACGTTGATCCTTTGGATTATTTAACCTTAAGTCCATATCACCATGTCTCGAACACGCTCAACTCCAAATCCATTTCAAACCACCACAGAGACCGCACAAGAATCCTTAGCAGCCCGCATTCCCGCAACCCTCAGATTGCGAGCAGAGGAAGCATCAACTGACACCAGAGAAGACAACTCGTCTTCCAGGCGAATCAGATGGAGTGAAGATGTTGTAGACAATGAAGGCATGGGCAGAAAAAGCTCAAAAGGTATGCATTCAATCTATCTATTCTACTTGTCTGAATTATTGCCCGCATTAGCAACAATCTGACCGCCGCCAGTATGCTGCATCTACCACAAAGCCCGGCCAGTAGGAGAAAGTAGCTCAGAGGAGTCCTCATCCAGCTCATCGGAGAGCGATAGTGAGAGCGAAGACGACCGTAGCACTGCCAGGGTCAATCGGGCTCGCCACACACACTCACACAATGGAGCACACGGCCATCACACTTCCCACCATGATGAAGGATGTGGCTCCGAGAATCACAGATCTAAGCCGAAAAGCAAGCGCAGGAAGCCGAGTCCGAATGCATACGAGAAGATGCCCAAGCCATCGAAGAAGCAAAATCAAAACCAAAACCAACACTATGCGCGGGGTACCTGATCTGGTTTTCTTGGGGGGTTCTGAGTGTGAGGCAATGCAAGACAAACCGACGAGGCAGGAACTGGGCAAAGCCCGATGCTTGGGTTCAGCCTAATTTATGGCTGTACAAGTCATCCCGATTGGCGTCGTATATTCTACGTCTCCATTGGTGGGTGATTGTGACAGGCCTATATCTATGCGCAGTGTGTATGACAATTGCACGACACTGGGACAGAGACGCCCCATCCGGTGGCGTGCAGGAAGCGTACGTACTATGCCATGATCAAGGACCCAAGAGAAGGGCATGTCGAATTCATTTACGGCGCGCTACATTCGACGCGGTTGAATGGTCCTTGAAATAGCTACTTGGCCTACTTGAAATATGTCAATTTGATTAGACAAGATAATGAAATTTGTATTGAGAAGATCGGAATCGCAGTGAGGGGGTATCTGAAACATAACTGCAACCTGGTCTGGTCGATAATGATTGTACATAGGTGAATGATAGAGAAATCGCTAAAGCGGATATCATACCATCATGCTTTTTCTCCTTGCAGCAACGCGCTGACCACGTCTGACGTGGCTGGTGTCCATTATAGAACCGGTTGGTCCTGGTCCAAATGAGCCTTCATCTTCCGGAGAATCGGCGATTGGGGATTGTGGTTCAGCCTGGTCCACCTCGTATTGTGCTATGCTTGCAGTTGTACTTTTGGGATTTGACGAGTGACGTCTAGTCTGACGCCTCGAATTCAGTGATTCTTGAGATACTTGGGCAGAGATATCTGCGAGGCTGTCCTCAATCTCTTTTTTGATGTCATTTTTAAAGTCAGAGTTTGGGGTCCCCGCATCACTGTCGTCCTTTGGGGTTGACGACACCTTGCGTTTTCTCCGGGAGACCATTGCTAGGAGCTGTTCCGAGGATCCATCCAGGGAGAACAGATCCGAGCTCTGCGTGGCAAGAGTGAAATCAGCAGGGAGTCTACCACGAGAGGTGTGGCCGCCCTCTCCTCCGTCCAAACTTTCCCGGCCTGTCTGGAAACTGGAAGACCTTCGTGACCCAAGTGCAACAGCATCGATCATTTCCTTCGTAGGGCGGCGCATCTTGTCCCGTAGGTTGGGCTCTGCATAGCTAACCACAGCACCACGACGTCGGGAAGGCCGAATTGCAGACTCTTCCTCCGTCTTCATCGCATTCGGATGCGGGGACAGCGCTGGCTGGCGTGGGGCTGGCTCTTCCAGCTGGGGATGGGCAGGGCGGCTGACGCGCTTTTCTTGGTTTGAAGGGGCGATTCTGGCCACACGCGGTTTTTGATTGACGGTCTTGCCGCCGAGTTTCTCGACATCCTTGACTTTCTGTGGCGAATTCTTATTCTCATCACCCCTAGTAGACCTTTGTAGAAGATTGGACTCCTTGTACGAAGACGTGCGAGCCTTCTTGGGCGAGCCTAGATTGGAATTTGCACTCTCTGTTCCAGTTGTTAGCTACATTGATTGTAGGGATGAAACTAAAAGATAGTAGAACATACTTGGTTCGAGAACCTTCCTCATAGACAGAACAGGGGGTTTTGACCCTCTGGTCAATCCAACATCGCTTTTGGTGGGCGACTGGTCTCGCTGTGCATCTTCTAATGGGTTCATTTGCGTTTTGGGGCTGTGGCTGGGTCGGGTGAATTGGAATTCATCATTGTCGATATTCAGGTTGGACGTGAACCGGTCATCGTCTTCGGGTATGTATTTGCGCTTCGTTGAAACCGATGCTGCGTGCTGGGTGGTATCAATGGGTGGGATTGGTTGGCGGTCTGTTGGCGCGGGGCTTATCTCAGGCGCAATAATCGAACTCGACTTCTTTTTCTTGCGTCTCTCGAGAGTGGGAGGAAGTAATGGCTCCGGCTCTCCGGGCGTATCATTGTTAATTTGACTCCTGAATGTTGTTTCTGGCGATGGACTTGAATGTTCGGGTGCATCTCCTTCCTCCGGCATAAAGCTGAACTGTGGCGGAGAATCCAGAATGCTATGGTCGCTATGAATCAAGCTGTCAAGCTCTTGGGGCCTAATGAAGGTGTTAGCACCTGAAAGTGGCCCGACAATTTCGAAAGATCCTTACTCCAGAGTCTGCCGAGGGTAATATTTGTCCTCGATAATGGCAGGAAGCCTTCCATCTTCGCCTCCAATCATGTCTTCTGTCCTAGGTCTCGACTCTGCTTGCTTTGGTCGATCCAACTGTTGGTCGCAAAGCTTTCCCACCTTACGGGGTAACGAACCCAAATCAGCCGCCAAGTTGCTCAACTCGGCTAGTTTGGCATCCAGCTTAGATTTTATATCGTAGATTCCATTGTGTAGCAGTTTCCCTGCTTCCAGTCGTTCGGTTTCCTGGGTGAGATTGATGACCTGTTTTCGAAGCGACACATTTTCTGAAAGCAGATGCGATACTTCTGATTCTAGGCTGCGAATACGAAGAGATTGCAATGAATTCACTCTCGCGATCTCCCGGTTTTGTCGCACAAATCGTCGTTTTACTAGATAGAATCAAAAGATACACGTCAATTGCTAAATCAAATACTGTAATATAGTAATAGATTGCGAACTTACATGCATCAATGGATTCAGCAGGAGCTGGGTAGTCATTCAACCGAGCCATGGTGTAGGTTGGGGCAGCGACCACTGCGCAATATGGGACTGGAAGACAATCCTGGTGTGCAGAAATGAACTTGAATTTAATATCGAGTCCACAGGTCACACACACACCAGGAAATAACGTGTGTTTTGAGGGGGGAGAGGGAAGGTGTTGAGTCCTGAGGGGATACAGAGGGGATACAAAGAGAGAAAGTAAACAGCGAACGAATGCCAAGCCCTTGTTGATGTTTGTCCATTTTTGGTTTAGACTTTGATGAGTCATCTAGAGTTGTCCCCTGGGCAGACGACATCAAGTAGGAACCTTGGAAGTTTGAGAGATCGCATTTTTACTTCGCTGTCCACGGGTGTTTACAACTTTTCCATAATGGCTTACTCCGCACGACCAACCTCAATGCTTCCAGGCGCTTCTGGATCATCATTGCGCCCTAGTTCGCAATCACAGCAATCTTCGGCCTTGTCGGCTCGCATTGCAGCCAAAAAGGCCGAGCTAGAGAATTTGCGACAACTACGTGATCTAAGTGGAACCTTGGCAATTCAGATGCAAGCTTTGGATAATAAGATCTCCACATTGAAAGATGGAACCGAAGGTTGGTCCTCCCTCTCTCTCTCTCTCTCGCTCTCCCTTTGATTTGGCTTTGCTAATTGTCAATTAGCTGTTGCATGTGTACTTTCCAACTGGGATAATGTTCTTAGGGCCATCACTCTCGCCTCGAGTAAGTAATACTTTTTCCAACCTTGGAGTTTTTACTGATTATATAATAGGCAAGGCAGGCGGACTCTATGAATCTAAGTCAGATAAAGAGAAGCTGCCATCAACGTTGGTTCGCATTCCAGCTGAACCACGTGAGTGAAATGACGTATCTTATCCCTTTCGACCTGAAACAGGTGTTCTGGGTGTATTAGGCTACAAAATTGGTCCAATACCTACCATGGTATAGAGAGGTCCAATAGGACTTTTTAGTCCAATTAATTCTAGAAATAAAGATCATATTGAAATTGAAAATATGATTGGATATATATATATATATATATATATATATATATATATATATATATATATATTTATTTATTTAATAGTTAATACAAATCATGAGACCAGGTACATTCTTACCAATTTGAGGTTCCTGCAGATTTTAGTGTTATTCAGAAATACTTAAATTGAAAGTACTACTACATATTATTATACTTCATGAGGTACCTATATTAAAGTACCTTTCTAACTTTTCTTTTTTATTTTAAGCGCCCGAAGCACAAGAATTCCCCTTCTTTGCGTATATTTTCCCCGCAATAGCCGTTGTACATATTTTAGTGGCATGATGCGTTAATAAGATCAGGACTTTCTCTTTTTTTTTCTTATATATCACCATTTATCCATTACTTTCCTTAATCTGTGAACTCTCTCTCTCTCTCTCTCTCTCTCTCTCTTACTATGTCAACTGAATGGTCCTTGGACTTCTGCCTGGCCTGTGATCGTCAGACCCTGGGCGCTCCCTACTGCTCCCAAACATGCCGTCTAGCAGAGCTGGATGAGATATCCGGAACCTCACGAAGATCGAGCGCAGCATCTACACATTGGTCTGAGATCAACCAAGCCCAAGTCAATGACTCTCGAATCCTATCTGCCTCCTCATCTCAAACCTCACTCTCTTCACTAAAGAGTAACACACCCAATTCCTCGGCCGACCGGTTGCAGGATGAATTGCGTGATTACGCATCTTGCTTCGACCAAGTCCGTGACCTGAAACGGCGCATGACTACAACATAATTTCAATTCGACAAAATCTGTGCTCGAACAGGGCATGCTTTTCTGATAATTTGCATATGGGAACCAGGCGTTGGAAGATAAACTATTTTCTTTTCGGTTTTTGTGGATCAACTCTCTTCTTGGTCTTTTTTTTTTTTTTTTTCACGAATCTATACCCCCCTCAGCTGTTATATATATATCATGATCATGATCATTGGATCCCTGGACCTAATTAGTTATTCTACCAGATTGCCTATAATGGAATTTTGGATAATTTTGAATATTTACATCCTTTGAACAGAAAATTTAAGATCTCGTAAACTTGGATATGTTCAATGTGTCAATTTAGTTTCCCTGTGAGTACACTGTCATTCAATCGGGAATGCTGGAGATACCAGGAACTACCCCACTTGACACAAGCTGTATGGAACTAGCAATCTGAGATGGAAGTACAATAAGCACAAGACTGCCATATACCCCGCAGCCATTCTTTAATCCCTCGACCTCATTTGGCTCTGTGCAGAAGTCCCTTTCTGCCCAAGTTGATGCCAAACAAGCTTCACTGAGCAAGAACCTTTGACAGAACCTCTTCATTCTTCGGTACAAATCGGACCTTATATTTTCGAGGAATAGCTACCAAGCTAGTCGGATCCGAGTTACCACGAAGAGGGTGGCAGTCTGCTTTGTCATGTGGTTCAAGGCGGAAGCTGTTCAGGGTGCGGATGAAGACGAGATAGAGCTCTCGATTGGCCAGTAGCGAACCGGCGCACATCCGGTAGCCCATACCGTATGTGAAAAGAGGCGCATCAGGCTGCTCAAACCAGCGCTCGGGGCGGAACTCATCCGGGTCAGTCCACACGTCAGGATCTATGAACGGTCAGATGCGCTGTATGGTTTGGGTGGTCAGGATTCACCTACCCATATTACATGCCCAGGCATTCAAGAAGAACACTGTGCCCTTGGGAATGGTAATTCCATCATAGGTGATATCCTTGATCGAGGTGCGAGGAAGTGCCAATCGCAATACAGTGAAAAAACTAAAGGCATTGTGGTTTAGCTCAGCATCCATAGCTCGTCCGTGAAACCAGAACGTACCGAAGACATTCCCTGACCAGGGCTGCAATATACGCACACTTTTGGTCATCGTCAGAAGAGCACATGGGCTCATCCTCACCATACATCTCCCGGATGGCCTTGGCCGCTCGATCTTGGATATCAGGACGCTGAGCCAGCAAGCCCAGACTCCATGCAACCAAAGTGGTAACAGTATCAAGACCACCAGAAAGCATAGTCAGGCTGATTGACGTCAGCTCCTCACTATTTAGTTTAGCCTCCTTATCCAGAATAACATTAGCCTGGATACAAGGCTTATGCGTTCCCTTTGCCATGCGATCATCCAAGTCACTATTAAGCGCACCGAGATACTTATCGCGACGGATTCTCATCTCGGCGGCTTTCTTCGAGTTGGAGCTAAACGGATTCAGCCGTAGAAGAGGGATGTAATCCTGCAGGTTTCCAGTAGTGCTTCGGAACCGACTGATCTCATCTTCCACCTCGGTGATCTCATCAAACAAGTCCTCTTCCTGCGACACAATACGCACGCCCCAGTTCAAAGTCAATGCCAAACTCAAGCTCAAACGCTGGATCATGGGCATGGGGTCGACCGGCGTCTTCCCGTGGTTTCCATATCTGTGAAGCTCTTCCACAAAGGCCTTTGACTCGACGTCCAGGTGAGATACGTACGTATCGACAGAGGGGCGGTTGAGGGCCGATGCGGCGCCCTTTCTGCGCCTCTTCAAGGACTCACTGTAGGGTGATGTACCGATAGTCGTTCCGGCGGTATTGGAAACAATCTAATCGAGTTGATCTTTAGCTTCAGTTAAAGAAAGGAATAAGCCACCCGATAACCTACCCTGTGAAAAGTATAAGTCTCGGGTCTGGAGCTCAGCGCCTGCGCATTATGACTGAAAAGCACCTTGGCCGATGCAGCAGAGTTGACCACGACGACGGGGATATTCCCAAGCTGGATCTGATAAACGGGGCCGTGCTTTTTCGACCAGAGGCGATACTGCTCCGCGGCATTTGTGCGAATCTGCGCCAGATTACCAATCAAAGGCAGTCCACGTGGACCCTTCATACCCTTCACACGGGCAGAATGTCGAATGAATTCATTAAGAATGACATAGAGGATGGGGACGAGGAGGGCTGCGGCGGCTAGGGAGCGGTGGGGATACTCAATCACGCTGCCTTGTAGTGATGTCAGGACAGCGGCGATGGCCATATTGCTGGATATGGGATAGACTTTTTGTGGGAGTCTATACACAAACATTAATGAACATATCATGGCTGAGGGGGTATATAAGTATGTTAGGAACAGCCCTAGGGCTAGGGGTCTGCTGAATGGAACATTTCCGTGCTGTCCAGGTCATTCAAACCGCGATGATCCCTTGATACCTTTTTACCCCACACTACCCCAGGTATTGCTAGGTCTTTGCTAGGCCATTGCTAGACCTGGTAGACATGCAATGTACATCCTCAAGCCGAGGTTGTTCCGCATTGCGGAATTATTCCGCTTAGTCATCGCCCCCAGTCGCCAGGGCTCTTAGGTTGGAATTCATACTCCGTACTCTTTGCATTGATCATGTATGTTATGTATATATGTTATCAAGCTATTAATATTTGGTACTGTTATTGATTTGATGTTGGGTATTATCTTTACATTATCTACCCCTATATGATGAACTTAGAATGTATCTAAGGTATTGTGTCAGATCTTAGCCCTTTCCGAGCATCAGAAAACCCTTTTTAACTAGCTACGTACGGAGTAGTACATATATAATTGTTTATACTATATCGAGACTGTTAGATAAGGGGGCTAGTGAAGATCATATCCACTTGCGCAATGACTTGTTTTATGACCTTCTAGAAAGAAGAGCCTCATTCGGCAAATTTTCCACAGATGAAAGATTTCATTCAGTAAAGTACTCCGTAGGTATGATAACATTCTTGACCAAAACCGGAATCCTCTCTAGTGGACTAGTGGGGCCACAAGGAAATGTGTGCACAAGGGGAATTGAACAATTTCAGTGGAGTAGATCCAAACAAGGCGTTCATAACGGGCCCCCCCCTGGGCCGGCTGGGGCAATATGACGATCTATGACTGGTCCATATTCATGGAGCTCTCAGTCAGGTGGCCACGAAGAGATTGATCGAGTCCAGACCCTTTGAGGTAGATCTGCGGTCCCGGAGATAAAACGCGGCCTGGAATGGCTGAATGCAGTGTCGGCTTCCCGATATTCCAGAATGCACAAGATAAGCTAGAAGAGTTTTGAATTTTGCTAAAAAATCTCTTCGCGTCATGTGTCGGAGTAGAGATCCGGATAAAAAGTTCCCACTTTAAGCCAATTGGTGGGTGAATTAATGGATGAGAAAAGAAGAGGCGCATGGAAGCCTCCACTGCCAAGTCCAATGATGAGCTGCTCTGTACCCATGACGCAGAGCTCTCTGTACTCGTGACACCCCTGCATTCGTAGTGGAAGGTGTAGCGATCAGGTATCTGGTACCTTGGAGAAATTATCGCAAATCTTGCCTTTCATAGATAGTTTTATAGTTAAAAAGAGAGGAGGAAAAAAAAAAAAAAAAAGAAAAAGGGAAATTTCCATAGCTTCTGGTCTTCCCGCCTTTCGTCTCTCCCCGATATTCTTCTCCCCTCAACTTCTCTAATCTTTTTCAATCTTTTCTTCTATCTCTCCCTCCTTTGGCACATATTTCTATAAATTCCCGTTGAAAACATTTAAATCATATTACATACAGAAACAAGATAATGGCCGCTCGGCACTCACGCAAGCTCTTGAGACCTCTCCTCTACACATCCGCAGCTGCCGCTGCAGGAGCAGGTGTTCTCTACATTTCTTACCGTCCGCGAAATATTCCGGGCCTCGAAGCCCCCGCCGTTCCCCCACCAGGTTACCGTGAAGGCAAGCTGGTTCCGCCCAGTTTCCCATCAATCAAGTCTCGTCTCGAACAGATCCAGGACCTCAAGCGCAGTGAGGATGAGGAGGAATATGATCTGCTTATCATTGGTGCCGGAGCCACTGGAGCTGGTATCGCACTAGATGCTGCCACCCGAGGCTTAAAGGTCGCGGTGGTGGAAAGAGATGATTTCAGCGCAGGTACCAGTAGTAAGAGTACAAAGCTAGTACACGGTGGTGTCCGTTACCTCGAAAAAGCCTTTTGGGAGTTGGACTACAACCAGTCAGTTTTTTCTTTCCCTCCCCCCCTTTTGGATCAAAATGACCACATACCCAGTCATCGATGCTAACAATCGCACTGCAGATATGCGCTGGTCAAGGAGGCTCTCAGAGAGCGCAAGTATTTCTTGAACACAGCTCCTCATTTGTCATCATGGCTGCCAATCATGGTGCCTGTTCAGAAATGGTGGCAGGCTCCCTATTTCTGGGCCGGCACCAAGGCCTATGACTTCCTGGCTGGTTCCGAGGGCATTGAGACCTCGTACTTCCTGACCAAGAGTAAGGCGATTGACGCATTCCCCATGTTGAAGCGCGACAACATCATTGGAGCAATGGTGTACTATGGTGAGTAAATTACCCTACAAAGAAATGATTCGGGCTAATTTTCGACCAAGATGGTGCACACAACGACTCCCGTATGAACGTTTCCCTCGCTATGACTGCTGCACTCTACGGTACCACTGTCGTGAACCACTTGGAGGTCACTGGACTGAACAAGGATGCTTCTGGCAAGCTTTGCGGTGCGCGCGCCAAGGACATCATCGCAGAGAAGGATGGCCAGGTCGCCAAGGAGTTCAACATTCGTGCTAAGGGTATCATCAACGCCACTGGTCCCTTCTGTGATTCCATCCGCAAGATGGATGAGCCCAGTGTCAAGGAGATTGTGGCCCCTAGTGCTGGTGTTCACATCATCCTGCCCGGTTACTTCAGCCCTTCAAACATGGGTTTAATCGACCCTTCCACATCGGATGGACGTGTCATCTTCTTCCTGCCATGGCAAGGTAACACCATCGCTGGTACCACTGACCAGCCCTGTGAGATTGAGGCCCAACCTCAGCCCACTGAAAAGGACATCAATTGGATTCTTTCTGAGATTCGTGGCTATATCGCCCCCGATATCACCGTGGACCGAAGCGACGTCCTTGCTGCCTGGTCTGGTATCCGTCCCCTGGTGCGCGATCCTAAGGTGAAGAATTCGGAGGCTCTCGTCCGCAACCACCTGGTGACCGTCTCTCCGTCGGGTCTGTTGACTTGCGCCGGTGGTAAGTGGACTACTTACCGCCAGATGGCCGAGGAGGCAGTCGACGAGGCGATTGACGTGTTCAAGCTGAAGCCCCGCCAGCTCACTACCCTTCCCGACATCAGTGGTGTGGGCGGAAGTGGCCTGGTTGCTGACGGTGCCGTTCTCGACGGTAGCTGCCAGACTCACCAGGTGCGCCTCATCGGTGCCCACGGTTTCTCCAAGACCCTCTTCATCAACCTTATCCAGCACTTTGGACTCGAGACCGACGTGGCCAAGCACCTCACTGAGTCGTATGGTGACCGCTCATGGCAGGTCGCTGCCTTGTCTTCCCCTACGAATGAACGTTTCCCCGTGCGCGGCTGCCGCATCTCCCCCATGTACCCCTTCGTTGATGGTGAGATCCGCTACGCTGTCCGTCACGAGTATGCTCAGACCGCCGTTGATGTGATTGCCCGTCGCACTCGTCTGGCTTTCCTGAACGCCGAGGCCGCCCTTGAATCCCTCCCCACCGTGATTGACACCATGGGTGAGGAATTGAAGTGGTCCACCGCCCGCAAGGATCTCGAGTGGAAGGAGTCATTGACTTACCTCTCGTCCATGGGTCTGCCTAAGAGCTTCATGGGCCTTTCGCGCAATGATGTCCAGAGCGGCCGTGTTAAGCAGGTTGACGACGCCGAGCGTGCGACACTCTCTCGCAATGGTATGTTTTTGAGACTTCGTAACAAAATTCAACCACAGTGCTGACCGTTTGCAGAACCCCCCGCGGACATGATTGAGAGTGATGTGCGTGCTACTACTCCTGCTCCTGCAGCAAAAGTCACGCTCAACTAGATGATATTTGGTATATATAGAGCGGGCTTGTATAAATAGAAGCGTTTCTTGTTTTTCTTTCTCTTTTCTTTTTCAATATTCAACTTTCCATGACACTAAACGGGGGACATTCAAGAGAACCCAAAGAGAACCCAAACCCTCAGATCTTCCTAGAACATGACACTTTCCAAAGAAACAGCCATTTACATTCGGCAAGTGCCACCCCGAGTGTCTTCTTGTAGTTTCAAGTTCAATTTCTTCAATTTCTTCAATTTTCTCAACTTCCTGAACTTCCTGAACTTGTTCAATTTGCGTTTTGTCATTTTGTTATACATCATGAAGCAAGATCAATCTCATCTCCTACCACTGGGCTCTGAGAAGCACAAGTTGGATTCGGATAAAGATTCTGTACCAAAGCCAGAGTCGGAGAAACAGGATCCATTTGGAGATGAAAGCCAAGCCGGTGTGAAGTACAAGACCATGGCATGGTGGTGAGTGTCTCCTTTTTCCACAGGCAGAGCGAAGCTTATCCTTTTCAACAGGCAAGCCGGCATGAGTAAGTCTATAAATCTGTATGTCTTGCATATTGCCCAGTTTTTTCTAACAAACTTGGCCAGTCATGATCGCAGAGACAATCTCGCTTGGTATTCTTGCACTACCCAAAGCGCTTGCGGTACTAGGTCTTGTTCCGTACGATCATGTCTTCCCCATTTACTGCAAAGGTCGAGCTAACCTGTTTGTTCCAGAGGCATCCTAACCATCCTTGGGGTTGGGATAATCTCGACCTACACTGCATATACCATTGGGCAATTCAAATGCCGCCATGTGCAAGTACATAGCATGGCTGATGCTGGTGATCTCTTGATGGGAAGGCTCGGACGGAGTACACTGGACGTGGCTCAGCTCATCTTTTTTGTGTTGGTGATGGGGAGCCATGTCCTCACCTTTTCGATCATGATGAACGTCCTCACTGAACATTCCTCTTGCACTATCATCTTCTCGGTTGTCGGTTTACTTGCCTCCTTCATGTTGACACTTCCACGGCGACTTGAGAGGCTTTCTCACATTTCATCCGTGAGCTTTGTCAGTATCGTCGGAGCGGTTCTCACCGGTATGATTGGGGTTACTCTTGTCAGAGACGGACCAGTGCATGTCCCGGCCTTTTCGCCTTCACCCAAAGTGCATGATGCGTGCCTCGCTGTTGCAAACATCATCTTTGCATACGCAGGACATGTAGCTTTCTTTACCCTTTTCTCTGAGCTCAGGGAGCTCAAGGACTTCCCGAAGGCTCTGGCGCTTCTGCAGCTAAGTGAAATGGTCTTGTATACGGTGGCTGCGATTGTGATCTATGCCTATATTGGACCGACGATTAATTCACCTGCTCTCAATTCTGCAGGACAATTGTTTCGCAAAATTTCCTACGCAATCGCAATACCTACGGTACGTGTCTTTTCTTAGACTTCTTTAGATATGAGCTAACTATCAGATAGATTGTGATTGGGGGTGTGGTAAATGCGCATGTTGCTGTCAAGTTCATCTACGTTCGTGTCTTCCGGGGAACCAATTCGATGCATAGCCAGTCATTCATGGCGCGGTTAGTGTGGGCTGCGATATGTGCGACGCTTTGGATCTTGTCGTGGATCATCGCTGAGGGAATACCTGTTTTCAACGATGTACTAGGGCTTGTGGTATGTACTACCTTATCTTTGAGCCTGATCACGACACACGAAATACTAATAATCTCCACTAGAGCTCCTTATTTGCTAGTTGGTTTTCATTTGGTCTCCCTGGGCTATTTTGGCTCTATTTGAACAGAAGTTGTTGGTTCCTGACCTGGCGACAGAAGGGACTGTTTTGCTTCAACATCTTTCTGGTGTTTCTTGGATTTCTCATTGTGAGTTGCGTCCCACTGTGATTCGCTGGCTTGAATTAACTAATGCCACCAAGTGCATTGTCGGGCTGTATTCGTCTATTCGGTCGATCTTTCATAACCTTCGCGAGGGTGTTGGGGGAGGCAGTTTTTCATGTGCTGACAACTCCCTATACTAAGGCAGTCTCGCAGCCACAGAAAATCTGATTTTTGGGGGGTTAATGAGTAATTACACTTGGGGGCATAGTATTAGCGCGGTTGCAGGTACGCGGGACATAAATCGGCAGAGAACTATCCAGCTGCATTGTATATGAATAATGAATTGAGTTCTCCTGCACAGTTTGTTACCGTTGTAGGCGACATGCAGGTAGCCGATCCTCTGCGGCTGCTCAAATAAGTGGATATATGCCAGATACTGGTCCTTTTCCTTAGAGCGAAGTGTAGGGACTTCTAGGGAAGATAAATGAAGTTAGGCGACATAGTATGAAGATGCGATGTTACTATACTATCGGGCCATCACGTGATGGATCATTTAGGGTTTCACATGTACTCGGAGTAAACAGGCGTTTGATCATATATATTGTATGTTGTCTATTTTATGAAAGCCGTTCAGGTCTACTAAGCGAGATTTGGACTAAAAATAGGGGGGGGGATAGGGAAAAGCCAAGAACAGTGGATATGGAAAGTCCGTACTCCGTACGGACATACTAACGTATAGTACGTGGCTCAGACGCGCTAATGAATGACTCGCAGCCGGATCCCCTGGGGGGGTCTCGGGGAATTGGCTGCAGCTAGTAATGTCACTTACCCGTTAGTGACACCATCTCAGACTAAATTAATATGTTAATATAAGAGATGAAATTAAATAAAAATTTGTGAAAAATATAAAATAAAAAATAAAAAGAAGGAAACGGGGAGAGATGGGAGACAGATAAATACCAGCTAAAAATATCTACATAACTAATAGGATATACGGAGTAGTAATATATCCAACGTCTATTAAATGAGTCTTATTAACTAAATTATATTTTTTTTAAAAAAGCATATATTCTTATATTGGGTTCCCCTCTTTTTCTTTTGCGTAGAAGCCCGACGCATGTATTGTGTCCCAATCAAGACAGGGATCAGGGACCAGCCCACACCTTTTTCCCTGCACAATCGTGCAGAGGCAAAGTGGAATGAACAACAGCAATGCATGCTGTCATCACACCATTCCCTTTATAACTGGAGGGGTGTGACCAGGCAAACTGGTCCAATTTGGGGATTTGCCGTTCAAAGTCACTTGGATCCAATCCCAATGACCAAGGCAAATCCCGAGTCCATCGATTTTTTTGCGTATGGACGGTAGAGCCACCGTGTTGATCGTGTAGCTTCCATGGGAAATAAAACGATATATCCCGGGATCTGGATCTGGCTTTGGCTTTAGTTTCCGCTCGAAGCTGGAATGACACCAGTACCAGCATCACCAGTACTATGCAAGTATGAAAGAGAATGGCAATGAGTCCCGTGATGCGGAGCATTGGGCACCCTCGAACCCTGTACTGCGCAAGTTCCAGAGACCTGCGGAACCCCGAAAGAAAATTGGACCCTCTCGGTGCAAAACATCATGTGCCGACAAAAAAAGGTAATTCAAGGCTAGTTGGCGACATCACAATTCGTCGCTGCTTTGTAGTTGTCCCAGAAACGAGCCACGGCTCTTTGGGCGACAGGTGAGCCACGGTAGCGCGTGGCTAGGAAGTAATTAAAGAGGGCAAACTCGTCTCGCGTGAGCACATAGCTATCCGGTTGGGCCTGAATGCGATTCCAGAGCTCGGTAATGGCAGCCTCCAAAACGGTGGCGGATTGGGCATTCATGGGACCTTCGCATTCCCGAGCGTGGTCTAGAGCCTGTCGAATCTCTGGCCAGTTTCTAGATAGAGGAAGGTTGGGCATATCGGTATTTATGTATCAGCTGTGTATGTTCTGGGAGGCGATGGAGATAGATTTCACGGGGGTTTTTTTTATGGGTGAGAGGAGAAGGGGGGGAAAAGAAGAGAGAAAAGGGAAGATGTGCGCGAGGGCTTTAACACAAGCGAAAAGGGTTTCAAGCCAAGTAGAATGCGGAAGAGATGAGACTGTGCATAAGACTAAACAAGAAAATCCGAATCTTTTTTTTTTTTCTTTTTTTTTCCCAATTAAATGGGAATAGGTGTGGAGCAACGGGAGAGGGAGGGAAGGGGGGGAAACCGGGTCAGGTCCGAAATACTATATGTTCATAGGTGAAAAAAGGTATATGAAATAGTTGAATGTTCAGAAACAGGTCGACCTTTTGGAAATTGGAATGTGTTTTTCCCTTTGAGATAGGAAGAGAAAAGAAGTTGCACTTGGCATTGTTGTAACGGTTTTCTCGGGCAATTTTAATATGACATGCTCCGGCTAGGATCGAACTAAAGCCGTCTAGGACTCTCTCAGATGAGACGGTGGAGACGGTGGAAACCATTGTGAGAGGCTATGATGATTCGTTGAAAAGGTATAGGGTTCAAGGGTCAAGGTCGCTTACAGCCGTAGATTGTGAGAAGCCAATTGCAGTTGAAGGAAATGATAATGGCCCCAGAAGTGGGAATGCGGTTGCGGGAGGCTCGTGGGACTCCGATATAAACATTTTAGCCGGATTTTGATTTTTGGTTTTTTTTTTTTTTTCGGCATTTTCACATACAACAAATGTCGTGAATATTTGTCTCCTATAACATTATGAATCCTGTCACATTTTAGTTTTCATTTTTCGCTTACCCCTTTCACAGACATGACGATACCCTCTCGGACGAGTATATCATTGTTTTGGTCCAGTTGAAGTTGATATAATCCAAATATATCTGTCGAAATGAGTTGAGGGGGATGTGATTATCCCGAAGCCCTAAGAAGAGAGACCGAAAGCCAATTTCCGAGATGCATATATTATTGAAGGTCCCATGATAAACCAGGCTCTTCTGGGAAGAGAGTCCGAGAGACTTCAAAGAGCAAAAGAGAAGAAAAAAAAAAGAAAAAAAGAAAAAGTGGGAAGTGTCTGGTCTAAGATGGTCACGGTCCACATAAAAGCGCAACTCTAAATGTTCCCCCCCTTGTCTCACCCCCCTCTAAACCTCTTCTCTTCTCTTTTAAACCGAAAAGTATCTCCGTATTTCCCTTGATTTCGACTTCGGGAGAATGTCGGTTAATCTTTTGAAGCTTTACCTTGAATATTACAACTTCAATGGTTACATCTGGAAGTCCATAGAAATACAACATACATAGCTAAATAGTCTACCCTTGTCATTACAGGATTGATAGGTCTTTCTGAATGTCTTAGACTGGAACAACTTTGACTAAGATATGGATACTGACATTACAAATTATTGTGCTGCTTGTTAAATAGTGTTTACTAGAATATAGAAATACCTTTGAATCTTCGTTTTTGATTGCTTAACTCTATGGGTTAAAACTTCCTTACATATTAAGCCCTAGGTTCTTATATCGCAAAGTCTGACACTTTTCGTTCTAAAACTGCTTAGCTATTCTATTCTATTCTGACACTATTGGATATGCATAAAGTGCAGGTTCCGTATAAAAAAGAAAGATATAAATTGTAAATTTTATATATCCTAGACAGTATCAAAGGCGACCCTCTTTCAGACACAGTTTATATGATTTGAGTAAGTTCATACTTCAAAAAAAAAAAAAAAAAAAAAAACAAGTTATACAGTGTACTTGGTCTCTTTCTCTTGCTTTTTATATAAGCAATAGCTACTCTCATAGTGCCCGGATACAGCTGTTTCTATATTCTATCGGCATAAAAATTCAAGCTTAATTAGTTAGACTAAAAAACAGCAATAAAATTTTTGCAAGTTTATTTTTTGCCATCTCTAGGATGAATTGGCCTTCATCTTCGAGATCTATACTGATGACTAAGCCATAGATAGGCCCACGGGTTTGTGATAAAGATTTCCCCCCCGCCAGGACCAATTCAACTTTTGACTTGCGCCGATCAGGAATTGTTCAAAGCTTTTACCCCAAGGTCATTTCAAAAAAAAAAAAAAAAAGAAAGAAAGAAAGAAAGAAAAGGCTTCGACATTATAATGGTTTTCTATTTCACATCGACTGTCGTCGAACCCTCCGCCTTTATTTATGTTGGCAAGGACAAATTCGAGAGTATGCCACACTTGATCAATCTAGGTAATCAACTTTCTAACAGTGTCCAGACGAGGATCTCATAAAATATGGATTGGACAATGATGTCTGGTATGTCCCCCGGTGTATATTTGGAGAGCTTTGGGACTGATATTCTTGCGCAACAGGGTCAGTCTTTCCCCCTCCGGCTTGCGACAGGATCAATTGCCCTAATACTTCTAGAAACTTGCAGTTCCACGTCGACAATCTGTCAAGTGCACACGTTTATGTACGCCTTCGAGAAGGCGAGACATGGGACAACATTGCCCAGCCGCTTCTAGAGGACTGCGCCCAGCTCACAAAAGCGAACTCCATTGAAGGTCAGTCCTCGACATGAAAATAATTTTCTACCAGTGCGAGCTGACTTTCTGAAAGGAAACAAGAAGGATAATATCACCGTTATCTATACACCATGGTCAAACCTGAAGAAAGACGGGTCAATGGCGGCCGGTCAAGTCACCTTCCATAATCACAAGCTGGTCCGCAAGGTCTATGTTAAGCAGCGTGAAAACCCAATTGTCAACCGGCTAAACAAGACCCGAGTTGAGAAATACCCCGATCTTCGAGCCGAGAAGGAAGAGGACATGAAGAAGAAGCAGCGCGGTGAACGCAAGATCCGAGACGAACAGCGTGCGAAAGAAAAGAAGAAGCAGCAAGAGTATGAAAAACTCAAGTGGCAGAAAGATCATGCGTATGATGATATGTTCACGGACGAGAACTTGGAGGCCAGCAACAACCAGGACCGTGATGAGAATTTCCTCGACGACTTCATGTGAATGGACATTGCCATCTCTTTCTAATGGAAGACAACCTTTTCCTGTCATCTTGAACAGCCAGCGAAGTGAAAAATTATACCCTCAACATACTACATAGCACATACAACATTCCATGGACAGTTGATATGAGTACGGCAAAGCAGTCCTACCCTTTCTCCTTCTTGATATATCCATCCCCCCCCCCTATTGACTTAGGTCATATGATATAGGGAAATGGTCTTTAACTCGAACTCCTACGTATCATTAGAAGAGCCCTGGGATGCTTTTCCAACGGACATACACCATAGGCAAATTCCCTTGGCACACTATGGGAACTACATAGTACACAGGTTTGTAGTGTATCATATACATAAGTACACAATGAAAGATCCAAACATGGGAATATAAATACAGACTTAAATTAAATCAAATTCAAAATGGAATAATTGGAAAGATACCCTGGAAGGTGAATGAAGGTAGATTAATCATCTGGGCATAGGGCGGAAAGGGCGCTAGCAATGTTGACAGCTTACCCTGTAACCTTTGGAATTCACCACCCCCCTCCCCCAAGGTTTTTTTAAAACACCACACAGCATGAGTGAGGGAAATCCACCGTCGGCTACTCCTAGTAAGGACATCACTTTTGTGAATTGGAACCCGCTGACCCCGCAAAAGGCGCAAAATCTAAGAAGAATAAGAAGAAGGCCGCAAAAGCCAAAGCCGACTCCAAAACCGACGAGCATCCAGAGGATGCGCCAGACGATAACAATGATACTGTATGCGGTGAACTATTCCTTGATTGTCATTGTACCTTTGCTGAAACCCCACAAGAACGAGCCCCATGATGCCAACGAGGACCCCATACAAGCGCCAGAGTCCAACGGCGCCAAGCCCAACACGATAGATGGCAATCTACCAGATCGGTCTGTCCATAAGGAGCCCGCGGCTACTAGCGATATACCCTCAGGAACCAATGTCCAATCCGATCCCGCTTCCGATGGCACCGAGCCAAAGGACCGATTCGATGCACTTGTTCGAGATCGAGACTCGTTGCGCGCCGAAGTAGCCGACATGCGAAAATCATTGGAAGAGATTCAATCCAAGCACGCTGCCGACATGGAGGCTCTGCAGCAGAAATTGGACGACGCGGAGACCAAAAAGGAGGAGGCGGAAACGCAGTTCCAGAAGCTCCTAGAACGAGTTAATACCATCAAATCGCAACTAGGGGAGCGGCTGAAGGAGGATGCTGTGCGTGAACCAGAATTCACTACTCGGGCTGTTTTGACTAATCTTGCCTTATAGGAGGAATTGGCTTTAGCGCGATCACAAATCGAAGACCTCGAAGATGAGAACAACAACCTGAAGGATGAGCTCGATTCAAAGTCCACCCAGCTGGTTGAACTATCGGGGGAATCAGCGGAGAAGGAGAAGGAGCTGTCTACTCTTCGGGAGCGGACGAACTTATCCCAGCAGAATTGGTTGAAGGAGAAGGAAGAATTGCTGGAGCAAGAGTCATACCTCCAGTCAGAGTTTGAACAAGCGAAGGAAGCTATGCATAATTGGGAAATCCTTGCGATGGAGGAGCGATCCATTCGGGAGAACCTGAACGAGAAGGTCGGGGATCTGGAGGAGCAACTCAGCAGCCTGAGAGATGGCTATGAACGAGCCACGAATGAACGTGACACCCAACAGTCAACCGTTGACGGCCTTCAGCGGGCTTTACAGGAAATTCAGTTAGCGAGAAAGCAAGAGCTACGGGAGCTTGTCGAGAGCTCTGATTCTCAACTAGAGGACCTCAGACGCTCTCTGCGGGAAGCACAGAAGCAGGCCACTGATGCCGATAAGGGTCTCCAGAATGCCCTGGAAGAGATTGAGCGAGTCCGGCCATTTGAGAAAGAGGTGAAGGAGAAGAACCTTCTCATTGGAAAGCTACGACATGAGGCCGTCACGTTGAATGACCACTTGACGAAAGCCCTACGATTCCTTAAGAAAGGGAAACCGGAGGATAACGTTGACAGGTACGTTCTTGTTATTCCGAGTTACCTCGATCGCATGCTGACTCCATCTAGACATATTGTCACCAACCATTTCCTACATTTCCTTGCTTTAGACCGATCTGATCCGAAGAAATTCCAAATACTGCAACTGATCGGTGCACTCTTAGGCTGGAACGATGGTGAGTACTGCAAACGAATGGATTTCTCAAGCCCATCTAATTAAAAATAGAGCAACGTGAACAGGCAGGTCTTGCCCGCCCAGGAACCTCGAATATGTCCGGGAAGCTCCGAGTTCCCGGCACTCCCCTCCGCACTCCGAGCACACCCAACCTGGCGGAGTTTATGGATAATGGTGCCTCTAGTAAAGAGACGTTAGCCGAACTATGGTCTAATTTCCTGGAGCAAGAAGCGGAGGTGGGTAATATGAATCCATCGCGACGAGGAAGCCACCAAGGGCCTCTCAAATGATAGAGTGCAGAAATGTATAAAGCAGTAAAGCCATAGAACTTGGATATTGATACTTTGATCTTTCCTCTCTTATATATACTATGTTCATCCATCTACTAGACTCTCTGTGCCTGTATAGATTGGCCCATTGCCAAGAAATGATTTTTTCCGCCTTCCTAATAGATAAGTAGGCTAAGCTGTATTTGGACAGAACGAAACCGTCTTGACCTAAATAATCACTTCATTTTTATTTTCAATCCTTATATGCCTCTCTCCTTCACTTTCTCAGCGTTCTTTAGACCATTCGTCCGAGCGACTCACTCTGCATCTACAATGACTGGTAAGGATGCTACATGGCAGAACATAACCCCCCCCCCCACCATGCGACACAGACAAACTGACAAGGGCACTTTTATACTATAGCCTACCGCCCTATTGTGATTTCGGGCCCATCAGGGACTGGAAAATCGACTCTACTCAAGCGATTGTTCGCTGAGTATCCTGATACGTTTGGATTTTCTATCTCGGGTTAGTGCCAGCAACAAGGGGAAAGTGATCTGCGAACGGCTTTGCTCACTCGACTGAACAGAAACCACACGATCCCCGAGACCCGGCGAGCAACATGGCCGTGAATATAACTTTGTCACAAAGGAGGCTTTCCTCGACCTAGTGGCCAACAATGGATTTATTGAACATGGTTGGTTACACTGCTATAGAAAGGAGTTTTGACGGCAATTAACCGGTTGGGCAGCTCAATTCGGCGGCAACTTCTATGGAACATCAGTTCAGGCTGTCAAGAATATCGCTGAGAAAAAGCGTATCTGCATATTGGACATTGAGATGGAAGGCGTCAAACAGGTGAAGCGGACGGATCTCCATGCGGTAAAGTGTCCTAGCCAATTCGATAATGGGCCTTGACTAATGATTTGTAGCGTTTCTTGTTCCTTGCGCCACCTTCTCTCGAGGTGTTGGAGCAGCGCCTCCGTGGCCGTGGCACTGAAACTGAAGAATCTTTACAGAAAAGACTCAGCCAAGCTCGGAACGAGCTTGAGTACGCAAAGCAGCCCGCGGCTCACGATAAGATCGTTGTTAATGATGATCTCGAGAAGGCGTATGCTGAGCTACGCGATTGGGTTGTTGACGGTGGTAAGTTCGGTGCTGCACAATAGTACACGTTACATACAGGTAGAGTGATTTAGTGGACGTCATAGTCGGCGAGACGACAGCCCCGGTTTGTATCTTTCAACCCAAGAATAGAAGTTTCTCTCGTCAAGTTAATTAAGAAAACTAAGTACATGGAAAGCACCAGATATGGCACGAGCGCTGGAGTGCCAATTCTCTTTTCCCTCGGCAATACAAGCTCGATGGTTCTCTCAGGAAGAGACAAGATGGAATGTAGGATACAAAACGGAAAACAAACGCAAAATAAAGGGGGAAAAAAGGGATATCTGCAAGGGCCTGCTGGCGTCAAAAGAGGACAGTAAGTTTTCGGAGAGGGCCGTCGCGCAACGGCCACACTCGCATCAGACATGAAAGATCACATGGTTTAGTATCCGTTCATGGCTGCGCGCTGCGAATTGCGGCTCAGCTCCCGGTCCGCGGAGGGGCTGATGGGTCGGCTGCCACCGGTGTGGCCACCAGCAGCGCTGCTTTCCTTCAGGGCAAGCAGCTGCTTGGCACGGAAGGTCTCGTAGTGGATCTGGCTGGTGGTCTCGACCAGATCCTGAAGGTGGGTGCGGGTCAGGAAGTTGCGCAGGTAGACAAATTCGCAGTGGTTCTCGTCCTCGACGTTGATGACACCCCAGCGGTTCTGGCGGCCGCGAACCTGCTTGCCATTGACAACAATGGTCTTCTCGCTGCCGACAACTGAGAAAGGAATGATGTCCTATAACGAAAGGTTAGCATGAAGTCATAATAACCCTGTCTGGGTCCAGCATACCTTGATCTGAGCATTGATAGCACGCTCCTCATCATCGAGCTCGTCATTATCGTAAGGGTACATCTTCAGGTTGTGGAAGGAGAACTCCTCCTTGATGCGCTCCTTGAAAGCCTGACGCTCTTCAAGAGTGAGAGAGTCGGACTTGGCAATAACGGGAACAACGTTGACGACATCGGACAGCTTCTTCAGAACAACAATATCGATGGGCTTGAGGCTATATGGAGTCAACGGGTCAGTCACATAGAGCTCGAGAGAAGGTAAAGAATGGGGGCAAACTTACGCGTGACCGGAGGGCTGGATGAAGAACAAGCAGCAGTGAACACGGGTATCTTGGATGTAACGCTCACGCTGAGCAGTGAGTTCCTTGCGGAGGTATGCCGAGTGCTGATCCTTGATGTACTTAACAATCGGGTCCCAGCTGATTAAGATTAGCTTAGACCTATCTCCAACGTGATGGGACTCAAATTACCATCGGTCATTGTTGACCTGGTCACCGTAACCAGGTGTGTCGACAATGTTCAAGCGGAGACGCACGCCGTTCTCCTCGATAACTAGTCACTCGTCAGCCATTCCGTATGTATAATATAGAATAAGTGATCACGTACTGTGTGACTCGGTCTTGATCTCGGTGGTGGAGCGAACGGGCTCGGAGGGAGTCAGGCGGCCCTTGGAGTCAATCAGGTGGGATGCGAAGATAGTGTTGATCAGAGTGGATTTTCCGAGACCAGTTTGACCTAAAGAGAGATTAGTTAAGGCTATAGAGGAAACATTGGCACGACACATACCGACACACATGACATTGAACTGAAAGCCACGCTTCAACAGCTTGCGCTCGATTTGCGAGGTAATGCTGTCAAAACCGACATGGCTATGGGGGAAAACAGTGGGCTGTTGAGCCGAAGCTGCTGTAGCGGCGGCCATTATGAAAGAGAAAGATTGAAGCTTGAAACAGCCAAAGGGGTAAAAAACCAGAGAAGAAGTACGTTGTATGTAGTTTTGAAGCAAGCGCACCCCCCTTATTATCGTCTTTCCGAACTCAGGGGTGGCCCATTCCTAATTAGGACTAGCGTCTCTCCACGAGAAAACTACGATCTTCTTTTGCTTCACTTCATTGTGATAGCTCCCATCCACTAAACCCTTCCAATTTTTTTTTTTCTTACTTGCTTGAAAACAATCATAATGGCATTGCGCCTTCTCCCTTTCGCTCCGGCAAATATGTCGCGTTCACTTCTGTCCGAGTCCCTTCAATTCCCCCGACTCGCTCGATTCCTCCCGATCACACCCATTGCGACCAAATTCCTACAACCGGTTTCGATCTCTCTCAATATCCCATCTCTTCTCTCCGATCTTTGGGATTCTGTCTTGCGCGCTGTTCCTAAGAAGAAGACCTCCCACATGAAGAAGCGTCATCGACAAATGGCCGGCAAAGCTCTGAAAGACGTGAAGAGCCTTAATAGATGCCCAGGCTGTGGCCAAATCAAGCGTGCCCATCTTCTGTGCCCAACCTGTGTCAAAGGTAGGATTTGAAACCCGAACAGGAATACATGCGGGTTTGCAGTGAAACTGACTATTCAATAGATATCAAGGAATCGTGGAGGACCCTAGACATGGCATGAGAGAAGACTGAAAGAAGGGCTTGCCTTGAGAGGGAACCAAGATTAATATTCTTGAGATCCTAATCTCAAGCCCCAAAAGAGAGATTGTATTTCTAGAATTGGTGGATATATGCTGCATGGCAACTGGCGTCTGGGTTTTGTGGAAATGTTTTGATATGACTTTTATAACAATTCGATCTATATCGAATTGGAACGCTGTGATCTTTTTTTTTACCTCTTTGCATGTAAATTTGAAAGCTAGGACTTGAATTGTAGATGTTATAGTTACGGTTCTTGGACTTGTTCGTTCTACTATGACTTTACTATCTATTACTGCTCTATTACTGCTCTGCTCTATATATAAGAACATGTCTGTACTTGGCTCATTCTTTATAGCCATGTAGTCAAGACAAGTACTAGATATATGTCAATAACGCAATGACTACTCCGTACTCCGTGTCTCCTTAGCTTTAACAGTTTAATTTATTTTACTTGGTATCAGATATTAAAGTGATAGCTAGATAGAGTAAATATAACAGGTATAACAGGTATAATAGATATAAACACACATATATACATTGGTTGTAAACAAGTTGAGTCGTAAAAGGCGATAAAGGCGGAACGGGCCTTCGGGCCCCAACGTCATTGTTCCTCCGCAAGTAAAGTCTCGACACAGTTGAAAGCACGGCATCATCAGAATGGTATGATCAAACCACGAAAAAAGAGAAAAAGAATCTCATTGCTAACTTATTTAGTCGAAACAATACCTCTCGAGGGGTTCTGCGGACAATGGTGAGCTTCTCATGCATATACCGGGCGCAGTTTGGCTAATAATTGTTTAGCGCACATTGTTGATATCTTCTCGCTGGCTATAACAGACAAGCAAATTCTGTCTACCTCGGGTGCCTCATCCATCAAAGTCCATTCCACCACGGACGCTGACTTCCCACTGGTGCAGTCCATTGATGGCGCCCACACCATTGGCTGCCATCACATCGTGACTAATGGGAATGGCTCCCGTGCAATCACCGCAGGGTTTGATGGTAAAATCAAGGCCTGGTCTTGTCAGGATGGCCATTGGATTGCAGATAAAAAGGTGACTGGTAGGTACTGCCCCCTCTTTGATAACAAAGGTGCAAGGCTAATAAGAATAGCCGACCTCACTAGTGCCGATGCCTGGGCCATAGCTCTTTCTGAAGATGGCCAGTATCTTGCTGGTGTCACGCAAGAGGGACGCATTAACGTATGGGATTTAGCTGCCGATGGCACTCGGATTCGAGACCATGAAACCAAAGGTAGCTTTGGTACTTGCATCGACTTGGTGAGATCCCAAATCCTCGCAGCTAAATAGTGACCCTTGCTAACTTTGGCGTTTAGTCTCCCGATGGTCGATTGATTGCTTCAGGCCATGAAGATGGCGCAGTCTACATCTTCACCACTGAAACAGGCCGCATGCCATTCTCTCTCTTAGGTAAGTGATGTTGAGCTCCTAGCAGAAATGCAATTTTTAATTCGGTCTAGGCTTGGTGAATCCCGTACGAGCTGTGGCATTCTCGCCTAAAAGTAAGATTTTAGCAGCTGCTGGCGACTCCAAGGTCATCGTGCTGTACGATACTTCCTCTGGTGAACAAATCGCCAATCTCTCAGGGCACTCTGCCTGGATCTTGTCCCTTTCCTGGAGCGATACTGGCGAGTACCTCCTAAGCAGGTCAGTCAATATTCTATGCATTGATATGAACTGCAAGCTGACATTTCCAAGTTCGTTTGACGGCAAAGTCAAGGTTTGGTCCATGGAGACCAAGGCCTGTGTCGCTACGCATTCAGAAACAGACAAAGCCGTTTGGAATGCCAAGTGGCTTCCCAAGGTCGGCAAGACAGAAGGGTTTGCCACCGCTGGCGCAAATCGCAGCATTGCATTCTACCGTGAGGCTACTGGATAAAAGAAGTAGGGAGGGTATTTGCGGAAATGTCCTTGCAGCTGCGTTATGACGATTTCAATGGAACTAGGAAACTTTACTGAACAATGCATGAAAATCATGAAAGCCGTATTGGAACAACCCAAAATGCCCCTTGATACTTCTTAGTTCATTGCCTCAACAAACAACTTACGCATCCGCTTCAGGAACGCCCCAAAATCTCGGTCATCGTTGACGAGATCTACCACATGCTCCAAGCTATCTCGGTCAACCTTGGGGCGCGTATGAAAAACCTCGTAATCGCGACTGGCGGTGCCCAGTTCAAACCAAGCCTCCGCCTCCCAGTCCTTCTCCAATAGATGGCTGTAGACAAATTTTAACCGGTCCTCACGTCCAGCGCCTTCAATTCGAATACAAAGGTAATCCTGCCAAAACTCCAACTCTGGAAAATTGAGACGAGCTTGCGCATCTAAATGTTGTGCGTGAGACTTCTGTGCCTCGACCTTTTGACTGATGGCCTTCTGTGTCTCGGCGATCTGCTGCTTTAAACGGTCACGTTTGGCAAGCCGGGAATCGCGTTCCAAGGTGATAGATGATATAGCTGCGTGCATTTCAGCAGCCTCGGCCGCTTCCTTTTGGAGGGTTTGTTCGTGGGTTTGTGATTTGAGGTTGAGAATTTCGATATCACGTTGTCGCATGCGCTCATCCTCTAATAGACCGTGTTAGACGCGGTTGTAGGTAATTTCAATGATTGACTCATACCTTCATATTCAGCCAGGTTAATGTGAAACTGGTTTCGTTCCTCCAAGACTCGTTTGCGACCGCGCTCGATAAACGCGTCAAACTTTACTGTGAATTGTGTCATGGTATTGCGCAGGTCCTCGAATCCAAAGTTGATGCTAGGCAATGAGTCTGCCATTGATGGTGCATCTGCCGAGGCAAGCGGTGGTCGCATACCACTTGTCGAGAGTGAAGGTTCAAATGAAGAAGTCATATTTGATTAAAGTATGAGTTGTGAGTGGTGAAGTTGAAGTTCAGGAGACAATAAGAGAGTTGTTTTGGGTTGCGGCGCAACAACTCCGAGTCTTATCGATAACGATAAAAAAAAAAAAAAAAAGAAAAACTTCCCCTGTCGAGTTTCTCTTGCTACATCACTTTTATGCGCATATTTATATGACCGATCTCTTTGCAATATCGACATGGTTTGGTCAGGTCCTGAACTGATCGCAATAAGCAAAGAAAGATCCGATGGGTGAAAATACAGGCAGTGCTCTCCACTATGGGCACGTAGGGCAAGCTATCTATCTTCCGGAGGAGGAGGACTGGACATTTACACGCTCTTTTGATAGGCGTAAGTACTTGAGCCTATTTTCTCTGAATCAGCTAACATGTTGCCAGCCCCGTCCATTCAGTATACCGGAGTAACCAAAACAAGAATCCCGTCGCCCTTTCCCCCAGCCAAAGTGCAACCAATACCCAGAGTACCTCCGAAAAACTCCAGGAAACTAATCACAAACGCGCATCCTGACCTGGCAGCATCATGGTCCTCCATTCGTGAGGAACCTTTGTCCAGAGCTGTTATAAGAACGGTTGAGCATTATGATCCGGAGATCTCTGCACTTTTCGATATCGGTTATGCGGTGGACCAAAGGCGCCATGACAAAAGGCTCCGCTCAGTTCCAATTGCGGTGGCTGTGGCCGGAGAAGGCCGTAATATAATTTCATTCCGAACTTTGGAAGAGGAAATTTTGGAGTTAACATCTCCACGGAACTTAGCATTTCGAGCTCCAACAATCAGTGACACTGAAATGTCTGAATGGTCTAAGGATGGTGCGCCAATACGTCAAGTACACTTTGCACGTCCCTTGGACGAGAAGCCCATGTTCATGGCCGCTCGTCTCGCCACAGGGACTACAATATTCCGACCTCTTTACCACTGGGACCCTGTACCTAGGCGCATACCGGAAGGTGCTATGCCGGGGTTTTCCACTCCATTACAAAACTCTCGGCTGGATGCCAATCCAATTGTAGAGATATCTGTGTCGCGAACAGGTGACGTTTCACATGCCGATGTGACATTCAACCCCTGGTATCAGAGACAATTCGCCATTGTAGATACCAGAGGTAAGTGGAAAGTCTGGGAGATCACCGGCAGACAGAGACTCCATCGGGCGACTTGGTCTGCCACGCTCGTCAAATCAGGCTCATTGCCCTTGCGGGATTATATACGGAAACATAGTTCCCCTCGGCCTGATGGCTGGGCAACTATCGAGTGGGTCCATAATGTTGGATCGGTAGTTGTCGCCAATCGTCACAGTGTCATAATCTATGCCATTACAGATGACCAGATTCAGCCACGCACGGTTGAGCTGGGAATGGCAAAGAAATCTGAGTGGGTTTTGGGCGTTCAAAGAAACACGCGCAAACCATCACAGTTCTTCGTCCTCACTACCACTCGAATATTGTGGTTTGATCTGGGAGCACTACCAGGCGAGGATGATACAAGCCTTTCTCTATATCCCCAAGTGTCCTGGAGGCACTTTCGAGACCCCGAAGACACGACTTTGCAACTTAGCGACATAGTCGTATACAAAGGTATGTTCTAGTGCGGTTGAACATGGGCTGTAAATACTAAATTACTATCTAGACTTATATCTTGTTCTATATTCCCATATCACTCGGATGGTACAGGTATTCCCTTGTCCCTTTATATCCGACGATCGGACCGAGTCTATATCTGTACCCGATCCCCTGGTGCTAGATACGCCTCTGTTGGCGGCTATACCGCCTAGCAAACGCGATTCTGTCTTGCGATTCTCGAGACTCGTGTTTAAAGAGATTGCGCACACTGTCACACCACGGGGTAGGAGATTCTATGACGCCCACTTGCCATTGTTCAAACTTTTCTGGATGGATTCCGATCTTGCCGTTCACGAATCTACTTTCACGGGCCCGCGCGGAGATCTAGACGAGCCGGACTCGTTTCGTGAGACTAATATCTTGCGGCTCAGAAGGCGTTATGCTCCGACATCATACATCAGACCCACTGATGACTTTCTTGTGGATGATTGGGACGAATCAGCAACACAAAGAGCCATTGTTCGTCGTTGCAAACCTAGAATAGGCCGAAGTACAGGGTCAGATTTGCAGTGGACCCTGGATTTCTCTGGTGTCTACAAAGTAGCGACAGGGAAGACAAAACTTAGCCGGAAAACCCAAACGAACAGACAAAGGCCGAAGCCAAGGACACTTGCTGGATGGATGGCAATTCTACAAAGTGAAATGAAGAATGGATCGAAGCGACCTCCAGGCAAGACTATGGTTGAATTGACTGGCAGGAGAATTTTGGCAGATGGTCTTGATGAAAGTGCAGTTGATGTGAAACGACTCATTTCAGCACTCGTGCCTGAACACCCTGACCCCGATGCTCATTGTCGGTATATGCTTCTATCGGTCCCATTCTCAAACAAGAGTTATCTCCCAGCCAAACTGTCAGGCGAAGTGGGCAGGGATCTTCTAAGTGCCTATGATCGAATGGTCGACAATTGGATGTCTACTCTGCCTCGCATCATCCCCGTGCATATACGACTCATGAAAGAGAGAGTCATTCGGGGGGTTGCTGCCGATCTTATCCTTTCACGCCTAGTCAAAATGTCTACCTCATTGGATGGCGTCATGCTATCCAAGCCCGCTGATCCCATTGAAGAACAAGCAATTGAGAAGGCAAATGAGAAGGCCGCGGCACATAACAAATATTTGCAATCGACCTACTTCGCATTATTATCATCACAAATGTCAAAGAACCACTCAAAGGGCAAAAATCGAGCCTCTGGACCCAAACGGGACAAGCCAGTGCCGCAGTCCAAGTACAGTGCAGTACCGGTATTAAGTGGCCTTTCAGCATTCGTCAAATTCAAGACTCAACGTCCAACACCACGAAATGTGGCAAACCTTCTCTCCCACTGGCCGGTGGGAACTAATCCCAAAAACTATGAATGGGATAGAATCGAAGACGAGGAGACGCGGAGTTCAAAGGCAACCAAGAACAAACGGAAGAAGCGTTCCCAAACTCGTGACCAATCGCTCCCTCCGACTCCGACAGTTCCCATAGTCCGAACATGGGGCAGTCAGCCACTTGCACCTCCTCGTATCAACAGTAGTCAGCTGGATATATCGATGACCCAAATGGAGCGAGGAACTTTTGGAGCTCGCACACTCAAGAAGCCCAAGAAGAAGAAGAGACAAGCTGGATTTTAATTTTATATATATATATCAAAATATTTCAAGTAATACATCTATAACCAATGGCGAATATGGCTCATAAAGGGATGAAATTATGACAAATGCAGAATTAGTATAGGTAGAGAGGATGTATATATATATATAATCTTCTCCTTCCCCCCCTTTCTTTAACTGTTTCACCTTTTTGTCTTATATTTCTCCGTCCCGCCAAGAATCTTCCCTCCTTCACCCCACCAAAAATTCCCATCATGTCTGAACATCAGTACAAGTTCAATGTGACTATGACCTGTGGCGGATGCTCCGGCGCCGTGGAACGTGTTCTTAAAAAGCTCGAAGGTAAGCGACGGCCTGTTCTTTTTTATTATTAATCCTTGGTCTAACATGGTCTATAGGTGTCAAGACCTTTGATGTCAGCCTCGAGACCCAAACCGTTAATGTCACCACCGAGCCTACTCTTTCCTACGATGCTGTGCTGGAGAAGATTAAGAAGACTGGCAAGGCTGTAAACAGTGGAGAGGCAGATGGGGAGAGCAAGGAGGTTTAAAATAGGTGTTTCCGGTCTTATATACCCTTTTTCTTCCTGCATGAGGTCTGGGACTAGAAGTCCAAATTCACCTATCGTGGAACTCTCAATGGTCCCAAGACTATAGACTGGGCTGCTAGGCAGTGCTAGGTGCCAGATAGAACATATCTACAGCGTTCCAACTTTAGGTTCCATAATGAAATAGGTATAAAAATGAGGAACCAGTAGTTCCCGATTCAAACTGGTATTGAGACCCACGAGAAAAGGTTCTAACGATATGCACACAGGGTATCATGAACAATGCAAGACAATGCGAATACAAAAAATAAAATAAAATAAAGAAACCTCGAAACAAGTCAGTTCCCCTAAAAGGGGAATGGGATAGAAAGTAGAATGAATTAATCAACAATGACAAAATGTCTTCCATCAAGGATGGAATGGGGTGGGCGTGGTTCAACCCTTTGAACGTAGACTGGGCGATCTTGCTCTGTAGTCTGGGAAGAGGGAGGGTTGTAGGATGATCTGTATCTGCGTTAGTGGGGATCTTCTCAAGGCATAGAGGAATGTTGTGTTGAACTGGTTGATTTCCCCAATGAAGGCTTACCGTGAGGATTTGAACCCGCCACTGGCCGGTCTTTCACGAGGGATCTGAGGGGGGGACACGCGAGGCTGGATCTTTCCTACAGAGTCTGAAAAGGTGCGAAGGTGGTCATGGGAAGAGGCTACTCGCGGTCCGGTGGGTAATGGACCACGTTGATCCGACGAAACCTGGGTCTGGGATAGATTCTTTGTGCCATAATCAAGATTTCTAGTCCGGGTAGACGGAGAAGGGTCTCCAATGGGCTTGGCCTCGGGTTCTGTACGCTTGGCAGCGTATTCAAGTGGAAGGGGCTCACGGTGGTCAATATGCCGGACGAAGTCATTGGCATACAGGTTTCTGTCTGAGTGGAGGTTCTCTGGTAAAGGGCGACCATCAATGCGGTGCCGAATGGTCCGCGACTCTTTCGGAACACGGTCCAAACGGAGACTACGATCACCATGGTAAGGATGCCACGGTCCAGAATTGGAAACGGCTGGAGCCGCTCTGAAAGTCCGATCGCCTTCCGAGACAACAATACTCGGACTGGAAAGTCCAGCCTGAGACTGGGGCTCATGTGGTCCGCTGACATGCTGTCGACCCAAGACTGACCTTGTTTCTAGGCCATGCTGTTGTGCATTGGGATAAGAAAGCGGGTTCCTTCCCCACTGGTGCCCTACAACAGGGGGCTGTTCCACTGGCAGATAGTCCCGACGGAACTGAGGCTGATCCTGGGGTCGATGGTCTGGGACAAGCTCCACACGGCGATACGACTGTGGTTGCCCGTATCCTTCGGAAATGGGGAGTCCCATAGGCCTTGCACTCCATGGATTTGGGCGGGACTCGGTTCGAGAACCTTCACGGCATGCCAAACGCCTTCTTTTGCTCGCATGTTCGCTTTCACCTTCCTTATCCACGACACCGGGTTGATGCATCATCTCTCCCTGAGGACGTCCTGGTGTGACCGATCGGAGGGACATATTGTTGGTCATATATACCAAAGGATGCGCACCGTCAGTCCGCCGGCTTTCTGATGGCCTGGGATTTTCAATCGAGGGCATGACGGAATCCTGTGTGTTTGAGCCTGGCCTGAGGAGAGGGGAACTGACGGAATCAGGGCGGCGTCCCACTGGGGTCAATTTCTGACGGTTTTCCTTTGGTCCGCTGACGAACACAGGTGCGTTGGTCCTATCCGACTGAGGAGGCAGTCTCTCCTGTCGAAATCTGGGCTCCATCCTCAAGGGAGGAACATCCTGCGAGTGAGTTATGTTCAAATTTCTAGGTCCAGAGAGTTCTTCTAGGATTTGCAACTCGGGCGATTCTTGATTAGTTAGTCCAGCTGGCCTGACGTTCAGTTCACGGGTTGAGTAATTCTGTTTGGCGTCCGAGTGAAGATAGTTTTCCTGGACACCTACATGTCTTTTGGCCACCTGTCGGTCCATTAGTGGAATAGGGAGTGTTCGATGTGCTTGGTTATCATTACTGGCTGAGCCTGGAAGGACTCGCCGATGAACCTCGGTGTGCTGGGGGACTATATCTTGCCGCCTAGCAGGGGGTATTTCCTGAGCAGTAATGCGCTGCTCGGCATATCGTGGGCTTTGCTGTTCAGACTGGGCACCCGAGTACTTGGGTTGTACTGTGCCATGTATACCCTCTCTATATTCCTTGACAGCGCGCGCCCATGCTTTGTATCGGTTAAATCCGCGACGGTCGATGGCCTCTGTGGCTGGGGCTCTTGTAACAAATCGGAACCCAGGCGGAGCTTCCTCAGATAGTTCCCGTGAAAGATCCGGACCTAGAGGGTTGGTATTGATATGCTGACACCGGATCTCTTGGGCCCGAGTATCGCTTGGAAGTATTTCCACACTGGCGTTTCGATGACCTGCTGAAGCAGCCGTATCTTCTTCTGATTCACTATCTTCGTCGTCTGAAATAACGATCACCTCACGGAAAACATCCTCTAGGACCGTCTGGCCGTTCTCATCATCCCCTCGCCACTCAATGACTTTTGCTAGAGTTGTGTGTTCAACAACCCCCCTTGCTTCATGGAATGAAGTGGTTTTTAGGAGGCGATCATAGTCAGTGTAGACATGTCGAACGTGAGCAACCACAGCGAGTTGGGCTCTACGAGCCAAAGGCAATTCGGTGGCTGTTCCAACTTTTTTCTGACCCTTTTTTTTTTTGGAAATCAGGTTTTCCACATCCTCATTTCTCGGATCAGGATTGGGTATATACGTACCTTTTGAAAAGCAGTTTTGATAATTTGATTTAAATCTTTGTCTGGTATGTTTGGAAAGAGATCCTTCAAGGCATCCCGTGCTTCTGTGTTGAGGGTTATTTGAGAAATTTCAGAATCAGCCTGCCTAGGATTCTCTATCCTGTCTGTAGGAAAGGTACTGGGCACTGTTTTACCAGTGCTTGTGAGGTAGAACCCCAGCTCTGAGCAAACAGCTGCCACCACGGTACTAGGAAAATGATACCCTATCCGATGAACATGTTGGGACAGGTTATGATGGCGATGGTGAGGGGTAGTCTAAAAAGAAAATAAGCAGTGTTGATCATTTAGCGACCAGATGGGGGTTCTCACCGATACTGCGTAAATCTGAAGACCCTCATCTCGACAGCGCTCCTTACACGTTGAAGTAAGTTGCGGGTTGCCTGCAGGAATGAAGGTGTAACCACTTGGTGCTTGCGCTTCGAAACAGATCTGTGCAGTTTTGTTAATCATCTGGTCAAGCTGAAGAAAAAGAGAAAAGAGAGAAAAGAAAAAGAGAATATACATACGACACTCCGAAGCTTTTTCTTTTCTTGGGTTACAGATTCCATGATGACTTTGTGTCTTCTCGCTCTCTTTTGAATAGCTCGGCTAGGACCATGCCTGGCCGAGGCCGAAGCAGCCCTTCTTATGACACGGGCCATACTGGTTCAGCTTATCGCAGAACCTTGCGAAGATGGAGATTTCAACACATAATTCGCAATATGTATTGGAACTGTGATATAAATGGGGTAGATGGTACGTGTCTCCTTGTCTAGGTCAAAGTGAAAGGCGTGATCAAGTGAAGACAAAACCACGTCTAATGCACACCAATGTAAAGGGTACAAGGTAAAGACACCCCGCAGTCGCTCGAAACAGAAATAAAGCCCTCGTGAGCTTTTTGAATGAGACCTTGAGCAAGAGTAAGGAGCATAGAATAAAAAGAACAAGAATGTCAACGGGAGGAGAGATGGAAAGATGGAAAGATGGAGAGAGAGAGAGAGAGAGAGAGAGAGAGAGAGAGAGAGAGAGAGAGGGATTGATAAGATTGCTGTTGCGGCCCAAATCACCTCTCCCGATCGGGCTAGTCCTGCCTGAGGCTTCAACCGTTCCCCAACTTTTGACCGTCTTTTACTCTTCTTTACTCCGATACACACACATTTGGATTCAATACTTCGGATCTCCGTGGATTCCGCCGATTCCGTCTGATTGCACATCTGCCGCCAATTCGTTGGCTTGGACTTATCCAATAGATCATGAACGCTTCAATCCAGGCCATGAAGGTGGATCAAAGAGCCATGGTCCACGCATACCGTCACCTCTACCGACAGGGGTTGAAAGCGATTCAGTATTCGACACCGGGTCGCCATATGCTTCTAAAATCCTTGCGAAAATCCTATCGTTCCACCCCCTCCGAAGAGTTTGATCCTGTCAAAATCAACAACACCCTTCGTTTTCTCGGACGAGCTACCGAGGTCGCCGGCATGGAACACAAGATTTTGAAGAACCTTCTGTTAGCTAGGTATTGGGAACAAGGTCACCTTGTGAGAGAATCTCGCGTGTGAGTAACCATCGACAGAAGTGGAGAAGAAAGCCGCTGACTTGGCCTCAGTCCACGATCCCTGGGACTCGGTCATGTAGAGAACCAGTTGCGGACAAGCGTCTTTGACCATTACAATTTGGCACTTGACCGTTTGAATGAGAGTCTAGGGACATGTCTCAGATGATTCGGACTCCGCACTTCTCGACTTTTACGTCGGTGCTGATCCGACCCGCCACGCCAGATTATTATGCATCCGTTAGGCCTCAGTGCTTCCCTTGGGCATGAATCCACCTCGACGCGAGGCAACCCGCCCAAAAGGGAATTGCACATACCGGGTAATTACCATGGCCAGAACACCGGTACATGTCCCAATCGCACCAGGATTCTGTAGAACACGACGGCCGCCTTTGGGTCAGCATCGTGTGTTGTATTTCCAGGCAATCTTATGGCACACACGTTATGCCAACGGAACTATACACGCCTTGGTGTCTAATGCAACATTGTAGAGCCACTCCTGGTCTCCAGACTCGAGACTAGTTGACGGTAGCATTGCCCCCCCGCCTGAGCATAATGGCGCGGCAGCAAGACAGGATGGATGATGAGACTATGTGGTAGAATACTATCAGCAAATTCTAAAGCAAATGATAGTCCATTATATTTCCCAATAGTCCCTTATTTTCGAGTCAAATACATAAAAATCGTGCAATCAGCTCAGGCTCCAGCCCCAGAGCATGTGACGATGATTCAGCACCGGAGGCGGTGCCCGTGGACGTCACATGTCACGATGTCTGCTGTTTCAGCTCCAACTTTGGGTTTGATTTTGCTTGATTTCAAGCATCGAAAGTGATTAAGTGAGATGCCGGTCCACAGCCCTTCATGAGTGGTTTCATTTCCTCGCTACTGATCCATATTGGAATACGATCCCCCTTACCACCCAACCAGCCAGATGATGACCAAGCTAAAGTTCACCTGAATGAACAGACATACCCCTCGAGTGATAGTGAAGACCATAAATTTATTTTTCAACCGGGCCAAGATAACGGACATAAATCGAATTGCGGAGATGCGGGTGCGGGGTCCCTGCATAGCCCTCCTTTCTTCACAACCCTACCTAAAGAGATGGATGGCCGAAACTTGCAATCGGAGGGCACTCAATCAGTGACCCACAACACACCCGGAACAATCCAAAACATAACTACACCCACAGACGGCCCTTCTAATCCCACACATGAAATCGACGTCACCTCGCCGCCGGACAGTTCGGGAAATTCACAAGCTTCACATCCCAGCGAGGCGTTTAACTCGCACAATGAGCCACAATATGCAACTTCAGCAATAGCCATTGGCGAGCCTCGGCGATCTTTGGGCAGTGCCTTTGATCCAGAGGGTCTGGTACAGTCTTCGCTTCCAGCAGATGATGGAATGGGAGTTCTAAGAAGCAAGATCATCGCAATCAGGGAGTTGCGGCTCAGCAATGTTGAAAAGGCGCGAATGGTCCACAGTCTGATGACGGAAGGTTACAATTCGTCCCGTGACCGTGACTTGCTGAACGCCCCTGGTACGAGGGTATTATCAACCCCGTCGAGCCCACGGAGCTTGGGCCTGCCAACAAGCCCGAGAGCTCCTCGAGCCTCAGAGATCAATGCTTCTAGACCCGGTTCCCCATACTCTGAATCAGCTCCTCTATATGAGAGCACGTTCAATCTCACACCCGAAGATCTCCAGCCCACTTTCGTACCCAAAGCAGAATCAGAATCACCAGAACTTGAAACTGGTGATGAAGACTGTGACACAGAAGAACAAGATGAGACTACTCTTGGTTGTGTGCATTACCAACGCAATGTCAAACTCGAGTGCCATACTTGCAAAAAATGGTATACCTGCCGCTTCTGCCATGACGAAGTGGAAGACCACTCTCTCGTTCGTCGAGACACCGAACACATGCTCTGTATGCTATGCGGGCATGCACAGCCTGCAGCGCAGAACTGCCGACGGTGCAACGAACAAACTGCGCAGTATTATTGCGAGATTTGCAAGCTCTGGGATAATGACAGCAAAAAAAGCATCTACCATTGCACCGATTGCGGTATATGTCGAATTGGACAGGGACTGGGGAAGGATTTCTTCCATTGCCAGGTAAAGACTCCGACACAGGTCAGACGATATTGATACTGACGTCGTCATAGACATGCTCCGTTTGTCTTCCTATGTGCATTGAGAACACCCATCGTTGCATTGAACGGTCCACCCAGTGTGACTGTCCTATATGTGGTGACTACATGTTCACTTCTCCAGAAACTGTCGTAGTCATGCGATGTGGCCACAGCATTCACCACAAGTGTCTCTCAGAGTACTCCAAAAGCTCCTTTCGTTGTCCCATCTGTAGCAAGACCATCACCAACATGGAGTCGACATTCCGAAACCTAGATCGCACCATCGAGAGCCAGCCTATGCCCGAGGAATTCAAGGACACCAAAGGCCTTATTTACTGCAACGATTGCGGTTCAAAGTCAGTTGTCAAATATCATTGGCTCGGCTTAAGATGTGATTTGTATGTACCCCCTCCGAGAACAAATATAGGCGACATCTACTGATGACATCTAGATGTGAGTCGTACAATACGGCCCAACTTCGCATTTTGCACGGAGATATGTCTGCTCAACCCGAGGAAGAGTCCGGGGAAGACGTTCCTCGGCCTCGGTCGTCTTCGCTCATTGAAAACGATGACTCGATATCGTCTTCTCTGGCAACGTTAAATGTCAACAACACATCGGTTCCGCGTTCACGACTCAGTGTCCCTATGTCCCCCGAACCCGTTAGACGATTCTCATCCTATAACATCACTCGAGGCCGTGCTGTCTCGCCCGTCGTCAGCAACTACTTTGGACTACCGACTGAGCGTGAATCAGAGAAACCTTCATCTATGCCCTTCTTTGGGGGTCCATCTCGTGGCGAGAATGAGGACTACGGTGCATTGAATTTCTTGAGCAAGAAGCTTACATACCGCTATGGACTGTTTGGCAGTGAGACTAAATCGACTGAAAATATATCCGAAGCTGGGAACGAAGAAGATGACGGGGAGTCTTCTGACTCGGCTGAATCGGATGGTTCTCATGATAATGATAATGACGACGACGACGACGAGGAGGAAGATCAAGATCAAGATCACATCCAGATTTTCGGCCATCAATGAGGCTGATGCAAATCCGTGCGCGTGAACCCAGATGCCTGGTGGTGAGTTGATTTATCATCCTAGGAGATGTGACCCAACAGCTATCTGTTTGCATTCATCAATTACTCCTTGACAAATCATGCACCGAACAATGAACATTCTTCTACCCGGTTCATGGATTCGATCTCAAATGCATTATCAAACCCGTGTCCATCCCTGACCCGGTTGCACCGGAAGACAGACAGGCTCCTTTCAGGCAGTCTTCTGCGCTGAGATGATAGCTCCCCTCATTTTGTGTACATTTACACATGCGATGGCTACAAATGTGCCTTTGATCCGATGATTCATGGTTCAACATAGTTGACCAAGTAAAGGCCAACTCATCGCATTTGAGGAGGTTGGTTCTACATACATCAAGCAGCCGGCTTCGCTGCAGCATAGCGTTTATGTACTTATTCTTTTGTGTAGTGGTTGGTATTGTTGTGTTTCTTTGGTTCTTGCTGTTTTTGGGTGATTGTGTGTGTGTTATTGTTTGGTTGGGTGGTGGCGGGCTGTGCCAAAGCTGGTATCATGAAACGATAGAATTTGATTTCAAAAATTCTATCTTGGCTTCTACTAAATTTTCTCATTGGTTGTGGCATGCCGAATTCGGAACAGCTAGCCCTGGAGATAGCAAAGGATATCTCTACCTGGCTGAACTCTCAACTTTCGTATACAACATATGACCAAGCCACATCTGATATAGTCTGTAGCATCACGAGCCAATGTGTGTAGATGTAGATTACTGGGCCATTTCAAGGTGCAGCACTAACTGTAGTACATGGCCCTAATCACAGATGCAGATGACGAGAAGAGGCACGGGGCAGAATAGGAATTCGTGCTTATCGTATTTGCAAATCGATGAGGGTTGGACCTCGTAGAGATATCAGAACATGAATCGCCATACAATAATATTATATATAACATATACTACATACCAAATTCCCAGGCTATAAATAGGAAAATTGAAGCCCTCCAGGCCCGGGGCCCCGGGGGCTTATCACGCTTACATCAGCGTTGACGTTTTCTGCTTGCAGCCACGAGATTCCATTTCGAGGATCTACGTATCAGGCACGATGTCTGGTTTCATCACAGGCTGTTTTAGCTATTTAGCTGTTGATCTATTGACCTATTGAACTGATTCATTTTCCTTTCCCCCTAAATCTCCTGAAACAAGGCACGGATCCCTCCCCCAGCCGAGTGATGCGCTTGTCTTTGGCTCCTTGATTTCAGCTAGATTGCTCCTTTTTATCTTCAAAAGACATTTGAAATCACTCGACTGGGAATCCTATAACCTAGTTAAAAGAAGTGAAAAACTCCTGTGAACAAGTCTTTTCCAATCTCTTATCAGTGCCCCGCCGATTCTCTCTTCGCTTTTATCAGTTCCGCGTCGCACCGTGTACTATGATCCGTCGCAACTCCGACATCGAGATCCAGCTCCCGGATGCTGGTCCAACACCTCTTTCACCCGAATCCCTGAGCAATCTCGATGTGGAGATGCTCTTGGACGAGCCAGCACTTCCCTTGAGTCTCCCACCACACATCGCAGCCCGGTTCTACCGCAAAAGCAGTAAAGCCCGCCGTTCCTCCGCTTCATCGCGACGGAGCTCAGTGTCCTCCTTACACTCCCAAAATTCGAACGCGTCCTCGAATGCCTCGCCAAGTGCGGATCATATTGCTCAACACCTCCGCCGCACGTCCATTCTAGAGAGCCGAAAGGCACGACTCGCTGATCGTGCATTGCATGCGGAGAAAGTGAGGCTGCGAGCCGCTCTGGCTAAAGCAGCTACAAGAAATCTACAATTCGAAGAGAGAGCGCTAGCAGCTCAACAGGCCCGGGAGCGCCTGCTCGCCGATATCACCGCCAAGTGCGAGGATCAGGTCAAACGGGCTAAGAAGAAGGCCGAGGATCATCGGGAGAAGAAAGCTGCTGAACAAGCTCGCTTGCGTCTGGAAATGGCGGAGAAGTTTGCGGAGGCAGAGAAACGGCGCACATTATACCAGCAAACCCACCGCCGTCAACGCACTAGCAGCTTGCCAGCCACGGAGGAAAAGAAGATGTCCCGAGAGGTCACCAAATCGTTGACGCGGGATGCGGCTGCGCGGAAGATCCAACGTGTATGGAGAACCCATAACGCGAAGATGATTATGCAGCAGTTCCAGTCGTTGAACCTGTCTGTGAACCGAGTTCGCGACATGACCTTTGAAGAAGTTGGCGCTCTCCTTTCTAATAACAAGCTGCTCGACACTATGACGAAAGTCATACGACTCTGTGGTCTGCAAGATGTGGAAGGCGGAGCCATGGGTCAGAGGGGTGCAGTACGCACATTTCTCAGCAGTTATCTCATTGTCACTCACCCGAAAGAGGTTCTGAGCAGCAATGGAGACCAGGAGCAAGATCTGATTGCCAAGGCCCGAGAGTTGCTGGCAGCCTTTGATCAGGTCACGGCACTGCTATCGTCAGGCTGTTGCTCTCCATCTGTGATCACTGCGGATCTCCAGACTTTGTGTGAATCTCACAATGTGTTTTTCTCTGCTTTCCATGCTTGGAAATCCCACGACTCTAGCGTACTGATTGAGATCATGGTTGCGCAGTTTGTCGAATTGGAGTTGATTTGGCAGACAGTCAAAGATGATAAAGCTGGCGGTGCTGCAGAGGACTACAGACAGGGTATCCGGCAGAACCAGGTCCTTTTGCTCGCTCGTCTGAAAAGACTTGCGGGACCTGATCGACACATGGAGATGATTCGAGATTCATTGAAGAAGGCCAAGCGAGAGAAGAAGAGGGCTGCCTCCAAGCAAGCTATTCCCCGGTCTGCTGAAGCTCCTCCTCCAGCCACAGAAGCTACGCAGAGCGTTACATCGCCTCTTAGCGAGCCATTCACAAATATTGATGCCGCAGTGTTCCAAGAGCTAGACAAGCAGCGGACGTCTCCCCATGAGAGATTCACCAAGATCCTCACCCCTCTACCTGAAAACCGGGAGCTGGTGCATGAACTTCTCATCAACAAAGAGTTCAAGATCGAGGAAGCGCCATACACTGAACCGCGCAGGCAGATTATGAAGCAGATGTGCGACACCATGAGAAAAGGAGTGGAAGCTGGACACAGCACCAACTGGATTGTCGCCATGGCTACAGTGATTCAAGATCGCTTGCTGCGCTCACTCCAACGGGGCAATTCCCTTTACGTGATAATTAGTGAAACCTTGGACCCAAAACTGGTTCAGGGGCAGTGCGAGGCTGGCACATTCTCCTATGATAATTTCTTCGACTTCATGAACAACATTTTACCTCGCCTATGCGCTCCTTACCGCGATCCTGTGGTCACGGCATACATTGAGGACACTTCGGGCGATGCGATCGACCGGCTGGCTCGATTGATGAGCATTATTGACCTGCTATCGCTTGACCAAACTAATTTCATGATCCAGCTTGCTGCACCCCAGCTCATCGAGGAAGCTCCGGGTTATGAGCAGCGGGCATTCGACCGCGACATCACAGACGGGACTATCAACCTAGGCAAGACTCGCCGGTTTTGGAGGACTCATCGCAAGATCATCGTTGATGAGATGAAGAAGCGAGACCCGGAAGGCATCCAAGGAGAACCACGCCCACCACCAGCACGAGTCTACGCCCAAGGTCTTGCCGACACCGTTCTAAGCAATGCGGTTGTATCCGAGGATCTAGTTCCAGAGACTCTGAGCCTCGATCGCCGACGCCTCGAACGGCTGCATGCCAGGGCATTCCAAATTGTAGCAACAGCTTCCATCCTATTGACGGCAAAGAACCTTCTCAAGCGAGACGCACGGTCTCAATGGAAGCCCGAAGCCGATCGGATCCTGTCCCTGGACTTCAACGAGATCAGCGCAGAGCGAGTACAATCTATTCTCGAATCGACGCATCCGATGCCACCCACTGCGAGCGCCCAGCTCGCAGCTACTATCAAACGAGTGCTCGGACCCGTCGCCACGGCATGTCTTGCAACCGTACCCCAGCTGGTGACTTCAGAGACCTCTGCCTCAGACGCGTCCTCGACGGACTCACAAGGAACCACCGCGTCTAGCTTCTCGGACCCGGTAACAAAACTCATTCTCTCTCGCCTTCGCAGCCATGTTCTATCGCGTCTCAGCGCATCGAGTGCCTCTGAGCGGGTGCGGGCTACTACCACGGCCAGTCAGAATCTAGCTGGAGCGGGTATGCCAGAGTTTGTTAATGAGGTTGGAAAGTTGGTAGAAGAATTGGAAAAGGTCCGGGAGGTGGATTGGCTTTGCCATGGGGCGATATATGAAGGTTTATACAAAGAACGTGTTCCAACACAATAAAGGGCGTTCTAGAAGGGCATATACATATAATGTCTTTGTGAGTGGAATTTGGACTGGGCAGATTGGTATACTAGTTTCTAGGGCTATGGAGTTAATGAGAGTGAATACTTTCTTATATTCATCAAATTTCCTATAAAATCTCCAATATAAAAATCCCTTGAAAGTCCCTATCTTCACTATCTAATCAGCAACTCCCCCTCCACAACCAAAAATCCAACCTCAACCTCACCCTAATCCCTTCAATCCCTTCAATTCTCCAAGAAACATAATTATGTCTCCAAAATTTACAATAACACATCTATCCGACCTAACACCCCCCTCCCAAGAACGAACCTGGCTCACAGCCCCGCACCCAACTCTCCCAATAGTCGCAACCTGCAGTTCAGACAAGACCATCCGAGTCTACTCCCTCACAAACTTCACCCTCCTCTCCACAATCACAGGAGGCCACAAGCGCTCCGTCCGCACAGCAGCATGGAAGCCACACATGACGGGGGAGTCCGTCCTGGCGACGGGCAGTTTCGACGCAACAGTCGGCATCTGGCGGCGATGGGATAGTTATGGACAGGAAGACGGTGTCGGGATGGGGATGGGCAGTGGCGATAAACAGATCCCGGCCGATAATTTAACAGTTCCTAACGGTGCCGGTACTGGTACCGGCACCCCAGACCGCGAAGAAGACGAAGAAGAATGGCGCTTTGCAGTTCTGCTTGACGGCCACGACAGCGAAGTCAAGTCGGTATCATGGTCTGCATCAGGGATGCTACTTGCGACCTGCTCACGCGACAAGTCAATTTGGATCTGGGAGGATCTTGACGACGGCGATAACAACTTCGAGACCGTTGCTGTAATGCAGGAACACGGGGGCGATGTAAAATGTGTTTCGTGGCATCCTTCCGAGGAGTGTCTTGCTAGCGCGAGCTACGACGATACCATCCGGCTATGGCGGGAGGATCTCGATGATTGGGGCCAGGTAGCATGCATCAAGGGACATGAGGGGACAGTTTGGTTTTTGGATTGGGAGGGAGAAGAAGCCGAGAATTGGAACGGGCCAATTTCGGATTCGGATTCCGTTTCTGAGTCTGATCTGAGCGCTTTAAGAGCTCAGTGGCGTTCCCAAACAGCGCTTTCCGGTCCACGTCTCGTATCCTGCTCGGACGACCGCACCGTGCGCGTGTGGCGGCGCCAGCCGAAGGAATCACAACAGAACGGGGCACTGTCTTCTGCGGCGACGGGGATCCCGAGTATCATCCGACCCAGTGGGACGGATGAGGTTTGGGAGGAGGGTACTGTGCTTCCGCATGCGCATGAACTACCTGTTTATGCTGTTGCGTGGAGTAAGCGGACTGGACTTGTTGCTTCGACTGGTGCAGATGGAAGAATTGCGATCTATGAGGAGCGATTCGTTACTCGAGAGCAGGAGCAAGGTGATTCAGATGCTATGGATACTACGTCTGATGTGTTGCGGACGGAGTGGGTACTTGTTGGTGTTCAGGATGGGGCCCATGGAATTTATGAGATCAATCATGTTGCTTGGGCTAAGAGGGCAGATCGGGAGTCTGGTGGTGAGGAAGTGCTTGTTTCAACAGCCGATGATGGAAGTGTCAAGGTTTGGACTGTAACGCGGTGATGGAATTGGCTGGGTCTGGATAATTTATAGACAACATTCTTGTATTTAGAAGAATATATAATGTCACCCGGGCATTGTTAAAAAGGCAGCTATATAGATGAAAACAGATACTAAGCGCTTAGAGACTACTTAGGTGTTGACACATGAGCTTCGTCAATTGAGTAAAGTACTATGTAGTCAGGCTATAGCAGATATCAAATGAACCCCATATTTAAAATTAGATCAAAACTCCCAGAACACCGTCTACTTTATACAGATGCCAAGCCATTTCAAAAACATACTCAGGAAGACCGGTGGTTTTCACTTCCTGGATGAAAGGCATCATCATCACTAGCTTCGCCAACAGCGTAATCCTCTCGCTCGATCCCAGGAGAATGAAGCTGGTCAAGCTCAGATTCATCAAAATCACCAGCCTCAACATCACCAGAACGCTTGCTCTGGAATCTGTTGAGAATAGATGCATTGTCCAACGTATCATTATTTGAAACACCCTTGTAGCCCTCGCGAGCACGACGACTGCGCCAGATGAAAATGCCCCAAGCGGTCACTCCGATAATCACAACGATGAGAGCAGCCTCGCCAGACTTAGTATATGCGTGTATTTTAGTCTGTTTCAGCCTCTCCTTTTCATTCTCCTGCGCAGCAGTACTATTAGCTTGTCCCCCAACCGCAGTCTGGGGCAACTTCTCGCCGTCAATGCGTGAATCGGAAGGCTGGCCACCGATGCTGGCGATATCGACTTTCATGAAGCGATCGAGCATGTCGCGACTCTGGCGAGGGTTGTCGAATGGAACCATGTGGCTGGAGTTGTAGAATAGCACGTAAGTGAGGTTACGAGCAGATTGGTATATGCCAGCGGGTTCGTCTTCGAAGGACCAGTCGTGACGCGGGGCCCAAACGCCCGGAGACGTTTCGAACCCGGTGCCACCCTTCCATTTCATGTTGTGAATCAGAGTCTCTGTCCCGATGTGGTTACAGATAAGGTCTTTGTCGCCGCTGAAGAGCAGGACGTTGATGCCCGATTCGATCAGACCTGGAAGCAGCTGGACGGAGGGGATGGAATTCTTTGCAGTGAAGGCCATGTGGACCATACCAGCGCATTCTGTCCAGCCGGATTTCTTTGCTGGGTTAATGTTCAGGGCTTTGACGACATCCGGTCGCTGGAGATACGGCTCAATGTTTTTCAGGTCGGGGGGCCAGTTCATGCCACAAGATTTAGCCTTGTCCTTGAGACGGACATCGTACATGTTGTAACACTTCTGATCTTCGGTGGTGAGATCGAGGAATTGTTGCAAGACTAGCTCACACGCGTCAACATCCAGTTTGTTCTTTGCGCTGGGGGTCTCCAGTTTCGAGAGACAGACTTCATTGAGTGCGTTTATGTTGTGGTGGAGTGATGTGCCTGGTTTGATGAGACCTTCTCTCTCGATATACTTAAAGTACGACGGGTACTGGTCGGCAGGAGAGATCCAACCGTTACCGATCAGCAAACCCTTGATAGGCCACTCTGTGCCTCCGTTTTCTGCAACGCCCTTGTTACGATCGTGAATAGCCTTTGCGATATATGGGATGTGCTGGCCGGCATACGATTCACCAGCGATATATAGCTGTAACACAGTTAGAGATATGATGTAGTAGAGGAGAAGGGAAACGTACGTCATCGCTGGCATATTCGGGGAATAGCTCAAAGAACTTGTCCAAGAAGATAATGAAGTGAGCAGCCATCTCGTCTAGCTCGTGGAGATAGCTATTAGTGTTCACATAGCTGAAACCGGTACCGACGGGGTTATCAACGAAGAGCAGGTTGGCAAACTCATCCCACCTGCCCTCGTTGTACTTCAACGTATGGTCGTCCTGAAGTCGGTAGGGTCCAACTTCCATCAATGCGCCATCCATAGAACTACATCCTGGGCCACCATTTAGCCAAATGACAGTGCGCTGTCGGTTTGCGATGTGACGGTTCTGGAAATGCCAGAAGAACAGGTTGCCGTTGGTGTTGGGATCGACCTCGATATGTCTATAGTTATCGCATTAGAAAAGGCCCCAAAGTTCAAAAGAGGTGCAACCTAGGAACTCACCCAGCATGCATCTTCAAGAAAGGGCCTTCCGGCGCCCCAGGTAATGAGTGCACATAATAATCAGCCGCCGAACTAGCTAACACCGAGGTCGGGTTTAATAGCAGCGATATTGCGGATAATAATATTGTGGTACCCTTCATGGAAGGGAGGAATGGTATTGGGAGCATTTCAGCCAGAGTATCGTTCAAGTAAAGGTGTACGGAGTAGTCGAGTGTCCCGGGAGGGACTCGTAGATGCGGGATTAACAGATCATCGAATTCGAGGATGGACAGAGGAAACAGTTGAAATGGACAGGTTTAAGCAAATAAAGGGAAATCCCAAAAGTTAAGGTCAGGAGTGTACGAATTAGAATGACGAAGTTCAAAGGGAACATTGAAAGCCGGGTGAAATGATACTGTAATTACAGGTAATTATAGACCGCCACTCAAGGCTTACCTACTCTCCGTCTTTTAACTACATATACGTATATATACATCTATATATATAGATATATACGTGTATATGAATTATGGATATAGATATTAGTATGTAAATATAAATGTATATATATTGGTTTAATGTATAATAAATATTCAAGTTATATATATAGATGTTTTGATGTATTGTACTGTGTATTTGATTATATAATCCAATGTCTCAGGCTAATTTGGGAAATTTTTACTATATATGGAGTATACGGAGTATACGGATCAACTCATTTTGGAAATTTGAATACCTTCAACTTTTACTAGACAACCACAGAATATCTTGAAACTCCCTGAAACCCGAAACAGTATCCCCTTGCCGATCTTTAATTTTAGATCTTCAGCTAGCGTATATTAGAAATCAAGAGACTTGTCCGCATCATTCTTAATAAGATCCACCATTCCCTAAACTGTTAGCTTATTTCTCTCTGGTAATTCGATAATCTTACATCAGGCATAATAGGTTGCTCATTAGCATCCTTGACATAACGGAAAGGCATCTCGGTGCGTTCATGCTCATTGATGATCAATTCCGGGTAGTCGACATATTGAATGTCATCGAGAGGAACTTGATAAAGATCAGCATATAGCACATATATCTAGATTTTGTACTCACTTTTCTCATGAACAACCAAACGAGTAACTCGCACAGCAGTATCAGTAGTCATCTGCTTAGGCCCCAATCGGCGGCCGACATATCCTTTCTTTCTCAATTCCGAGGTACGATCTACAAAAAGGTCAGTCTCTAGTTGACATGGAGAGAAAGAAAAAAAAAAAAAATTCAACAACGTACCTCTAGGCGGGTCATCGCCTACAGCAGTTAACAGTAAAAGGTCAGCCTGAACTTCAATACGGATATCGTGGGGTAATTAATTTCTCATACCAAGGATACCACCGAATAAAAAGACTTCAAAAATATCACCATCCTCGGGACTCAATTCAACCTGAGCGGAGGGGTCTAGCAAGCAGACCTTATCTTTGCGGTCGGCGAAGATCTCTTCGACACTACGCTGCTCGACCTCGAGACCCTTAGTAGCGGCCAGTTCTGCAGGCATCTGCAGCTCAGCGGGCACAGAGCTGAGCATGAATCTTGCCCCGCGGTCGTGGGATTCACGAGCAATACAGGCATATTCCAGTGTGGACCATGGTCCTAGTTCAGGATCCAAATGTTCAACTACAAAAGTTGGTTGAGTCATGGTTGAGATGTGTGAAGTCATGGGGAAAGAGGGAAAAAAAAGAAAAAAAATCTTGGGAAGTTCAGATTCTGTCGGTTCCACTGTGGTGACGGTTACAATCCAATTGTATTAGATATTTAATTGTGAGAGATAATGAAGATGGTGTATATATCGCCACTTTATATTCTTTGAATAGAATGGATAAATTAGAGTAAAAAGAGATAAACTACTATATAACTCAGATATCACATATGTAGTTATATAGTATATATAAATAAAAAAACCCCGTAGTTATCCAAATAGAATCCCACACATCAACATCTCCTTTTAATTTCAAAAGAATTTATTTATTCCTATTGAATTTATTCTATTATTCTCCTTCTCTTTCAAGTCTCCCGTCTCCCCCGGTCACACACCTCCAACTTCTCCCCGCCTTATCTTTCCCGATTCCCCTCCAACTTCAACTTACTTTCTTCAACCATCCCATCATGAATCCCCACCAGCAGAACAAAGTGGATATCAATGTAAGTACTTTTACTATTTTATACCATTATAACTAATAAATCAGTCCCTGAGCCCAGAGGAGCAGCGCCTGCTGCGTCTCTATGGCAAGATGCCCACCAAGAAAGACGTCCTCCAAAACAAGCTTAAGGTAAGTCAAATACTAAACCCCCCCCCCCCTAAAAATACCATTCTAATATTTAATTTCCTATAGGAACGCAAATACTTTGACTCAGGTGACTACGCTCTCAGCAAAGCCGGCAAAGCCTCCGACGTAGGCGTCACCAATATCGGATCCCGCCACCCAGTGCCGGAGAATATCCCGCACCTAACCTCAACCTCACCGGGTGTCAACAACTCTGCGAATAATGGAAGTGTCAGTTCCCAGGGTGGACAACAGATTCCTGGCAGCATCAGCGGACATCCTGGATCGATCGGGTTCCAAAGCCGCAGCCCAATTAAGGATGGGGGTAGCTTCCTCCACCGGGGCTCCAGTCTCAGCGAGGGTGAAGCAAGCTCTGGTCTGGCCTCTGGATCAGTGCAGGGTGAGCAGGAGCTTAGTGTCAGTCCCCCTGCTGCAAGAGAAGGTGTCCCTATCCGTAAATGATATATCCTCCACTACACTAGTGGTTGTTATGAGGGCGATTGCATGCATATCTTTTGAATGGGGTCTGTTGATTTCACTTTCAAAAGCCTGGCGCTATGGGAATTTCTTTTTTCTTTTTTTTTTCAATTTGACTTTTGTGAATGGGGATTGCACTGCCGGACAGAGCAAGAGTGGCAGAGATTAGTGCTTGGACTGGTCCTATTGACAGTTCTCTCACTGTCCACTGTTTTGCTCTTTATTGTCTCGACTTTTTCTCTGCCATTTACCATCTATCATCATCTGTGGCATTGGATTTTTTTTTTATCTATTTTTCTTGACTTTTACTCTCCTTGTCCATATCTAGTTCATACGACAAGACTCTTGTGATAATTTACTTGCCTTTCCATTCTTGCGATAATTTGTTCTCCATTATGTCCGCCTGTATCCCTATTTGGCTATGCTATGTAGCCAATTTGTGATTTCGATTCTTTTTTATGACTTCTCTCGTGTTATACTATCCAATTTGTCCAATGGAAAAGTCATTCTACACATTGTACACGTATAATCTACTCTTATCATTTCTATATGTTGTAAGCAATGCCCATATAGTAGGTAGTTACAATAGTCCAAAGGAACAGATATTTATCTCTACAACTATGGAGCTAATTAGATCATATTGTGAGGACGCTATATAACCGTATTTTTGCATACTATAAACCTGAAAACATTTAAAAAGCACATCAAAAAACGTCTTTAATCTCATCAACTGAATTAATCATATTATAGATAAATGGCCTGAAATTAAACTTCCCAAAGCAAAGCTAAAAATGAGGATGTACTTAGGAAGCGAATTCGAATAAATTAATGGTTCTCTATAACGCTACGAGCCAAGTTCTATAACATTCGAAGAAAACGAATATCTATTAGACCCCAGCGCCTGGCAAGAAAATACAGAAGAAAGAACCAGGTATCCTATGTACAAGTAGTGATTTCAAACCCATGAGACTGTGAAGTAAGATTCGGCTGAGAGGCAAGGGGAAACTAGGAAGCTGCGAATAGTATGAGCAAGATAGCAGAGGGTATAAGTGTCGAACTGGATAAAAGTGGCAATTCAGGATGGATATGGAAAAGAAAAAAGAAACAGGTTTATCTGGTATCGTCGAGTCATGATAAGGGGGTGTGGCATAGTGAACAGAGTGTTGTTTGCATCGAGACACGAGGCAAACAAATACACCCATATAGCAAGAAGGGCATGCTTGGCGAGCGAGGAAGAGCAGGGGAGTGGCGTAAAACCAAATCCAATCAAAAGCAAGACTGGTGATATATGGCGTCAGGGCAGTCGAAACTATTCTAAAGGACTCGCTCTTCCGTAGCTGTAGCATAGGTGCGCCAAGGTCATTGGCGAAATTTCCAGACAAATCGCCGCTGACCTTTCAATGTCCAGGTTGCTGCAAGATAGGTCACTTGGTAGAATTCTGACCGACTGGACTCATGCAGCAATATGCCACAGCAAAGGAGGAAAGAAGGCCGATTCGATTGGCCTTCGAAAGAAGGAAAGCGCAGACATGTTGACTTGTCATTCAGTCAGTTTTCCAGTGACCTGCCACTCCGTTGTCGAGGTCGTTGGTTTCCCCAAGCCAGAGCTCGACCGCATAGAGAGAAATTGTGCAAGCAAGATTAATCCAACGCCATGGGTTACCACCGCCATTGCCTTGACTGCTCCACCATTCGCCGCTGCCACCCATTGCTTGTGATGTGGATGCGAAGTGCTGCATGAGGAGACTGGTATAGACGGCGATGAGAATGCTCGGGGCGAAGTAGCTCAGGAAGCCTAGAACTTGGCCTGCTGCATCGGTATCATCAATGGAAGCTTCCTGTGAAAGCGCGCGGGCGCCAGACTCGCGGACAGCGGGGATGATGCGCGTCGATGCATATAGTACGAGCAGGCGATACGCGAGGGAGATGAGAACGGAGGGTGTGACAGCGCTGAAAACGGCGGTAATAACGTTGAAGCCTGCATGAATAATCGACGGCAGAGTGGACAGTGCGTGCATCAGGGTTGTGTACGACGCCATAATGATAGGAGGCAGTGGAGGGAAGTCTCCGACCTGGGAGGGCGAGGGTATTTGTTCCACGGGGTGCGATGGCTGGTAGTCCGTGAAGATCTGGTAGATGCAGAGCACGACATAGGCGAAGAGGAGAGAGCTTTCGACTGGGTTACCGCGACCACTTCCAATACCCCAGGCACACAGAATGACGGCGCATGTGACGGAGACTCCAATCAAGGCGGCATCAACGTTGGAGATTTCGGGGAATTGCAAAACACGCCAGAGGAAGTAAACTGAGCTAGAGATGACCGTAGCGGACAAGACCAAGAGGCCGATCTAAGACAAGGGTTAGTTTCTATCGCGACATTCATGGGAGATCAAAGAAACATACCATCCAGGTATCGCTGCGTCCTCCTCGGTTGACGAGCCAGCGGGTAATTTGCCCAGCGGCTTGAATTACCAGTAAACTGCAAAATCCCTCTGCCAGCTGGAAAACCGGGGTAGACCATCTTAGAAGTCTATCCCAGTTGCCGAGGGTCACAGTTTCCACTAGGCCATCGCGACCAAATAGCCATTCCTGAATAGAGGAATCCTGGGCCCTCTTGCCGCTGAAAGTGCGCTCGACCCATCCTGCGCTGTCGGAATCAACCGAGAATCGATTCAGTGACCAAATCAGAAGGACCAAGATTACAGCCCATTGTATAAAGCGGAGGACGGCGATGATAGAGGAACGGAACCACGATCGGTCAGGAGTGGTAACCTTCAACAGCGAGACGAGGAAGTAAAAGGTGGCTAATGAAAGCGAAAAGGCCAGGCCACATGTCTTGCCGCCCACATCGAAAGCTAGTGGGATTGACGAGACAGTGATGGCGAGGAACAAGGCCGACGAAAAGACTCGAAAGAGCCACATCGGACCGCGGAAGGGGTAATGCCTGAAATCGAGGTGGGTAACTTGATGTGTTCAGAGCTGGATGGGGAGAGAGAAGTTAAGGAGGGGGGAAGACTGTTTTTCTTTTTTTTTTTTTTTCTTCGAGCTTATCGTTGAACTTCACGTTGGTTTCAAGAAAAATATTGGAATTCCTTTTTAAAAGAAAAGAAAAGACCTGAAATAATCAAAATAAAAAACAAGAGAGAAGAAAAAAAGCGGAAGTCTCTTAAATGTTAGACTGGCGGTCGGAGCACCGCTTTATGGTATACTAAGAGCCTACGCTAGAAAAGAAACTAGAAGCAATTAGCTTAACTATTTTATTATATTAGAAATTACATAGTATAATAGTAGTATATTGATTGATATAAAATAGTTATATAGCTCATCAAGCAAAATATAATAACACATACAATGGTATTTTTAGCGTGTATATATATATATATATATATATTCCTCTTTTATAGCCTTACCACATTTCGATATAACTACTCTCTACTTACACTAAATTCTGACATGACACAACATGACCAAACATGACCCAATACGAGAGAGCATGTCACACAGAAAAAGAGATTAGCAGTCGTAAGATGCTATGCTAGGAAAGATATACATTCCACAGGAACTCATGTAACTTTCTAAAAGCTGACAACTCTGCTGGATAGTAGAGACAGATGAGCAATAGGCTTAGAAACAAGGGATAGCGGTTTTATGCTGTATACTATATAATATGCTATATATATAATATGGTAAATCCTAAATTGGTAACCTTCTACAAAATCATGTTGATGTTCTTTTAAGCCTAATCTGGAGGAATTTTGAATATACTACTGGCACATATTTAAGATCAAATCCAAGCTTTCTATCTAACTAAAATTATATTCTTTCCAGAACCTTACAGATCTTATAGATCATATAGATCATATAGATCTCATTCCAAGCTTCTAGTCACATGCTAACTTATAGCCCTATTATCAAGCCCTGATAACCCGATATAGCAACATAGATAAGAATCTTTACCAGCCAGAGCGTAGCAATTAATACGTACCCTTAAACATTTCATTTTGAATGCTTAGATTCAATAACTACTTCAAAATGGCTGAAAACGTTGCAAAGAAGCTCAAGACATCGTCCCCCTTGATTGGGACACACAAGTGAGGGCAACGCCCTTGAATTGCTACTTTAGCTCAATATGCTCTTGTAACTGACCAAAAACAGCGGACACTTCCACGCCGACGAGGCCCTGGCTGTCTACCTCCTCCGCCTGCTCCCCACATATGCCTCTTCCCCTCTCATCCGTACACGTGACCCAGCCGAGTTGGAGAAATGTCACACCGTCGTCGACGTGGGCGGCGTGTACGACCCCGCCATCCACCGTTATGATCATCACCAGCGGACCTTCTCAACAACCTTCCCGCAGCACGCCACTAAGCTCTCCTCCGCCGGCCTGGTGTACATGCACTTCGGCAAGGCGATCATCGCGCAGAAGCTGTCCCTGCCCGTGGAACACGCCGACGTAGACCTGCTGTACGAGAAGCTGTACACGGACTTCATTGAAGCGATTGACGCCAACGACAACGGCATCTCCGCCTACGATCAGGCCGCGCTTTCCGCCGCCGGGATTGAGAAGCGCTTCAAGAACGGCGGCATCACGCTCGCCTCCATGGTCGGCGACATGAACAACCCAGACCCCACCAGCCCGCCCGGCGAGCCCCAAGACGAGGACAGCCTCTTCGGACGCGCCAGCACGCTCATTGGCAACGCCTTCGCCCGCAAGATGCACCACGCCTGCACATCTTGGATGCCTGCCCGCACAACCGTCGGCTCCGCTTACGCCTCGCGCAAGGACATCCATCCCTCCGGCCGCATCATTGTCCTTCCCCAGGGCGGTGTGCCCTGGAAGGAGCACCTGTACAACTTCGAGGCCGAGGCTTCGGGAACCAAGGAGATTGACCCTGCTGCCCAGGCCTACTATGTTCTGTACCCCGAGAATGCCACGGAGGGAGCCAAGTGGCGCGTGCAGTGTGTTTCCGTCTCCGAAAGCAGCTTCGAGTCTCGTAAGCCTTTGCCTGAGGCATGGCGCGGTGTCCGTGACCAGGACCTTGATGGTGTCATGGCTGCGGAAGCTGAGAAGAATGGTCAGAGCAAGATCCCCGAGGGCGCGGTCTTTGTTCACGCCAGTGGGTTCATTGGTGGCCACAAGACAAAGGAGGGTGCTATGGCTATGGCTGAGCGCAGCCTTGATCTATAGGATTTTTGTGGTTTGATGACTGAAGACTAAAAAAGTAGATTTATTTTTGATGAAATGTTCTATATTATGACTTCCAAAGGACATCTATGTTTTATCTTGACATGAACTTTTTCCTTTGCAATTTTGGGTCTTTAAACATGATGAAATACTTTTATCTTGGATAAATTCGCTGGACACCACAAATATTTGTCAGTAGGACGCCCGGTAATGATTTTCGGGTCTTTTCAACTTTGGTGTCCAAGATATGCACGGGTCTTGATATATCTGGCACGTCAATTCGGACAGTCAATTGAGCCCGATTCTTGTTTCTCAAGGGCAAATGAGCGAGAGGCCTTGATATTCGGAGGGTCTAAAACCAAGCCTGGGAGAACGAGCTTCGAATGAACTTTCTCCGGCTTTCTGGAATGGCTGAAACACTTTCCCATGTGCTGACCGAAGTGAGTGCTTTGCTTCTAACGAACGACAGCCCTTTGGTGCTGTAATCCGAGGGCATCCGTAGAGTCCGGGAGTCGAGCGGCTGGTATGCCTACCGATTTGGTGAAGCATTACCAAGCCTTCAGTGACGGATGTTCAATGCACTGATATCTTCAATGCTTCCACTACCATCTCCGGAAGTCGACATGTCTTTGGGTTCAACCTGAGCGGCCGAATCTTCACGCTCGCCCATTGCGCGTTGGATGAGCTTCGCCTTCGTAGCGGCGCCTTTGAGACGCTCGTCCACGTCATTGACAGCTTCCTCCGTATTACTCATATCCAGCGTAGCAGGATCGACGAGTTCAAGAAGCGTCTGGAGATTCCTAGCTAGTCGAGTGCTGTGTGGTGGGAGACTAGGCATGTCTTTGCAGATAGATGGATCAAGAGAAAGAGTATCTGTTGGGGTATCCATCTGCGATGCGGCACCTTCGGACGATTTCATGTCGAGTCTCTGCGCCCAGACTAATGCCTTGCCATACAAGCGCCCCATCTCGACAAACTTCTCGAAACCTTTCTCGACGGCGAAAACGCTGCCTTCAGTATATCCGGTAGCGGCTCCATCTGCGGTGCCCAGCTCATATCCCTCATTGTAGAATTGCTCCTCCAGATCAAGGAGACTGTCCAGAAGATTGTGCTCCATGGTAGATGTAAGGAATATAGATATGAGTCGAAAGTGAAGAGTCCAATTGATAACGTTTTTTTTTTTCTGATATGCGCGGGGCATGTGACGAGATGTCCACTTTCTAATTTTCCCGCCTTTGCCCCTCCAACAAAGACGTTCTCCTCAACAACACAAGATGACGGATCCTATCTTGCCTAAAGCTGGCGAGCGCAATATCCTCGTGACGAGCGCTTTGCCCTACGTGAATAATGTTCCTCATCTGGGCAACGTCGTGGGCTCCGTGCTGAGTGCTGATGTATTTGCTAGGTATGACTCAACCCCACACAGAATATATAGCATTGCGACATAAAACTGACAGCTACTATACAGATACCACAAGGCCTGTGGCCGACGCACACTGTATATTTGCGGTACAGACGAATACGGAACCGCAACCGAGACTAAGGCGCTGGAGGAGAAGCTGTCGCCAGAGGATCTGTGCGCCAAGTACAACAAGATCCACCAAGATGTGTACGAATGGTTCAACATTGGCTTTGACCACTTCGGTCGCACACCCACACAGAAGCACACCGAGATCTCCCAGTCGATCTTCAAGCGCCTGCACGAGAACGGCTTCCTCGGCGAGCGCACCGCCGAACAGCCCTTCTGCGAGCAGCACGGCTCATTCCTGGCTGATCGCTTCGTGGAGGGTGAATGCCCCCGCTGCCACTACGACGATGCCCGTGGAGACCAGTGCGACAAGTGTGGTCACCTCCTTGATCCCTTTGATCTCATCAACCCCCGCTGCAAGCTTGACGGTGCTGCCCCCGTCCGTCGCGAGACGAAACACATCCACATCCTGCTGGACAAGCTCCAACCAGAGATTGAGAAATGGGTCCACCCCGCTATCGAGAAGGGTAACTGGCCTAGAAATTCGCGCATTATCACTGAGTCCTGGTTGAAGGAGGGCTTGAAGGAGCGTGGGATCACCCGAGACCTGAAGTGGGGTGTTCCCGTCCCGCTGGAGGGATACGAGAACAAGGTTCTTTACGTGTGGTTTGAAGCTTGTATCGGCTACCCCTCGATTACAGCCAACTACACAGAGGACTGGGAAAAGTGGTGGCGCAACCCGGAGGATGTGCAGTTGTGGCAGTTCCTGGGCAAGGACAACGTCCCTTTCCACAGCGTGATCTTCCCTGGCACGCAGCTTGCCACGAAGGATAAGTGGACCATGCTGCACCACCTGAGCACAACTGAGTACCTCAACTACGAAGGTGGCAAGTTCAGTAAGTCGCGTGGCGTGGGTGTGTTCGGCACGAACGCCCGTGAAACCGGTGTCTCCGCCGACGTATGGCGCTACTTCCTGCTGAAGAACCGCCCCGAGACCGGTGATACTCAATTCGAGTGGGGCCCCTTCGTGGATAGCAACAATGGCGAGCTTCTCGCCAAGCTGGGCAACCTTGTCAACCGTGTCATTAAGCTCGTCGTCGCCTCCTATGGCTCCGTCATTCCAGAATTTACCGTGCCAGAGAGCTTCAACCCATTCCTGGAGGAAGTCACTGAACATCTGCGCCAGTATCACGGAGAATTGGAAGGCGCCCATCTGCGCGCCGGAGTGCAGACTGCTATGCGCATCGCCGAGGCAGGTAACGGATTGATCCAAGCAAACAGACTTGACAACGCTCTGATTGCCAACGACCCCGAGCGCGCCGCTGCCGTCGTTGGCACAGTGCTCAACCTGATTCAACTGCTATCCAGCGTGTTCTCGCCGTACATGCCGGCAACCTCGAAGTCGATTTTGGAGCAGCTGAACGCTCCCTTCCAGTACATCCCCAGTTTGGAAGATATCGAGTCGGGCTGGAAGCCTACATCCCTGAAGCCGGGTCACAAGATTGGCAAACCAGCTTACCTGTTCACACGTATTGATCCCAAGAAGGCGGATGAGTGGCGTGAGATGTTTGGTGGATCGCAGGCGGACCGGAAGAAGAAGGAGGAGGATGCTGCCAAGCTTGCTGCGAAGAAGGCTGCTGCTAAGGCTAAGAAGAAGGAGAAGAAGGAGAAGGGCCGTGCTGGTGCTCCCGAAGGTAGCGTTGAGAGTTCTGCCAAGGGTGGTGCGGAGAAGGTCTCCGTTACCGCTGAGGGTAAGAATGATGAGGCTGTTGAGAAGATTGCCGATGGAGTGGCGCAGGTTACTCTGCCTACCTCGTAAGGTCTTCAATGGGGTGATCTTGATGAGAAAATACAAAGGCGTGTTGTGGGGGGTTTTCTTTTTATGATTCTCTATGTTGTGCATGGGTCATGAACGGGGGATCATCTTCTGGGCATATTGAACTCGAATCTTAGGGACTTCCTTTTTTATAGCTATCATACGCATGGATGCAATGAAGGTGTTTTGTTTTCGATGGTCTGATAGAATATTATGATAGAATATTACTATGTATGTCTTGATCCTGAGCCCCCCGTATAATTGTCCCTGCTCAACTCTTACAATCTATAACTACTGTGAACCGTCACAAGACTGGAACTACATCAAGGCCATAGCAGATCCTTTCAAGGAATTTTTCATAGTTAGGCTAGCAAAAAAAAATCCCATTTGCACTTAATCAAAACACGCCGATATGGTAAAAATTTCATTACATGCTCGTTGTAGCGATGGGACACGAAAGCGATCGGCGAAGAAAAATCCCCCCATCCCACGCAAAAAAGAAAGCTCAGGCCCAGATCAACGCTTGCGCGTGCTCGGTCTGGGCTTTGTCTCATCAGGTCCGATAGGGTGCAGCATGACCTTGTTGGTAGTCTGCTGGGTATTGGCAGAATAGCCCTTGCTCCAGTCATAGCTGACAGAGTAAGCGAAGATATTTCCAGTACGATTGAAAGCGGTAGCAGTGATAGGGCCTCCGACAGCGGGGTAACCCTTGAGACGGTGCTTAGCATCCTTATCCCAGAAGTGGAAAGTACCGTCGGCACCGGCAGTGCTAAAGGTACCGTGAATGGGGTGGAAAGTGATAGAGTTAACGGAGTAGATATTGCAGACATCGCGGTTGGCAGGCGGGGTTTCACGGTGGCACTTGAACGAGAAGTTTGAGGCGGAATCCTTCTCCTCGACGTACTGGATAGCACAGCGGCCCTCGACGGAGCCGACGGCGAAGCCCGAGGCATCAGAAAAGCAGCTGACTACCCGCGTCTGCCACTTTAGGGGTGATTGCATGGTCTTGTAGAACTTTGTTGGCTGGTCGAGGTTGATGATATTGATGTAACGGTCTGCGGTGCCGATGACGAGCAACTTGTTCTTGACATCCATGGTGTAGACACGCTCCTGGCACTCAACGGAGGCAATTGCGGTCGACTGGCGCAGATCCCAGTATTTGACGGTCTTGTCCCACGAGCCGGTGATCAGGAGTGGAGTTCCGCCCACGGAGGGATTGGGGATCATATGGCAGCTTCGGATGGGGGCGTCGTGGGCGGCAACTTGGGTTGTTGTGCCTGAGGCGAGATCGATCATGCGGGCTGCCTTGTCGGCACCAGCACCGACGACTTTAGTTCCATCCTGTATGAAGGAAAAAAAAAAGATGTTAGTTACGGTAAATAGGGAATTGGGTTGGAATAATGTGGGGTTGGGTGAGATGGGGTGTGAGCTTACTGGAGACCAGCAACAGTTCAGAACTGGAGCTTCGTGCTCGAAGAGTGCTTTGCCTTCACTTTGTCCCTGGTCGTTGATTTCGTAGATGCGGACCTTCTTATCCCACGAGGCCACGGCTAGGTGCTCGCTGGTAGGCGAGAAGCGGAGATCCGAGATGCCATCCTCGGGGGGAGTGTTGAGGGCGACGTCCTTGGAAATGTCGCCGGTGGTGTTTGTCTGGCCCGCCGCAGCTGCCGTCGCGCCGGCGCCGAAAAGTGACATTAGAAAGGGCGCGAGAAGTGTGATATGGCAGAGGGGTATCGAGGGATGAAAGAATGCGAAGAAACAAAGAGAAAGCTAAATTCACTGAGGAATCATGCAGGAGAGAAAGAAAGTCGAGCTCAGTGGAGGAAGGAAGAGACAGAGAAAGTCGATGATAATTGGAGAGCTTCGACAGAAAGCGATGCGCGACACCGGCAGAAAATATATCTCACCGCCTTTATGTGGATTTCATAGTAAAGTTATAGTCGAATTTATTGATCTTTTATTGTACTTTGACTAGATTGAAATTACTTTGACATCTTGATCTTTATATGTATATTTTCTAGGCAGAAATATGGTCCTGTAGATGTCTATAGATACCAGAGTTTCATACCTAATAGGCAGCATTATCGGACTGCAGTTATCCGGGTTTGAAATTAATTTTAGAAGATGAGTTTACTGATTTTACTCAAAGGTTCATATTCGAGGGATACATATATATATATATATATATGAGAGCTGACAAAGAAAAGAAGAGATTCAGCTTTCGATTTCTTGGCATCGCTATATACTAGTTCGTATGTATATCAAGCTATAAGTGACCGTTAGCCTAATACTTCTGTTTTGTTTTGTTTTCTTTTCAGTCAGCGAATGCATTTGGAATTATTGACCGTTGACTATATATTTATATATGCTGAGCTTGGAGAAATATCTCAATATCAGGAATTGTACTATATTCATCAAATTCAGGTATTTGCTACAAATCTACATAGTAGTTTATAGAAATATTTACGTTAACATCCATTAAGCTCAGTAATATGAGAAATAGGTAACAACAGAGACATATGAAGTAACATGTATCTTTGCCACATCATAGGATAGCTTGGAGTGGGCAGTTTATAAGTAAATGGTATGATAATCAGGTGATGAAATCATACGATGTATACTATACGTTAATACAGGTCATGTAGGTAATCAAAACGAAGATAGAAATGATATAAAAAGAGAATAAAAGGTAATAAAAGATAATAAAAGATAATAAGAGCCAATATAAGAGTGATCTGCCGTGAATTAAGTGGAGATAAATGCGGGGTGCAGCGCTAAGATTGGCTAAGATTGACGTTGATGTCAAGTCCGGGGAGGCCGGATATATTTGATATGGAGTAATAGGTAGAGTAGAGTAAAGTAGTAGAGCAGTAGAGTCGTGTAATAATATAATAATACAATAATATAATAATATAATAGTATAATAGAACAATAATTAGAAGTACAATAAATATATAGAAATAAATATAATAGAAATGGTGCAATACCATATAGAAAAGTACATGTTATAAACAAGTAACATGACATCCATGACATTGTACCCCCTCAACCTTGGTCACCTGCTCTATTTCCCCTCTCTTCTCCTGATCTTTCTCTTTCTTCTCTTTCTCCCATCTTCTCATTTTCCCATCAACTTGAGATACACCATGTCTGTTCCTTTAACCAAAGTCGATTCTGCCATCGCTGGCTTGGATATATCCGATGAGAAACCTGAGCCCATTGAGAAGGAGGTTAAGCGTAAGACCCACAAGCGGACCTCCTCAACAGCTGAAGGTATCTGGAACATCAAGGATCTTGGTAAGTACTTGATCTCATTAGGAGAAAATCAATACTGAGATCTCTTTAGAAGAGCAAAAGCTGGAACTTACTCTACCAATCGAAACACAGAAGACTGGATGGTATCTCATCTAAATCCCTTCATCCAATCTCTCACTGACCTCGATCTAGGAAACTCAACACCTCCCCCTCAACCATCGAGGACAAGGACATTCTCAAAATGTTCCTCGTCACTCCACCGGTCAAGAAGATTGACCTACACTTCCCCCTTGGCCTAGAGGTTACTGCCCGGAATCTCAAGGGTGTCACAATCAAGGACGCCCTAGATGCTATCTACAAGCAGTTCAAGAAGAAGGTCAGTGGCTCTACTATATAAAACATAGAAAGTCTCATGATGACTGACGTGACACCGCTAGGCGGATGACGAACTTGACAAACCCTACCTTGCTGGCTTCGAGTGGGACAAGGAAGAATGCTGGACCCGGTTGGTCGTGCATCAGAAGAAGGAAGGTGCACCACAGCCAAGCAAAAAGTCCAAGAAGAAGGCCAAGGACGAGGCATAGATTGGCATTAGCCCATCGACCCGGGTGTTTCATAAACACAGACAACTGTCCCCGGAGGCCCTAATTTCTTATCCCTTTACCATGATAATGGATGTTCTTACCGGGGACTATTGACTCCCCTCTGCAATATGCCATTTGACTTTTTTTTATGCTCTGCTTTCTCTACAGTCTCTGTGTTCAGTTTCCGTAGAAACAAGATTTGGGCGCGAGGGAGATTTCATTGTTTATTTTTTCTTCTATTTCAGTCTTTTCTGTCTAGCTCGGCTTATGTATCTACCCTGGGTGGACCGGTCTGTGCCGTTCACTCCTTCTGACGCCTAGTGGAGATCGAATCAAGTAATTCCTAACTTTACATTCATAAGTACATGAGAATATTTCAGTGAAAAGCTCTGAGAAGGCAATTGAAGTCTCAGACTGGGTATATCCATGAAGACCCAACCTAATCCCAAAGTGATCCCCAAGACTTCCGTCCCCTCAAAAAGACCTCATCTGAGTATTTCGGTTTCATATCCAGCTTAGCATACATCGCCTTGACTTTCTTCACAATATGAGATTCCTTCACAACACCACCTATGGACATCTCTCCTAAACTAGTATAAAATACCAAGTCCATATCCGGGACACCAAAAAGTTTCAAGTCACCGCGAACCCGTTTAGGGAGGTATTCTCGTCCCCAGACCATTCTCGTCGAGGAGTATTCATTCTGATCCCACCCATCACCGAAGACGAGTGTTTCAAAAATGATATCCATTCGCAGGCCACCGGTTAGTTCTTTTTGGTCGTCCTTGGGAATGGATTACGAATGTCAGCTAGGGTTCTTTTTTTTTCCCTTCGAAATGATACACGATGTAGGTAAATGGTAGCAAGGTTGTGTATGTAGGTATAACTATATGTATATATGTAAATAAGCAGAAGCTGGACACTCACCAACGCCTCATAAATATACAGATACTGTCCGCCGTGGCCGACATTACTTCTTAGTAGTGACACCGTATACACGGGCGGCTGTTGGACCAGCATACGGCGCCAGCTGGCTTCTGGTCTAATGTATGCATCCAACTTGTGCGGGTTTCGGACCATGTCGAAGGTGGTGAATGTGAGATAGGTGGTTTTTTCGTTTGGAGTCTCGGTATCGGTATCACTATCTCTATTGGAATATCTCCCATTGCTAGACCCGAATTGGTGGAAGATTGACGGGAAGGTCTCTGCTAGCAATGGGTTCTGGATCTTTGATTTATTCAATGTATTGTCGAGAGGTCGGAAGAATAGAGCCCATTGGATGGGTGGGGAGGAGTTGATAAAATGGGACCAGGCACGGCAAATTCGGGTTGCTTTTGTAAGAAGGGTGCGGATGTCCAGGTTTAGAAGGATTAATTCGAAGATCTCCGGGATAGAGAGGGCGTGAGATTGGGCTGGGGTTAAAAGAGGAGCCATTAAGAAGAATAGAAAAAAGAATTCAGGGGAAATTTCAAGCTCTTTGTTACCAGTTTTGGAATGTGCCTCACATTTGTACACGTGATAGGTCATTTACTTGGCGGATGACATATTTGGTTATTAAAGTGGTAAGTATATACAGAAAGGACCACGGTGAGGACATGGTCAATATGCCTATAGTCAAATTGTGAATATTCACTTCTCTCGAGAACGACCTGAACTCCCAAAGAGAACCAAGACGATCTCGTCAAGAATCGTAAAAACAAGATGAGTATTGAGATGCTGGTTATTGAGGGTAGCAAATATGCGACGGGCAGCAGCCTGTGCATTAGCTCTACCGACGACATTACCCGCCAGATCCGGGATGAGGGTAGCCAAGACCACAGTAGCCTCGGCACGACTATTGAGACGGTCTGCGACTGAACGAGGAGGGGCTTTGCGGAGCACACCGCCGGGCCAGAGGGTATCGCGAGCAAGAGAAAGGTACTTGAGGAGCGAGTCATCCTGTACTAGGCTGCGCGCTCCGTCGCGGACCTTGCGCTCTATTGTTCCGCCAAGGAGCTGATGGAGGACCACGACGACGGCACGGCCGCGCAGCCAGTTGTTGCCGCGGTTCAGCTCGAAGGCTTCGAGGAAGAGATCGCAAATAGGCTTGATGAATGGCTCGAGCTCGCGGTCTTCGAAGGCGTTTAGTTCCGCTTCAGCTTCGGCAGCTGTAACAGCGTCTTCGGCTACGAGGCTGGAGTCTGGGACTGTGGTGGTGTTGGCCTGCTGGGTGGCGGCTGAGATGAGGTTTTGGCCTGCGGTAGATAGTTGGTCTAGGACGCCGAAATTTCCAAGGAAGTCATCCATGCCGTCTGCGACGGAGTTGTAGATGCGGGTGACAAGGTCTTTGGTTTCACCTTCGTTGTCACGGGCGTTGTCCTTACGGGGTAGGATGGCACGTTGGGAGAGGAATGCACGCAGATCGCGGCTGCGGCAGACCTCTGGTAGGAGGAGGAGTTTCTGCAGATAAGCTTCAAGCGCGAGTCGTCGTTTGTCAAGGAACTCTTTCTGTAGCTTCATAACGACGCGTCGCCGGGGGAATTCCAAGTGCCGGACGGAGGGATAGCGTTGGCGTAGCTTTTGGTGCAGATCATGGAACTCGCTGTATCGTCGTGCAACAACCCACGATGCAGCGGGCATTTGCTCGCCGGCATTTCTGCGAACTTCTATGACATCTATGATAACTAGTTAGTTGGGAATAAAGGGTACTTTAGAAAGTTCTCTTACACATTGCGAATTCACGGCCGTCGTCCTCATCTTTGCCTACAACGATAGACTTGATGCTAACGGTCGATCGCCCAAACAAGCTGTTATCACTTTCTTGAAGAATGTATTGTTGCCGCTGCATTTCCTTGCGGTGCATTTCGCGCTGGATGCTGGCCTTGGACTTACGCAGGATTCTTAGTTCCGCGGTGTTATTTGTCAGTTCTGCTTTGCGTGTCAATGCTTGGACCACGGAGTCCTGGGCTGCGAGCTTGTCGATATCCACCGAAAGCGCCTCAATCGCTTCTGTTAAGCCTAAGTCACCAGGTGCAGCTTCGTGCACTTCATCTGCTGGGTCTTTTTCATCCTCGCCGTCTGGTTCTTCGTATTCGTCTTCGATGAACTTCTGTTGGTCCGGAAATAGGTCATCGTCAAATACACCAAGTCGTGATGCATGATCCACTAGACCAAGCGATGCGATGCTTTTCTTGGTTCTTTCATTCCGGTTGTCAACCTGGGGAATTTCGGACGAGCTACGCGACGAAAGAACAGGACGCTCCGGCCCGAACAGACCAGCAGCATCTCCTTTGAGGTCTTCGATTCTTCCGTTTTTCGGTTCATTCGTGATGATATCGTTGAGGGCCGCCTCCATCGTCTCGAGGACTTGGCTCTGGCTCTGGCTAGCATCATTCTCGCCATTATGGGAATCCTTGCCCAAACTATGGGTGGACGTGGCGAGATTGTCGGTGTCGTAGTCATCATCAAAAAGATTAGTAGATCGTTCTGAATCTATTGATCGTCGTGGTGAATCGTCATCATCAAACAATTTTCCCGTCCCCCGTAGATCACTCGACGATGATACGGCGGCTCGTCGAAGGTCTTTGGAAGGTCTCAATCCAGGCTGGGAGGTCGTTCGTGATAGCAAAGGGGGGAGAGGTCGCCTTTCGGGAGTTTCAAAGGTGACGGATATGGGAGAAGATTGACGCACAGTTGCTTGGGCAGCAGATGCTTCATCGGACGCAAGATACTTCCAGTATAAATCAGACTCCTTAAATTTCGGATAATAAGTCTCTTGGAGATGCTCTAGAATGGCAGACTGGGTTGTCAAAACCACCATTCGCGCTTTTCGGTATTGTTCCGGGGTTGCGCGCTTTCCTGCACTCAGGAATGTCTTGACTGCTCGGCGAGACTCTTCAGAGACTTTCAGCTCTGGCTTTGAGAGGTAGGATTCACTGATGAGAGCTAGGTCGTTTCTGTCTGCTGGCTTCCATGCTAATGAAGTAGGGGCTTCCTCGTCTCCAAAGTCATCTTCGAGTGGGTTGCGGAGCCCATCGACAACAATCCAGAATTGAACAAGCGACATCAACTTTTGACGGTCCATAAACTCCATGAAATAAGAAAGGCCAGATGCGCTGTGCATCACGTCAACCAGTGACGATTCATGCATTCTATATGGGATCTCAGGCCGAAGGTCTAATGCCGGAGGTACATGGGAGTCCTCGCCGGTTTTCGCAAGTTTCGCCACTTTCTGATCAAGAACACGTTTGCCTGTTTCTAGACGCTTCAAGTAGACTTGATCCTGGCCCTCGACGACACTCTCCTGCTTCAATTGGCTGGAAACGAGGGCACGGAACCGACGGGCATCGGAGAGGTTATTACATTTCCTAATTGCCCTCACAAAACGCTCAAAGGCTCGTTCTGAATCGGTTGCTGACAGTCGTGGGAATGGCTGCCCACGCTTGGACTTGGGTGCGGGTGACGCATGTTGGTCCAAAGCGGCGCGCAGTTTGCGTACGGTCTTCCGATCCTGCAAAGCTGTACGGCCATATGCTTCCATTAATTGGTTCCATGTGTCTGGATCAGATAATGAAGTGACTATCGGAGTAAGCACAGCGCATGAGATGATTTCGCGAATCAGAACCGACACAATCCGACTGTTCAGCACGTTTTCCGGGAATAGCTGGGGTAGAAGGCCAACCGCTAGCTTGCGCAGGTACTCCTGTTGGACAGCCTTTTGATCGGATGCAGCGGTTGCAACAGCAGGATGCAAGCGACCTTCACGGTATTTGTTTGCAATGGCCAGATTAAGCTCTCCAGACTCGGTGACATTTCGACTGAGGTTGCGCCCCCGAACAGAACGCTCGGCAATGTCAAATTCCTTGAGGTGCGATGTCACGATAGGAAAGATACGCGATACTATTAGCGAGATCATGTCCTCCGCAACCAACCTATCCCGGAGGTTCTCAAGGGCGACACGGATCGTTCGATCAACCTCATTGGCAAATATAGGATTCGGACTGATACTGTGGTACCACGAGGAAACAAAGTCTCGGATAATGAAAGACAGAAGTTCGTCAAGCCCTTCCGATACGACAAAGGATTGAGGATAAAGTGGCCGGGGCCGGTATCTCGTGCCCCGGCGGACATTCAGCACTTCCTTTCGCCATTGGTTAGGTTTTATGAAAGCCACTGAAACGTTCTTGGTGTTGATTTTGCCATTCTGATGCCGGATTGTCAATGTGACAAGTCCTAAAAGGCCCACTGAAGATAGGACGGCGCCCAGCGTCACGGCATATCCTAGATACCGGAGGATCGGCAGCCAGCGAACCACAAGACCCCAAGCGATGAACACGCCGACACCCGCCAGAACTAGGTCGCGTCGACTAAGGGCCATTCTCCCCACGCTCTTGTCAGATCTCCACGGCTCATAACGATCACTCCCGGGAACTTGGGAGCGAACAGCTCGGCATCATACGGTCACAGTCGACTGGGTCTGAGTTGCGGAGAAGCTCTCGTTTTGTACCGAGCGTACTAGAGTGAAGTCAATATATGGAGCAAATTCTGTAGCAGTCAGAAGAGATAAAGACGTAGATCTCAGCCGTAAAAGCAGTATCAAAAAGGAAAAGCCAAGCAAAGAGTCGAGAAAGACATCCCGTGACCGCGCGGGAGGAACGTCATTTTTTGTTTACTTAAGCTGTTGATTCCGGGGGGCCCAACTGTCAAATCTATTTTCCCCTCTTCCTCTTCTTCCTCTTCTTAATCTCTTCTCTTCACTCTTCTTGGTAAAGCAGTTTCGTCATGGCCTCTCTTACAGATTTTGTCGATTTTTCTTCTAAGCCTTTGCTATGTGAGTTGGTCTCTACAGGATCTCAACAATTTGCATGTGATTGACCCCAACAGGGTCTGCCGCGACTATTGCTTTTAACCCAATTTTCTGGAAGTGAGTGTGTCCGTACCTAATAATTTACAATGGCAATGATTATATCTATGAGTAATAGCTAACCTGAACTTTCTAGCATTGTTGCCCGCGCAGGTGCCGACTCCACCTGAGAACTGTTGCGATCGACCGTAGCTAACCGGTGAACAGAGTACCGTAACCACTTCTTGACCCGCATCTTCGGAGGCGCGTACAATGGTTGCTACTTCCTTGCAGTTACCATCTTCCTGCTCGGAATTCTCCGTGACCATGTCTACCAACTCGCTCTAGCTGACCAGCCCTTCTACACTCCTGTCCACCAACCGATCGTTGGAGGTGTCTTGTTTGCCATCGGTTCAGTCCTGGTTCTCTCCAGCATGTGGGCGCTTGGTGTGACTGGTACCTACCTTGGTGACTACTTCGGTATTCTGATGGACGCTCCCGTCACCGGGTTCCCTTTCAACGTGACCGGCTCACCGATGTACTGGGGTAGCACCTTGAACTTCCTCGGTGTTGCTCTGTACCACGGCAAGGTTGCTGGTATTCTTTTGACCGCCCAGGTCTTTGTTCTGTACTGGTTCGCTCTTGGCTGGGAAGAGTAAGCAGTCATTTGGACGCATTCTTAGACCTAAACTGACCGACCATCTCTAGTCCTTTCACTGCTGAGATCTACGCCAAGCGTGAGCGTGAGCGTGCCAAGAAGCAGGGCGGCAAGAAGCAATAAGCGCCCTGCATATATACTAGGATTGGCCGGGACATTCAACATCCACAATCCGCATACCAAAAGAGAGCCAGAAAGAGAGGCCGAGAGAAGCCAGGTTGCTCGGCCCACTAGGCACCTAAAAATCTGGGGTTGCCCACGACAAGTTTCCAGCACACGGACACATCCGAATCTTCAACGATGCTGGACCTGTAGACGATAGACCTTTTGCCTTGTCCTTGATACTGGAGATGAGTAGAACAGGACAAGGCCCCTCTGTGATTTCCCTTACGCGACTACAAAAGATATCATTCAATCAACCCATCGCGCCAAAACTGCAGTACACCTGTGAATCAGTAGACCTTTGTGATTTGTGACTTGTGACGAGGGTGTACAAGGAGCTATGAAAGGGGTTGTTTGTTTTAGGCCAAAGTGAGAGATCTTTACGCAAAAGAATGCTCCAGGAAATGTCTAACATGCTTAATTATGTTATATCTATATTTTGCCCAGGTGGTTTACTATGACCTAGTAGCTTTCATACACTACTTCTACCGTGGAGAATGTGTACGATATTCACCAACGATCTAAGTAATAAATCGCTTCATATCGGGATTGCTCGATAGCTACCTATATGCCCAGGTGGGTATGTAGTTATAACTAATCCTTTTCGACTCCTTCTCGGCACTTGTACAGCTCCATTACCAGAAACATACCGGGAGCTATACTCTCGAAATCATATCTGAGATCCAAAGTGATGGGGCAAATAATATCAAGAAATTATAAAGCAAAACAAGAAAAAGAGAAAGAAGTCGCATCTTCTCGGGGCCTAGACAAAGGGACATAATGATCGCCTTCAGAGCTGCACCGGTCCGGCCTTTTATCGGCGAGTCGTCGAATCAAGCCCTTTTCCACTTCCCCCCCCCCCCCCTAACCTTCATGCACTATCCCCCCCCCCCCCCCCCCCCCAGCAAATGGCCCTTACTATTGTCATACAACATACAAATGATCGGCCACTGCGATATGGATTCGACCAATAACGCGCGGGCTGTTGTCATTCCATGGTATCTGGTCCTTCCTTTACTGTATGTCTCAAAACTGAAACCGACGACCGAGATCGCCCTGTCAATCCCTTCTAACTTCCGTTTGATGAGAAATGGTCTTTTTCTGTCTGGCGTCGGTAGGGGTCCGAGTGGTGTTTGGCGTTAAAAGATGTCCATTCACCATTTATTATACACAACTTTCTCTTGACGGCATCCTAGACACTGTGAAGTAGACAGAATACCTTTGAAGATGGAATTTTTCCATACTTTTGCCATAATTGCGGCCTTTGTGCTGTGTAAGCTCTCGCCTCTTCCTACTAAGAGATGATCACTAACCTGGTTTTATCCAGTCTCATCTACATCTGTGGCCCAGAGTGGGACTCCGATGGCATATACAGACCCGGATACAGGTATCACCTTTGATACTTGGACTGTTCCAGAGGCCTTGAGTAAGGGAGGGTTTACATTTGGCATGGCCCTGCCATCAGATGCTCTGACCACAGATGCTACCGAATTTATCGGCTACTTGGTGTGTGGCTCTGTTCACCTGTAGTTTCCGGTCTGTCTTTCTTTACTAAACAGTCTCGCAGCTATGTTCCTCGCAGAATGCTACCTTCACTGGGTGGTGTGGTGTGTCTCTCGGGGGTACAATGACCAATTCCCTTCTCCTACTGGCATATCCATATGATGAAGATATTCTTACATCCTTCCGTTACACCTCAAGCTACCACATGCCGGATCTCTACACTGGGGATGCCAAGTTAACCCAAATCTCGACCAGCATCAATGCAACACACTACAGCTTGATCTTCAGATGTTCAAACTGTTTGCAATGGACTCAGGGTAGCGCGAGTGGAAATGCCTCCACGAGCAATGGTCTGGTGAACTTAGGATGGGCCCAGTCCTTTCCGGCTCCGGGGAACCCCGGATCTCCCTCTAACATCTCCCTACATTATCACGACAATGGACACAATATCTGGGCAGCTACACTGAAAAATGCGCCCAACCCGTCATACACAGACTGGATCAAAGCGACAGCCACGGGAAGCTCCACGAAAGCTGGACCAACGGCAGCCCCGACTACCTCGGTCCCAGCGGGGACAACGACTCCAAAATAAGACTTGTATTGTTACATTCAATTCTGCAAATTTTTTGGATGAAATATCATAGTTTACAGGGCATTGGAATTAGGGTTCGGTGGAGTGGGATTGAGACTATGAGGAACGAAGGTGTCAAAGAGGGCATATTTACCAGTGCTATTTGGCTTAGTTAACTAGTGCAAGGTCGTCAAACAAGGACTTTAGACGAATAAGACTCCAAGATTTTAAAGGTACGGTGAGGCTACCAAGCAGGCAGATAACAGTTACGGATAGGCCACTCCTACAGAAATGGCTTGTGTCAAACAGCGGTCTACGCGCTATTAGGGGAAATCCACCATCAGCCATCGCCTAACCTGGGAGAAAACTAGAATTCTCATCTTTTCGCTTTGATACTCGGTTGAACAACAGATATGAAGAGATATGTCACTATCAAGTCTATAATAGGGTGAAAGTATAGAGAGACCATACAGCTTCTTACGATACTAGACTGTAATACTTCCTGAGCCTTTCTGGTCAAAGGATACTCAGTCCAACTCAGTGAGAGTGAGCACAAAGCGAGATCTGAGCATTAGAAGGAAAAGGACGCAGACGGAATCTGGTATTTAGGCAACTGGGAACTCCAAGCTTATATATATATGACAGGCAATCAAGGACCAACTAAGGTGAGAAAGACTTCGACGTTAAACGCGCTGGGCATTTGGCTTCTTGGGGTGGATTAAACCAAGAACTTACCGCACCTCGCCTTGTGAAAGATACTCGGGTGATGAATCTCAAGAACTACATGTCTTTTTCGCTTGGTATTCTCGGTTTAAAGTGAAAGGAAGATGTTCACGGCGAAAACCATGTTGGGTGGTTTGTCTTGTGCTTCGGATTCGCCTATGATATTTCCGGAAAGACCTCTGCTCCAGCTGCACAGGCTTAAGGACCTGGCTCGGTTGATATAAAAGCATCCAGTTACTTAGTTGTTGGACATTATAACGAACCTTCCCTATTCCCAAAGGTGCGAGGAACAGCTTCATAGCGAGGGTTGGTTGGGCGGGTTTGCTATGCGCTGTGAATTCGTCTGTGGTGACCTCCAATCGACGTCTGCCATGATGATGGTAGTTGAAACAAGCCGATAAGACCATTGTTGAGATGGGTCAATATCAAATATCTTGGCCATTGACTAAGACGAACCGGCCTAGAATGACTGAGAATCATGGACTTGCGTTGTTGAGTCAGACAGCAGCAACACCCTGGAAAATCACGATGTATCGGATTTGACAAACAGAAACGCTGGAAACATGCTATCAGAGAGCACCGAAAAACCAATTCCAAGGGTCAGAGTGGTCTTTTGAATGTGCAGAAGTAAACCTGCCAAATACATCCACGGTGATATGATATACTAGTCACCGTGTTTATTCGGTTTTCATTTGGTCTTATCTCATCATTTCAGCCTTGTGAGACAAGACCTCAACGCATCTGACCAAGCCCTAGAGACATACCCTTTCCTTCATAGGGTAAACTCGCACACCAATGGATCAAGTCAATTGCTTCTACCGGTTGTTATCGAGTTGTTTTTATCCGGTTTATTGGCTAGTAAGGGTGCTCGGTTGGCTCGTATTGCTATACCTCGAGAACATGAAGTGGTCAAGCAATGACTCAAATGGGGCTAGGATATTTCATGTATCCCACGAGGAAGAGAAAAGGGGAATGTTGCAGAGGCAGGAGAACAAGAGAAGAAAGCAGACAAAACCTGCTTCAAGACCAAGAATCCCATGTGATGTTGCGACTGGAGAGATGAAGATATCTACAGCAGAAGCGCAGCTAATACTCGAATACAGACCGTTTAGCATGTTCAACATCTACTCCTGGTAGATGAATTATTTTGAATTCGAATGTGAAAGTATTAGTCCCATGGTGTCACGGTATATGCCGACTCGACTAACATTATTGAGCCCATGAACCTGGACAAAAACTGCGTCGACATCCTTAGGAACCAGTAAGTAACCTAACTGTGAAAGACGCAGATCTAAAAGACCTGAAACAAATTGACTCCCTTAGAGGCTGTCATACCACTTGCCATATTCAGACGTGACATTGACAACTCCTTCAGACTTGGTATGGAAGTTCTGGAAGATATGAAATGGAAAAGACAGAGAGTCGGAAATTAACTGTCAATTTAGCAACTTGCAACTCATTCCTCTCCCAAGAGGACATCTTCACATATGTTAGGGCAGATCTTGTGGCAGTGGTATCGCTCAAATACCCAAATGTCTATAGACATGGTGGTTATGACCTTCAAGGGAAGAAATACATCTGGACAGTCTCACCATGCACGTGTTGTCCGCTCCCCAAGTGGACTTGCGTGCCCTACTGGATTGCCCATGGACATTCCAGTCGTTATTTTTATTTTTATTTTTTTTTACGAATTAAATGAATTAAATGAAATATTTCTTGCTAAAACAAATATTAACCAAAAACCATGTTTATTATAGAAATGAGGGTATATACCGACGCCACATGAAAGACCCCAAAGAGACAGAGAGAGGGTAGTATGTAGGGTTCATATCACCACAAAGACAAGGACATGATGCCAGAAGACCAAAGACCAAAGACCAAAGAGAGGCAAAGAACGGCAATGCCAACAGCCCATATCCCTTACTGTCGCCTTCCCCTCCCCCTCTTCCCCTGTGTCCGACTTTCGTCAACAGTCTCCACCTCATCCTCATCAGTCCCCTTCTTCAAATCTTCCCCCTCAGCAAGGCCCCACTGCTCACGATCATACCAGTCTTCGCCATCACTCATCTCTCCAACATGTCCCTCGGCTTTACACCACTCTAGAACATCAGCTTTCATGCGGCAAGATCTATTCAGCGAATCGAGCATGTGCTCGACCCCTCGAACTGTCTCTTCCTGCTTCTGGATGTACGACCAAAGCAGGCGGCGGGTCTCCTCGGCTTCAGCAGCGGGAAGGCCATAGTTCGGGTCGGGGCGGATGTTGTCCGGGACGAGGAAAAGAGGGTGCGGGGTTGGAAGTGGGAATGCTGTGTCGGAAGAGTGTGGGGAACCGTTTTCATTCTCAGGGTTGACTGCGTTGGCTTGGGCGCGCGTTGTCATTCGCCGGGGTGGTTCTGGTGAGGAGCCATCATGCATTTCGAGGTCTTGCTCTGTGTCGTCGTTGAGTTCGGTTGTGTCAACTGGTTCCACATCTTTTGTTGTGTCCATATCTTGTTTTCCGTTGAGGGGTGGGTTTGTGCTCGTCCCAGATGCGCGGTTATTGCTGCTGTTGCTCTCTTGGGCGGGAGCCGAGGTGTTGGGATGAGGTGGAAGGTCTTTGACGGTGGCATCGGTCTCCTCTGATTTAAGCTGCAGGCCGTTCTTGGTGGGTTCACCTTCTGCTGGGACCTCGGCCATTTCCACGTCATTCGGCATTGAACTGGTCTGGGCTTTTGTCCCGTTCTGTGCCAGTTGAGACTCCTGTGTGGCCGTTGGTGCAGGTACCTTTTGTGTTGTGTCCTGCGGGGCATTGGGATCCTTAGTGGCAGACGGAGTACCAGTCCCACTTGCACCCTGTTGACCAGCATATACGCTCGGAGCATTGCTAGCAAGCCTAGGGTCGAAGATCAAGTGATCATTAGGCGTCTCGAGCGCACCGCACGGCATCCAACTGCTATCACCCAGGAATTGCCTATGCAAGCTCCTGGCGCGCCAGAGCAAAGCCCGTTCCTGGCGGAGCTTATGCTCAACTGCCGCTGTCATATTCTCCAGGGCTTGCGACGTGTATGCTTGGGACATAGAAGGATGAGTAGCGAGTTCGGAGGGATGCTTCAAGGGACACAGTAGAGCTAGAAAGAAGAAAAAAGAAACAGATCAGCATGAAGCCATAGAAACTACTTAGAAAAAAGGGAAAAAAAACTCACTCTCAAGCGCAATCCCAGAGAACGGGTTCTCTTCAGCAGCCGCAGCATCCGCCTCGGAATCTTCATCATCCTCATCAAGCTCATCTCCCTCTGAATCATAGCGAGTCGGATTCGGCTGAAGGATGTAGCGCGTGTAACCAGCATGTTCGACTCTCTAATTATCAGTCAAAAGTCAGTTTTTATAAAATTCCAGTCCCATCTTATTGCCACAGCGCTCAGGTCCGAGATCGGCAAACCACGCACCTGCTTGTAGTAATCCTCCGCGTGGATGTAGCCAAGTGCACCCTCGCTCACATACTTAGCATTAGCATGCATTTTGTTCCCTCGGTTCGTCGGTGCCATGATCGGGTCGTCCGGGCCATTATCTAGTGAAGAAAGATGTCAGAAAATAATTCTGGTTGAAAATGCAGACTACTTGCTTTGCAACTTACCCTCACGCTCTCTGCGCAAGGCTCGCTTCATGCCGGTGATCGTATCGGCGATTAACGCCGCTTGCGCCGCCATAGTTACGGTGTTTGGCAACGAAACTTGTCGGTTTAGACACGGCGCGTTGGAGGAAAGTTTCTCGGGCAAACGGGGGCGTGGGAACGGATTCCCGAGGAAAGGGAAAGTAAGAGGCGGGTGTTTCGATGTTGGGGCCTCAATTATAAGCGTAGATACTATGGAAATCAAGGGAAGTGAGCTGTAGTGTCTTTGATGAAGCTCTCTGGCGGCAAGACATGCGGAAGACCGATCTCCGCTAGCCGAATTAGGAAATTCGGGTTATGTGATAAGGGCTAGGCACGTGACACGTCCTCATCTATACAGACTTATAATTGGGGATGCTTTCATGTACAATATTTGCTCATTATGAGACATTCCAATTCATCTACAGCATATATCTCGGATCCTAGTTATATCATTCAATCATCGGCATCAACCCATACCAGGACTCCCTTCTTATCCGACTTCATATCCCCTGTTGGAAGGACACGAAGCGTTTTGTTGAAGTAGGTATCAATAACCACCAGTTGCGGCTGAATCCATAAGCCTCGCTTCGCCGCAAACAGATTAAATTTCACGGTATGCCGACTCAGTGGCACAAGCTGCACAACGGTGGTCTTCGGCCCGCTGAAAGCAAAGTGCTCGCTAGCTTCCATGACTAGGTTGAAAGTGAGGAAGTGAGTAGAGGAGTTCTCCAGCACGTAATCCATATGGATCAACCCAGCCATATTTCTGGATGGGGTAGCCGATGCAAGGACTCGAGGTTCGCCCATCGGGACGACAAATTTGGGGATATCGAGGAGGGTGGTTGTGACCAAGCTCTGTGCGTCGGAAGTGGCAGATTCGGATGACTGCCGACGCCAATTGACCTCCAATGCGCATGTGAGCGCAGTTGGTCGACGGTCGCCGAGAAGGAGCTTCTGGACATCGAGGCTGAAGTTGGATTCTCGAAGTTCTTCTGGTGCAAGATGGGGCGTTTCTGGACTGACAAGCTCCTCCGAGTGAACCTCGCAAATGGCACCCCCGTTGGCTTCGAGGAGAATCAGGGACATCTGCTCAATTACCAGCGGCTCCAGTGCAAAGGAAACTACCTTGGAATTGAGGTACCACTTCTGGAACAGGCCTCCAGGTGTTGGGGCAGAGCCATCCTCGAGTGAATTATCGCTAACTGCGAAGAAATTGGGCCATGGTTGAGGGTGAATTGCTGGCAAGAATTCATAGTTTGCTTCAAACGGCCGAATAAATGATAGATCCACAGTGATGTTCTTCATAATCGGGGTCTGGATATCAGACACCAAATGGTACACAGCAGAAACTTCCAATGTGAAATCTGTAGCCTCATGGGTATCGGCCAGCACGATTGTAAGAGTCTTGGTAGAAGAGCGTTCCAGAACGCCCACAGCTCGTTTCAAGAAATGAGATGGCCCCTCAATCGGGGTGCTGGAGCCTGACTCGAGGGGTCCAGGGTTGTTATCGCCGTCAAGCCACTGTATTTGAGCAGTGGGCTCGGTACCGAAGAGTCTGATTTCAGCAGATACATCGGCAGCTTCGTCTTCTTCGTTGTGTATACTAATCTGAAGCTCCACCCGTTCATTGGTATAGTAGGTCTCCTTCAGGTTGGGAGTTGTGAGGCGGATCTTGGGAGGCTTAGGCATAACTTTGCACCTGCCAGTGTCCCGATCCTTGCCCACTCTCCTGCGGGCCACGCCCTTTTGTGTCTGCTGCCACCAGAATGATTCACGCTGATCTGGCTCAGTGATCGCATAACCCAGATCGAATTGGTCTTCTTCAATCAGCATAGTGATTGAAGCAACCCTGGCTTGACCAGCTTCACGGGGAACACAAGTGAGATTGAAGACCTTAGTCTGGGAAGGCCCCAGAGTCAGATCTGCTATGCCTACCAATGCGGTCAGTCCACCGGCTGGGGATTGGACCGTGGTATCAGGGTTGCTCGGCTCGCGAAGTGGGAGGGCTGCGATGCAACATGGGGTTGTGGTGTCAGCATCCTGATTCTGGTCAGATTGTACCTTTACTGGGCGAAGACATCCTTCAAAGACCAGTTTGACCTCTGAAAGACGGATGGGGGCCGAGGATTTATGAGCACAGGATGTGATGGCAAGTTGAGCCTGTAGAGGTTCCCCAACGTTGCCATCGGATTTCTCGAACACCAGCGACGCGGTCACTTTGAAGACAGGGGTCAGCATAATCTTTGCATTTTGGACTCGCCAACTTACGGCTCGTTATGACATCCTCTGCGCGAAGGATAAGAGAAGGTTTGGGCTTTTCTGAAGGCAGACTTTCAAGACTCCTGTGAATGTCATAATGCCACGCAGGTCTTGGCTTGAAATCTATTGGAATGGATATTAACGTTAAAGATAACACGCACAAGGTAAGATGTATTAACTCACTCCTGTTCAGCAGCTCCCAGTCCACTCGCAAGACTGTCTCACTGTCCTGCACCCTGAGGGCGCATTCTCTGAGTGCCCATCCAAAATTGACCATGAGATGCCACCATCCTGATCGGCGCCAGCTAAGAGTGGACCACAGGGGTTGAAGAAGGCTATGCGCTTCGGACCATGAGCCAATGCGCATATACTCCTCGGCCGCCTCGAGGCTCAAGCTCTCAACTTTCCTTGTTTGATGGCGCTTTGCGAACTCCTCGATAGCAGCCTTCAGTGTGTTCAATATTAGACCAGAGTGGTCGAAGCCAGTTCGTCCTTCTTGGGGTGCTTCGGCATGAGTATCAGGAACAAGATATGTGTCATACAAGTAGGATTTGTTCGCCAACTGTGAGGCGGGTGATTGCCCAGGGGACTTGCGATCTTCCATGGGAATTTCCTGGGCAAGCGCACGTCGGATCATTGTATGCTTTGCAGAACGGTGTAGCCAGTATCCCTCGTGGTGAAGATTTTCCCAGGGCCTGACTCGTTCTCCAGTTGGAATCGATTTCTCGGGTAAAATATAGATCTCCCCAGGCTGTTCAGAAGAGATTTCGCTGGAGAGAGACGGAATTTCCGCTCGGCGGATAAGCTGTGCCATTACCATCGACCAACGCGCCTCCCAGGCCTCCCATCCGTAGTGTTTACTGCCCTTTCCTCTGCGGTTGACAATATCCTTTACACGGATTCTGTGGTCAACCCAAAGCCGAGCCGCGGCGGTGGTCTGACCCGCCCACAACAGGCAGCGTATAATCCGAATGGCCAGGGCATCTGCCAGGAGGCGCGCATCATTAAATCGAGGATTCCAGCCCGCAATATTTTCGAAAACTTCATGTCCAAATAGAGTGTCATAGGCACTCTCATAGTTCCGACAGGCTGCATCCATTTCTTGCCGAAACTCAGCAAAAATTCCGAGCTTGAATTCATACCGTACATTCCAGCCTTGGGAAGATAGGGTCTGGGAAGTTCCGGTTGTTGGCGGTGCAGTTGGAGGAGGGATACTACCCCTGTTTCGTTTGCGCCTGGCATGTTTAGACAGATCCCGATAGTATTCAACAACCGACGGTTGCAGTAGAGAGAAGAGTGATTTCACAAATTCTTGTAGTTCCGATGAATTTGCGTCAGGTGGAATCACAAATATCGATTTGGGGTCAAGGTTCGTTGCTCGCCGAATCCCGGCAATGCGGTCATCAATCTCGCCCTCGTAGCCGCCTTCTTCTCCATCTTCTGATATCAAAACGACTACAAATCTTGTTTTGTACCCGGAGGATTGCCATTCTTTTTTCAAGCTATTGATCTCGATCTTGAGTTGATTATCTCGTAGGGAGTTCATATTTGGGTCCAACGAGAATGGGAAGAAATTGATCACTGCTGCTGGAACCAGGTCTTGGTGTTTAGTCACCCATAGAGGGGTGAGCAAGCCATCTGGGAAGGTTGGGGAACCCGGTGACAAAGGTGATATTGGCGAGTGAAGGACAAAGTGTGTAGGTTCCGAGGGTTCACTATCCTGGTCATCGCTAGGCGTAGTTGGTGGTGAGGGGATAGGGGGGTCGGCTTTTCGTGGAGGGAGTCTGCATGACTGTGTTGGTGTTAGCGAGTCGTCCGCAGTACAATGTTGTGAAACCAACGAGGATTGGAATCATAGAATATCAACGTACCCGGCCAGAACTTTTAACGCGGTAACCAATATTTGCAGCCGTAGTATTCCCGCTTACAGTAACTCTGGACTTCCATGGGGTTTGAGAGCTATCTTCCTCTAGAAGTAGGCTCCGGAGCTCCTCCGCAACAGCCCCGCTCAGAGGTGGAAAGTCAGAGAATATATGGGTCCCCTTCTCTGATAGTAGAGGATAGCTTGAGGATGTTTTAGAGTTATTTTCAGGATCTGCCTCTAGTCCTGGGAGTAGGACTAAAGGCAGGTTGTGATTGACGTAGTCTTCGGGGTAGGCGTCCATTGCGGGCAATGGCTTTTTTGCAGTGCGGTCACCACATGTCTAAAGAATCGAAAAGACCTGGGGATTTAAGGTGCAAGGTTATAAAGATCCCTATTAAAAGTAATGCCCGAATATTCGGAGGTTCAATGATGTTTTGGGCAAGATAGGTGATGGTTGGGATATTGCCATGGGCGGTCAGCTATGTTTAGGGGATAAGCTATACAGAGTAGATGGAATGCATATAGGAGTCCTTTTATTTTGATCTTACGGAGTAATAAGGGTGCTAGTAGACTCTATATGCACATAATATACAGATTGAACATACAGCTATACTTATCTAAATCAAAATATGTGTTAAATAACAATAATTGAGTACATGAATACTTCTATAGATCCGCTATATATATTTGTTTACTATTTACTATTTACTATTCACTATTCACTATTTACTATTTACTATTTATTATTTATTATTTACTATTTACTATTTATTATTTACTATTTACCACTTACTATTTAGCAGTCTACTTTGTTACTTTACTGTACGTTTCAAATTAAATCCATTGGAATACACAAGATATGCTAATAGCCTTTTAAGCCCATAAGCCGATTAAGGGGTGAAGAACCCACGTGGAATCTCAAATACTTTTTTTAGCTGCAAGGAATTTGTTATGGAGTTATACTAATCTCCTATGGATACTTATATGTACAGATGAACTGATATGTACATATATTGCTACTTTTACGGCAAATTAAGATCCTTCTGTGGAGCAAAAGGCGTCAACGCTAAGAGATCTCGAAAAAAAATAAAGTGAACTCCCTTTTCTAAACTTGCGATCATCATCTTTTTTTTTTTTAACTTACTCTCTTTCTATTATAACTTCCCTTCCTTTTTATATTCTTACACTCATTCCCAATTCCTTCTTTTCTATTTCAACTGTAAGGGGCAACCAGAAACCCTTATCAAAACATCTTTTCGCATGCAAGTAGATCATGCGTGTACCCATTTTACCCTGCATCCGATCCTTGAAGTTTGTTTGGGGAAACCTTTAGAACTATTACCATGTCGAACGAGGCCCCCGTGGCAGAGTCGGCTCTGCTTAATCGTCGTCGCCGTCGTAAATCGCTGCCTTCGCGCAATGGAACCGATCCAACCTCGCCTGAAGTCATTTCATCCCTCATTTCCTCTCTTTCCACCATATCTGTCCCCCTAAACTCGCATTTTGATACCGTCCCGAAGATCGACAACGAAGATTCATTGCCAGTACCGCGCACAGCGCCAGTCTATTCCCTTCCGTCTGAACATGGGTTTGGAATGAGTTACGGCGCCTACAAGCCAGCGGAGCCATCTGCGGCACCTGACCCATTTCTACACCCGAACGATGCGGCCTCGTCGCCTGTTATTCGCATGGCTAGGGCGCCCCCGTCATCCAAGTCGCCCCGATCCCCGAGATTTAAGCCCTTCAGAACAGCCGACTCATCGTCCACCCGCCCGGCCTCGAGGGAGTCCTATACATCTGTCATAGCTGCCCCAGAGCCCTCCTCATTCGGAACGATCAGCACGGAACCTGGACCCCGCCAATCAACCCCAAGCATTGCTTCGAACAGTTCCGCCGGGCGGACAAGAAGCCTGAAGGGTCCATTTAGTCTACTGAAGAAGTCATCACGAGAATTCATGGGCGAGAAGGATCCACAAGTTGAGCGCCTGCGAAAGACTACTAGCTACAACGATAGTCTACGACACAATGTCCCGCGCAACCGAGCAAGCTTGCGCTCATTTCATTCTATGGCGGAAGTTACAGAGGAGGCTCGTCCTCCGGATGTCAAGGAAGAGCCCTACGAAGAGAAGGTCGCCTGCACTCCACCATCCAAAGATCACCAGTCATTCAACGGCACTCCAGATGCTAGTAATCCCGGCGGAATTGGAAGCGGTAGAATCATTCCAACTCGCGACTCATCTTTGCGACATCGGCATAGCCAGTCGTCGAGCTCGAAAAAGCACCGGTCTGCTCGTCATAGTAGATACCCGTCCACGGCTAGCAAAGAGTTCAACACAGATAATGGATTACCGGGAACAAGCAATGATGCAGAACAGGTGACGCGCCGGATCCAAGAGTTGAAAGACCAGCAACAGAAGATCAAGACCGAGCTAGAGGCGGAGAATAGCCCTGAACACTCGACTAAGACGAGCCCCGTAAAGCAGCCAAGGGCTTCAAAGGCATCGCGCGTTCTAGGTTATGATGTCAACGAGACCATGCAGAATGGACCAGGCCGCAATCATTCATCTTTTCACGAAAGTGCTCCTTCGCCGAACGTGATGACAGGGAAAAGTCGCACCGGGAGCCGACCAGGGGCACCACTCGCATCGAAGTCTACTCACCTACCAGCGCAGTTGGCCAAGCCACCTGCGGAACACACGGATTCTGAAAAAGCTAGATACAGACAGTCCCTCGAGCCAATCGCACCAACCCATCATCGCCGCACCCCATCCGGTCATTTATCTCATCTGTCAAATGGGCGTCCCTCGTACAGCACCGAACGACCATCCAGTGTGGATTCAATTGATCTTGCTGTTGACGACTATATCTTTTCGCCCAAGCTGACTCAGAGAGTGATTCACCCAACCACCGGCCGCTCTATCGCCTTCTCTGAAGTCGGCGATCCTAAGGGCCATGTCGTGCTATGCTGTGTCGGCATGGGTCTCACTCGGTATCTGATGGCATTTTATGATGAGTTGGCTCGGACGCTCAACCTACGACTAGTCACGTTGGATCGTCCTGGCGTTGGTGAGAGTGGTCCACATCAGGGAGATGAGCCAAGCACCCCTCTGAGCTGGCCCGGTAAGCAAATACTGCTGAGATATCCTAATCATGCGCTAATTAGTAACAGATGATGTTGCAATCGTTTGCAACCACCTCCGAGTGACCAAATTTTCCATCCTTGCCCATTCAGCAGGGGCGATTTACGCTCTTGCAACGGCTCTCCGAATTCCGCAGCATATTCGCGGCCGTATTCATCTCTTAGCCCCATGGATTCCTCCATCTCAGTTGTCTACAATCGGCTCTCAGAAGGATCCCGCGCCCACCAACGCGGTCCCTTACTCCCAAAAGATTCTTCGTGCTCTTCCCACATCCCTTCTCAAAGTGGCCAATTCAAGCTTTATGAGTGCCACTAGTGCCAGCATCACCACCAGTCTACCCAAGTCCCCGCGACGGGCCAAGCGTAAGGCTGCTACCAAAGAAGCTTCTAATGCGAATGCCATCCCTCCAGTACCACCTATACCTTCCGTTGAAAACAACCCGCAGACCCAGCGAGTGGACATTGTACCGAATCTCAAACCGTCGGCCCCGACCACCGCTTCCTATAGAAAGAGTGATACGACTCTCGGGTCTTTCACAAAGTCTCCAGAAGACGAGGTCGAACGGCAGCGTGATTATGATACCCGTCTCACCTACAAGATCTGGGAGCTGGCTACCACCAACGCCAATCCGGCCGTTGATTTGCTAACCTGCCTCGAGCGTCGCCAAACAATTGGATTCCGCTACGTGGACATCACGCGATCAGTGGTGATGCACCATGGTAGCAAAGACCCCCGCGTTCCAGTAGAGAATGTCCAGTGGCTTGGCAAGACGATGCGCCGCTGCGAGGTCCGGATTCTCGAAGGCGAAGGCCACGGTCTCATGGCATCTGCTGGGGTTATGGGCGGTGTCTTGACTGAGATTGCCAAGGAGTGGGAGGACTGGACGATTCTTGTTCAAGGCAAACGCCGAGCCACTGCCAGCCATGCTGCACGTCCCGGACTCTCAATTCATACTTGATTTCCCCAATCCGCCGTCCTTTCCCCTTTACCCCGATGTCTTTTGACATAGCACCACTTTTACAGCCCTGGTGGCTCATATTCTCTCTAATTACCTTCTCATTTTCGACACGCTGCAGCTGGTCTGCGACTCCCATTCTGATCTACACCCTCGAACTTCTATATCCCATCGTTCATCCTTACCCTTTTCTCATCTACATACACCTACTGCAAGGTTCATGCTCTATGACTTACTGTTGACATGGGGTTTGCCTTTGAACCTGATTTAGCATAATACCCAATAATGCCATATTATAATCAATATTGATAATTTTACCTAGTAAAAGTAAAAAAAGTACAGATCAAACAAGCATTATATTATGTACATCATAGTTCCGCCAAGCATCAGCGCTCAGACGGGGCCGCAAATCAGGGATGACATACCCTTGGCCCCTTCCAGGATCTTGACCCCACTTCTTCTCCTGACCTGGAGCTTTTGATCTTTTGAATAGTTTTGGTTGAACGTTTGGATGTTTTTATCCTGTCACTTCCGAGAACGGAGGAATTCTTGGCTGGAACAGCCGACGTCACGTTAGCGCGAACCCCGGACCTGGCGACTGGAACATCTTGATTCAACTTTTTTGATACAAGTCACAAGCCACACGGCTATAATCACAATTTTCCATGCCTTCCTCCCAACGGCGGCTTCGACTGATCGTCGTTGCAGTTATCGCAATTCTTTTCATGGTCTTTTACTACACTGTACGTCCTCAGATCTCCTCTCGTACTGGGTTTCCAGATTTCTAATACTCAATCCAATCTATAGGGCGATGCAAGCAAAATCCAAAACCAAAAGTTCTATCGTTCGACCCTCGATGCAATGAAAGCGAAAGAGCAGGCCAAGCAGGCCAAGGCCCAAGAGAAGATCCAGAATGCCATGCATGCGCCCGGACAGAATGGCGCTGCCGGTGCCGGTGATAAGGCACCCGTCGTTGAGGTCGAGAAAGCCGATGTTCCTCCTGGTACAGGGAATGATGATACGGAGGAGATCCCAATTGCAGGACGGACGAAGATGACCGTTCCTAAGAAGGTGAATCAGGATATGCCATCAGAGGTTCAGACGGAGGTTAAAAGCGAGGAGGAGAAGGAGCGTGAGCAAAAAGCGAAGAAAGAGCGTGAGGAGAAAGAGAGGAAAGAGGCTGAGGCGACAACAGAGCTTAATGTGATTCTTAAGCGGGCTCCAGGTATGTTTCTTCCCCCCCCCCCCCAATTTTCCAATTCTTACTTGTACCCAAAACTAACGACATCCAGTCATCATCTTCTCCAAATCCTATTGCCCATACAGCAAGAAAGCCAAGTTGATCTTGCTGGAGCACTATTCTATCGAGCCGAAACCGTTTGTGGTCGAATTGGACCAGCACCCGCTGGGACCGTATCTGCAGGCCCTGCTTGCTCAGAGTACAGGGCGTCGCACTGTGCCCAATGTACTCGTGAGTGGGAAGAGTATAGGTGGTGGAGACGATATTGCGGCATTGGATCAGAGCGACGAGCTGGCTTCGACGCTGCGACAAATGGGCGGGAAATGGATCGTGGATGTGTCTCACCAGGATATTGAGAAATCACTGTGAAATTAGTATTGTAAAACAAGATTTAATAGTCATAACCCATAGCCCTGGTAGAAACTTGGGACATGGTTGCAGTTCATTGCATTGTACAGGAGTTATAACATAGTAGCGATCAGGAACTGAACTCCAGGCTTCAGCTTTAATACCATATGTACCTCTACTTGCAAATCACCTAATTAAGACCGGTGGGTCAAGTACTGGTACACGCTATGATAAGACGATAAGCTGATAAGGAACCCTAATTGCGCTAGACCCAAAATGGCTCTAAGCGACGCACAATCCCGTGACATCCAATTTCGCTCCACCACCAAGTCCATTCGAATTTTGAACCTCCCCGACATCGACAATCTACACCCCCGGCAACCACCAAAAGTCACGTCAAGATGCGGTACATTCACTCCGAGGAACGGCTGCCCATTCTGGACAATGGTGAGCGAATTTCTTTTTTATTGGAGGATCGAGGAAGCTGGTCGCACACAATACAACTTCTTTTTTTGGAGGCACGAAAGTCAACAGCATGGCACGACACACGATAAATATCCCACCAGCACCGCAGAGAAATGGACGAAATATTGTGTGGGATCGGCGACTCGCACTCCTACCAGACAATTCTTGATTTTTGATTCAAAATATCGAATTTCACAAGAAATGCCCATCAACTAACCCAAATCTTTTTTTGCTATATAGTGAAGGTCCACATTAAGTCCCGCGTCGTGACTGTCGAGGGTCCCCGCGGCAAGCTCGTCAAGGATCTCTCCCACATTGCCGTCACCTTCGGTCGCCCCGAGCAGAACGTTATCTCCATCGAGCTGCACCACGGTGCCCGCAAGGGTGTTGCTACCCTCCGTACCGTCCGTACCATCATTAACAACCTGATGATCGGCGTTACCCGTGGCTTCAAGTACAAGATGCGTTACGTCTACGCCCATTTCCCCATCAACGTCAACATCGAGCCCAACCCCGAGACTGGCCGTGCTATTGTGGAGATCCGGTATGGAATTCTGGAACCTACGTTTTTTTCGATATGATTCAACAAAGTCATATCGTGAAATTCAATTGTGAGGGGGCCTAGAACTAACACTTCGTTATCAGCAACTTCCTCGGTGAGAAGTACGTCCGCCGCATCACTGCCCAGCCCGATGTCGATATTGCTCCCTCCGCCAACGTCAAGGATGAGCTTATCCTCACCGGTAACTCCCTCGAGGGTGTGTCCCAGTCCGCTGCCGACATCCAGCAGATCTGCCGTGTCCGCAACAAGGATATCCGTAAGGTGAGTTATACACAATTCTGGGAGGATCCGAGACTTTTGACTCTATACTAACCATTCCTAGTTCTTGGATGGTCTTTACGTGTCGGAGAAGGGCAACATCATTGAAGAGTAAATGTGCCGCTTGGGAATGTATGGGGTGTCCGGGAGAGGTTTCTTTAATTTCGCCTACTTGCATATAGGGAAGCAAAGCGAAATGTCAAAAACAAAACGACCCTTTTGAAATTCACTGATTCCCTTACGCGAAAACGTCGTGACATGTAGAAATGTGCGCCCGTGATAAATTCAATCCATTTATATAAAGTATGAGATGTTTGTATTGTCGTGGGGGCTGTGGGAGATCTGGGGGGGGGGGGGGAGAGTCTAGAACTACTAAACCACCAAACTTCCAACTTCCAACTTCCCACTTCCAACTCTTCCAACTCCAACAATTCCTCAGAGATCTCCATAATACAACTACGCTCCTGATTTTGAATAAATTATCACACTTGAACTACTTATCTGATCTTAATCTTCAACCTTTTAGCGCAAAGCGCGTGACGTAGCATGTGAAAGCGAATCTCGGGCCCGCATGTACACCTCTTCCTCCACAACGCAAATCCCTCCATTGAAACAAAATGGGGTCCTGGTGGCTCGGTCTGTGGAGCATCGCTAGTGCGATTTGGAATATGGTGCTTGATGTTACTCAGTTCTGGAGAGATGTGAGTGTTGCCCAATCCTCAACCCGAGAGAGTCTTGCATGTGGGGAGAGGTCTGAGCTGAGATGGCTAAGACAGATGACGCACAAGACATAACATGGGATGTAGTTTTCGGTTTGATCTTGAGCTAATCAATTAGAAATTATTATCATGGTGGCATTCCAAATCCCCTCGGGATCGACTCTTTCATACGCTAGCCAACGCGCAGAGCTATGAGGAGTGGGAAGAGGCAGCATTTGAGCTTGACGAGCTACAAAGTAACGATATATGGTACGAAATCAAACCGATCACTTCAATTGAACCCGGCTCAAAATTCAATATACCGAACATACCCTCTAATTACCTACGCAGGCGCCAAAACCCCGTTAGTCGACACTATGACTACCGACTAATCCTCGGCCGACTCGAAGCGCTGATGAGCGCGCGTGAGTCAGAAGATATTCTAACACTAGTCAACCTACTCCGATCGGGGCTTGTACGCAATCTAGGCAACATAACCAGTACGAAGCTATTCACGCACGCGTACGCAGGAACCAAGCTTCTAATCGACGACTATATCACACAAGTAGCACTGTCCATTCAGTACGTGACATCGGTGCCAGGAGCACCGATGCATCCGAGCGGATTTAGCTCACAAGCGAAGTTAGAGCTGTTGCACGATACGCGGCAGGCGTTTGGGCGGACGACACTATTACTACAGGGCGGATCTGCGTTCGGGCTATGCCATCTTGGTGTCGTGAAGGCGCTGCATTTGCAGGGTCTGTTGCCGCGGATTATTACGGGCACTGCGACTGGGGCGATGATTGCCGCGCTTGTGGGGATTCATTCTGAGGATGAGTTGTTACCGTTGCTTGATGGGGAGGGGATTGATCTTTCTGCTTTTGAGAGGCGCAAAATGGTTAATGGGGGTGGAGGGAACTCTAATTCGAGCTGGGTTGGGACGTTTTATCGGAGGATGAGAAGGTTGTTGAAGAAGGGATACTTGTTTGATGTGGGTGTTTTGGAAGAATGTGTTCGGGCTAATGTTGGGGATCTTACGTTTGAAGAGGCGTACGCGAGGTCGAAGCGCATTTTGAATATCACGGTTGCGACAACGGGAAAGAATGGGGCGCCGAATTTGTTGAATTACTTGACTGCCCCGAATGTGGTACGTATTTCACCTCTTCTTGCCAGTGTGATATCTAACATATTTTCAGCTCATCTGGTCTGCTGCTGTAGCATCCAACGCCTCTTCTTCCTCGGGCCTCTATTCACCCGTGACGATCTATTGCAAAGACGAAACAGGCGCAATAACACCATGGCCACACACGCAAGACGCAATCTTCCGGCCCTGGCGACATGTCCACTACAACGAAGGCGAATCCCCCCTCTCGCGCATCTCGGAACTTTTCAACGTAAACCACTTCATCGTCTCCCAAGCCCGGCCATATTTAGTTCCATTCCTGCGGTCAGAACTGAACCTCCTAGACCGACGCCAAACTGGCTGGAACAACCTCTCCCGCTCGGCAATGAGACTGATAATCGTCGAATTGCGCCACCGACTCCGCCAACTCGACTATCTAGGCGTGCTACCCGCTCCACTGAGCAGACTACTCATCGATGAGACAATACCCGGACCAAACCTAACTCTCGTCCCGGACTTGTGTTTCTGGGATCTGAGGAAACTGTTCCAGAGTCCTACGAAAGTCCGCGTCTCTGAGTGGTCGCTTAAGGGTGAAAGGGGAGTTTGGCCGGCGATTAGTGCTCTGAAGGTTCGGGAGGCGATTGAGATTGAGCTTGATAGGGGGTATCAGCTTGTTAGGCGGCGTCGACCGAGTGATGCCTCGCTTTCGGTGTCTATGCCAAAGCAGGTTAATGCTATGAATGAGGGGATTCCTAGGCGTAGAAGAGGTGGGAGTGAGAATGAGGAAGGGATTCTGGCTGATCGGGAGTGATATTGGGGATTTACTACAAGTAATGTTCACAAATGGACGGTGTACATTTTGTACTGCGTTGACTTGGGCCAATCAAATGTCGGGTCGACCACACCGACCTTTTACGAATCTCCGTCTAAGATCCCTTTTATCTCATTTATATTGAAAGGCATCACAGTACGTTGATCCCAGAGCTTTACTCGCAAGAAGATCCCATCATTCTGAACAGTTTATTGACAGCAAAGACTTTCAAGCCATGGCAACTCCACCATTGGACAACCCACAGCTGGCTATTCTGGAGATGAACGAGACCTTCGAAGATATCAATGGCAGCTTCGGTTTCGCTGGTACATCAGTCGTGTATCGAATGAATGGTGAATTATATCATGGAATGCTGAAAGCTCGCTACTATCCTTCCACAATTGTCAACTCAGCGGACCTCGCAAATATCATCCAAATACCCTCCCTAGCCTATAGTCCTCTATATACAACAGAGTTGACACGAGCACAGGATCCATCAAAAGACACACATGTGAAGCGACCCCGATTGATCAGCTACGATCGGATTTACAAGAGTCATCCAAATGCGATTGCAGAGTCCATACTGGCAGAAGCAAAAGTGTGCGAGCTGTTACTGCAATACCCGCATTCCAACATTGCTATCTATCATGGTTGCCAGGTATCCGGTGATAGAATTCGTGGACTTTGCTTTACGAAGTACTCGCATACGTTAATGAAAGAGGTGAATTCCGGCGCGTTGATGAAGAGGCAGGCGAGAAGTATGCGGAAAACAAGCAAAGACTACAGTAGTGTTCTGGCTGGTGTTGAGAGTGGTATTCGACATCTTCATTCTTTGGGTTTGGTTCATAATGATATCAATCCTAGTAGCATTATGTTTGATGGTGATGAGTTAGTGATTATTGATTTCGGCTCTTGTCGGTCTATTGGAGAGAGTAGGGGAGGTGGGACATATGAATGGTATGATGAGAAGGTCCAGCTTTCTCTTCCTGAGAATGACTTGAATGCTTTGGAGGAGATTCGGATTTGGCTTGGGGATGACTTGCCTTTTCAGTTTGAGACTTAAAAATTCCTTTGTGAGATAAAAACCAATTTGACTCATTCTATAGCTCTTTTATCACTCTTCTATAACACTTTTCCAATTGAGGTTGTCAATAACCATAAAACCATTGTTTCCACAGGCCCTAATATTCAAGTTAGAAAGAGATCATTACATCAAAGATAGACTTGTGTTAATTCAGCATTTGCAATTGGTCCAAATTTCTAGACACAATTTATTATCAAAGTTCAAGCATCTCTTATATGCAATTGTCCGACATGTCTGAAACAGAATAGCAGATGTTTCCGTACTCTGCATAGTTCCCCTTCCTAGGGCAAAAAGCCTGTCGACAGCAATAAACCAACCCTCTTCCAATTTCAGGTAAACAGAAACATCTTGAAGGCGAGGATAAAGCGATGTTCTTGGACTTGATGAAGAGTATGATTACATGGCGACTAGAAGACCGGAAGACCCCAAGGGAGTTGATCGAACATCCATGGCTTCAAGGTACCGTTTGGCTACCTGGTCTTTTTTTTTCCCCCTAAATAATTCCGACCATTTCCTTTTTCTTTCGTATGTCTCAGCATTCAGTTTTGTGATATAAGTTCTTTTCATGTTTTATGTTCGGAGTGTATCTTGGGAAGTAAATATAAACATCGGATAATAATTTGACCGAATCAGCTGATATTCCACCCCGTTCCACTTTGTGGGTCTCATATGGATCTCCATCTTATCTACAATTCTTCCAATTTCTTCTCCACTTCTCTATATGGTTCCCAGCTCACCAGACTACAAGAAGCTCTTTTTGGAGGAAAAGGAGAGACGGAAACAGGCAGAAGAGAGAGAGAAGCAGGCAGAAGAGAGAGAGAAGCAGGCAGAAGAGAGAGAGAGGCAGGCAGAAGAGAGAGAGAAACAGGCAGGAGAGAGAGAGAAACAGGCAGAAGAGAGGCAGAGACAGGCAGAAGATCAAGGAAGACTGGATAGAGAACGCAACCGTCAAACGACTTTTGCAGAGTTTATACCACTTTGCCACAACTTGTTGTCGCGACCGTTGAGAGCCGCGTTGCCATCTATCTCGACCATGGGGAAAATACCTGTTCCAATCGGAAAGTATTGCCCTGCCCGACTGGAATTATGGACAGACTGTTCAGCCCAGCAGCAAGAGATTTATAATTCGGTGTGCAACTATCTACAGCTAGCTGGGGAGCCCCCAGCACGATTGTTTGCACCGCTGAATGCTCTCGAAGAAAACGCAAAACAATTAAGCTATCGGCCAATGAGCAGCGAGCATGATGTCGAATACTATGAGCGATATGGCGTGGAGAGCTATGTGTATAATATAATCCAGGAGTTATGCAAGATCGACGCTGCTCGACAGGAGTTTAAACTTGGAGATGGGATCAAGTTTGAAAATCATACAAATCTACTCGAAGCGGATGAAGGCGTCGAAGCGACAGATCAGCTATCGAAAATCGAACACCCTAAAGCTGATTCGTTTTTTTTCATGCATCGGATCGACGGTGACACTCACACCCTCCTCGCTTCAGCCGAATACAAGCCGCCTCACAAGCTCCCTGTGGAAGCCTTTCGTCGAGGACTTAGGGATATGGATTTGTACAAACATATGGTCAGGTCAAACAAAATTCCCACGGATAAGGAAGAAAAGCTCAAATACGATGCAGAACGACTAGTTTGCTCCGCTATTGTTCAAGAATATCATGTGATGATCCAAGAGGGATTCGAGTACTCCTATGTGACGACTGGCATTGCCCGTGTTCTCCTCCGTGTCCCTCTTGATGACCCTAGCACACTTTACTATCACTTTTGTGATCCCAATTCTGAAGTGGACCCAGAAGATGAGAATGGGTTTCAAGAACCAAAGACTTCGGTTGCCAGAGTGCTATGTCTATGCTTAATGGCATTCCGTTCATCGATACGTGACCATGAATGGAGATACCGTGCCCGCAAGGGTCTTCAGATATGGAGCTCCAACTTTAGCCGCTCCGAGACTCCCAAAGAACCACGGCCTCTTCCCAACTCCGATAGTACCTATCTGGAGTACACGAGTCCTGAATCCGGTTCATCTTATGAACCGCCGTCATCTCTGCCTGCATCGCCAAAATCTCTGCCAGCACCTCCAGCAGAGGGCCACCGAGTGACTCTAAGGTCTCGGGGAACCTGTGCGCCCTCAAATGATCGACGCGCACAGTCGCCAGACTCGTCAGGCTCTGACTCCAACCAAGCAGTGGGACGAAAACGGGGATTCAGCCAAGTCACATCTTCTCCATCTGCCCAACGAGCCGCTCGACAGGAGCATGCTAGGAGATATGAAGAGAGCCAGTCTCGACGCAATGCACAATTCTGCACCCAGCGGTGTCTCCTCGGACTGCAAACCGGGGGTAACCTAGATGACCGCTGTCCAAACGTAAAGCTTCACTGTCAGGAACAAGATGGCCAGCGTGACTTCAAACATCCCATCACGTCGGGGGATTTAGTACGCTTAATAAACGAACAGGTCGACGACAATATCGACCGATGCATACCGTTCGGACGTTGCGGATCGTATGGTGCACCGTTCAAACTGACTTGCGTCAAATATGGCTACACAGTTATCGGGAAAGGAACCACGTCAAACCTATGGAAACAAGTCTCTAGCGAAGCGCAGATGTATCGAATCCTACGGAAAGCTCAAGGCTCAGCGGTACCTGTTTTTCTCGGTACAATCGATTTGGCCAAAATCTATTTTCTGCACGGGGCTGGAGAAATCCGTCATATGCTAGTCATGGGCTGGGGAGGAGAGAATACGGCGGAAATGGAGATAGAGCCATGGCTTAGCCGGGAGATCCGGAGGTCAACAAAGGAAATAACCGCGTTGGGCGTCATTCATGACGATCTTCGATATGACAATATCCTTTGGAATAAGGAACTTGGACGAGCATTGATTATCGACTTTCATCGCGCTACTTTGAATACACGGCCACTTAAGCGACGACGACAGAAGAAGTCGAGACCTGAATCGGGGGATGTAAAGCGTTTGCGCTTGAATTGATTTTCGTTTTGCATAAGATACCCATTTGATTTGGCATGTTAATATAATACTGCTAGATTGCATGAATATACAAAGAGAAAATGAGGTTATGGATTCGTATATTCTCATATAGTCAAGTTATGATCAAGAGCATCCGACTCTGGAGGACCCTTATAAGCTATAAATTGTCAGTATAAAATTCCCCCAAACCAGTCCAATAACTTACATTTCCTTGCGTAAACCAAGAACCAAACCGCCGAAATAACCATAAATCCAACAAAAACAACTGAAGCATAATTCATCGAGGCAGCTGTAACTGGCAAAGCAGTCGGCATACTAAAAAGAACCAACTCAAAGGCAATCCAAATCAACGCAACAACATTAACAACCCTCCCAACCCTCCCACAATTCCAAGGCGCCTTAACAACCTCCTCACGACCATACCATAAACTCAAAAAGATAGGAATAGCATAAGCCGCCGCAAGTCCAATGACCCCAACAGAAACAAACGCGGTAAACGCACTCGTACTCCCGAGGTTAATCAAACCAAGCAACATCTGAATCCCCGTCAACAAAACCAATGCCCACACTGGTACACCCCAGTGCTCATTGACACGCGCCCACAGTCTCGCTAGCGGTATGGCATCATCACGGGCGACAGCCCAAGTAGCGCGGGAAGCAGCGACTGTTATACTTATCGAGCAGAAGATTGTTATAACCAGGACGAGGGAGATGAGGCCCAGACCACCGGGGGAACCCATTACACGGGCCAAGATATATGGGAGTGCCTGTCCTGCTGGTGCATTGATTATATCTTGCAAAGGTGGTAGGGTTGCGCATATGGGGATAATGAAGAATAGACCCGCTGTTCCGCCGACGGGGATGGAGAGGGCCATTGCGCGTGGGACTTTGATAGCTGGGTTTGTTGATTCTTCAGCCATTGAGGAGATCATTCCTATTGCGGAGAAGGTGTATGCTGGTGGGAGGAGACCGATGAAGAAGGTGAAGTTTCCCCAACCGGCGAAGGATTTATCGTAGTGGGATAGGGTGTATGATGGGGAGTGGCGGGGGGTGTGTGGGTTGATGGAGATGGCAATTAGGATGATTATTATTGTGAGGAGGGTCCATGTTGCGCAGACAGTATCGAGGAGGGGGAGGTGATTGTTTGCGAAGATGCAGATTGTTAGGGAGGTGAGGCAGACTGCGTAGAAGATTAGGAGGAGTTGCCAGGTTGATGCTGACCAGGTTGGGTGGTAGATTGAGATCGTTGCTGAGAGCATAGAGGCGAAGCCGAAGTTTACGGAGAGGGTTATGGTCCAGTTTCCGATTAGCCAGATCCAGGCGTTGATGAAGGAGATGGTTGTTTTCTTTCGAGAGATTTGAAAGGTCCAGTAGTAAGGACCTGCGGAAGTTGGGTAGCGGGAGGCGAGCTCGGCGAGGGAGAGGGCGATGCATTGGTCGAGGAGGCAGACGACTATCCAACCTATAAAGATTGAGAGAGGACCGCCGCCATAGATGGCGGAGGAGAGAGCTGAGCCTTCGCCATAGGGGATTGCTGCTATGGCGAGAGTTTGGAAGAGAAGAGTTAGGACTGAGCGATTGCGATGTAGTTCTTGTTTGTAGCCTAGACGGTCTAGTTCGATGTTCTCAATTATACCCTTTTCATGATCTTGGGGAGGTGAAGAGGTGGTCTCCTTTTCGAGAGCCATAGTATTAGGTCGATAATGACAATCTCTAGAGAGGTAAATGAACAGGTTCTCCAAGCTATTAGGGAGAATAAGGAGGGATATATGCCCAGGGTATATGTGCCCGTGTAACCTAAGAGATGCAGCGAATAGCATCTCATATAAAGTAATGCTATGCAATACGCAAGGGGGTCTCACATTCTGATAGATAAAAGATATAAGTACGAGGATAAAGCCTAGAGAGACAAGATATAATTTACCGATTGGATATCTTTAAAGAGAAGAGAAAAGATAAGAGGACCCTCTAACCCTAACAAGCAACAATATCCAGAGGGAAAAGTATTCCGCATTTGACCAGATTGTTATTTGAAAGAAATTCATGTCAAGAGAAAAACCAAAATGAGGTATCAAAAGAAGAGCATTAAAAAAAAATAGACATCTGGAGAACTTCCCTGAAATCTAAACATCAAACATTATGAACGGTAACATATGGTATACGGGGAAACCCCTAAATAGAACTTTGAAAGTAAAGGCAATTAGTGCGCCGTAGACGGCCGGCCCTGGTGCGACCTGCGCGAATGCAGACTAAGTCGGTGACCAGTAGACGGGGGACCCTCAATAGCCAACAAGGGAGGAATGCTAAATCCATATCCCTCGGTAGCAGCGCTACGATCCTGAGGATCGATCTCAACACGGACGGCGACATCAAGTCCGCCATACATGCCGCTTGCACAGGTGAACCCATCAGCGGCGGTGTGTGTCGTTCCAGCATCGACTTCACCCTTGTGTAGAGGTGCGTGGCCATCCTTGGGAAGGTGATCCAGTTTTGCGGAGTTGGCTTCGAGGATACCGGTGTTACCGGGACTCGGGGCGACTACCTCGGTGAGAATGGCGTAGTTGCGGGATGGCATGGTAACCTTATTGAAGGGGGCGCTCTTCTCCTTACCGCCAGGCTGCTGGTCGAAGAAAGGCATGAGGGTCTCGTCGCAATCGCGGTCAAGGTGATGAATTTTGTTTCGGCGAGCGAGGAGATCAGCGACGGCCTTAGGTGGGGGCTTATTGGTGATAGCGCTGCTGACGATGTTCACAATGAAGCGATGGTCGTTCTCACCGGCGAGGTTAAGTTTCGGATTCGAGTAGAAGCGGCCGATGGCAGCGAGGTGGACGTCGCCACTGAGGATCGTTACGCGCACGCTGTGGCTGCGGGCGAACTCTTGTAGGCGGTGGACTAGCATCTTGCGCTCGCGCTTGTGCTGACGCGCGGTATAGTGATCGTCCAGGTCATCAAGGAGATCGACTTGGCCGTCGAATTCGTTGAAGAGGCCACCTGCCACGCCGAAGCGCTTGTTCAACAGCCGGATCGGGGCGATCAAGGGGGATGTGAGGATGTTCTCGAGCCATGCGAGACGTGGGTATGCGATTGGCACACCTAGTAATACCACCAGGTGCTTAATGTCGCCGTTGGAGGCAACAATCTCGCGCTGCAATCGGTCGAAGATCATATCATAGGTTTCCTCGTAGTTGACCTGGTGCCGGGTGCGCTCTGTGCGCGCATCCAGACCCATAAAGGCAATTCGCTTGCCGAAGCGCATGTAGAGATTTCGACTGCGCTCTTCCACGTACGGACCGGGCCGTTTGCCGATGATCCAGCTGTCATCCTCGACCTGGTTCTCCAGAACGTAGGTGTTCTCCACTTGACGCGGGTCAATTCCGGAGGTTCCATTCACGGCGTGCATAGTCGGTGGGGAATCGGTAGTGTAAGTTGACTTAGGAGGAGCCATGTGGTGCTGGAAGAGACAGTAATACTTGAATGCTACACCGCCAATACCCCGGAAGACAGCACACTTCATAAAGTGATCCGTGTACGAGCCGAAGCCATCAATGATATCATGATCATCCCAGATATTGACCTGGGGGATGCGGCCATTGGCAGTGCGGAATGGCTCAGTGTTGTACCAGCGGACGTAGTTGGCATAGTAGTAGTCATCGCACTCAGCGCGCATCTTATTATCGAAGTCATGGGCGCGTCTCTTGTGCGGGTTTGCAATGGCAGTCCAAGGCTTGAGCGGGCCATCCACACGAATACCGTCGTTGTAGATCTGGTCACCGCCACCAACCATAACGTGGAATGGCTTCTCGTTATGCACGCGCATCACATCGTTCCACAGGTTCGGCCCCACCCAGGCATTCATGTCTGTGCCGACGGAAAAGCCATTGCACGAGTGAAACATGATGCGCATGGACTGCTCTTCTGCAGGCACCACAAATTCCCAAGGTGCCTGGACCTGGGCGCCAGACTCGTTGTACAGACCGGGGATGTCGTACGCCCAGCGCGCCTCGAATGCCGCGACTGGCACGGTTAGCGAGAATCGCCAGAATGCTTTCAGGGGATCCTCGTAGAGCTTAAGGCCATCGACTGTTTGATTTGTTGGGACCCTGCCATCGTCGTTCCGGGCTTCACTATCCACGGCGCCTACCTGGCGCAGGCGCAGCTGGGGCTGCTCTTGGGTTGGCTTTGTGACAATCATGACACTGCCGTGCCAGGTAGTCGAAGCTTCATAGTGCATGTTCTTAAGGTTGATCAAGGGACCGGAGACGAGTTCAAAACGATCGTTCGAGCCTCGCGTGATATGCTGTCTCGTCTCCTCATTTTGAGGCAACCCTGCGATTGCAAACATGCTTGGTTAGGCGAGTTTCAGATCCAGGGCCAGGTTGCCTCGACATACCATTGACGGGCTGCGCATTATATTCAGCCATAATAAGGACAAACTGATGCGATTTCGATTCAGGGATATCACAGAGGTTTTGAGAAAAAAATTAAGAGCCGTGGACTCGAGTCGCACGGTAATTTAAAACACAATTGAGAGGGAAAGGAATCAGACTTAAATGGGCGATAGGGCTACAGGGCTGAAAGAAAAACAAGAAATGAAGCGAAATTGGGAGCTGCAGATCTGAACCTTGGGGCCCGCTGACTTGGCAATTAAGGAGGCAGCTCAGCCCAGACGAACAGCTCTGACGCTGCCAAGATATGCCAAGACCATCCGGGGAATGGCTGACCAATAATAAATTACATAATTTCAGCTATGACCCGCTTAAGCCACGTAAACGCCACATAAATCATTTTGACTATTCCTCATTTGGGTTACATCGGGTGGCGGTGCATTTTTAGCCTCGGGTTGAGCCGGTTGATTCGGTGGGTTTTTCCCTTGTGGGCACTTTTTATTATTATCTACGGAGTACAATATGAGGACATAGAGCAATAGGAAAGGCTGCTTGATAAGCTCAGGGTCCAAAATGAGAATTTGCAGAGTGAGATCCAGACACTACATGCTAACTATTCTACAAATGTCAACACATCTACATGGAGTGACACGTCACATAGATCCCAATTCGCTAGATCAATCTTTCGACTGTTTCTACACTTATTGGCAACGTAGCTCTTATCTCGATTTACCAACTAGGATTGACATTCGACCTTAAGCACCTTCAATTCACGAAGAGCTTGTCCAGATGCGTTGCTGCACTAAATACCCTCAGTCTTTTGGGAAGCAGTCATGATGATCAGCGACTTCATTGGCTTCTTCCTAACAAGCCATTGATAGTCTTCCAGTCGACACAGCACTGTGGTGTGTATGTCGTTTTTATTGAGGCTAACTCACAATATGAATCCATTGATGGGGGAAATAGTACATACTGCCCTCAAGCTGCTCGATATGCACAAGGCGGAACTGGCTGCTCAAGATCCCGGATCAATCACCAGTATTAATATCTAAACTATCTCGGCTGCTGAAGACCTTGGTTGTTCACCAATATGGATCATGCAAGAGATGCGTCTGTGTCACTCGAACCGGCTTCCAAGGTTCCTCGATGACTCAAAAGCCCCCTTCATCATTAGTATCCATACCGTCTACACCGCTAACTTGGGTACACACAACTTGACCAAGTTGGAGCTTGATCCCGTGTTCTTGGCCGCGGATGTTGCTAAGTCAAAATCTACTTACTACGGCGTGGCTTCAGCTGGATTCTTAGGCGTTTTTTTTTATGCAGCCGTTGGTCTAGTGGATATCTATATTTAGGGAACTTACTCGTTACACCACAAAGCTCATGGGTAGGGATCAGGAAAAAAGTACTGCGAAGAGATATATATAAGTGAGTTGTCGCTGAGCTTATCTATCAATTGGAGCAAGTAATTCCATTCTGAGGCTCTTCATAATGTCCATGAAGGAAATGCGTGTGCGCGTCATGAGAAGGCACGGTATGACATATTCTTTCCTAAATACATCTTTGAATGACCAACACAATAACAAGAAGCTGGATAGTCACTTGGCCCATTCTCCGCCCTCCATTAGAGCCTTCGTGTCCTAATCCCCCTTAGCAGCCTATCACTGGTCTTCGTGGGCTCCCCAGTGCAGCTTGTCCATGCGCTGATAGTAACTGGCGTCCATCTCTCCATCTTCCTTGGGGGTGTCGACAGCCTTCGAGCAGAGCTTTGGGTGACATATACCGATGGCATTTGGCAGCAGGCTGTCACACTCGTTGTCCACCCGATACTCGTGACAGACATTACAGTTGCCATTGGTTTGGCGTACGCAGTCTTGGGTAGAATAACAGCCATAATCGTAGCAGAACATGTTGGCACGCTTTGTCGTCGTCAGGATATCATCCAGGTTGTAGGTCACCAACCAGTCGCCGGCCGGCTCATGCTCCGGTAGTTTGATATCCGGATTGTGCCTGTTTATGCCTCTGGCGAACAGCACCCGAGCATAGGGGGGGTCGAACACGAAGGTCGTTTCGCCAGTCACCCTGTTCTTCAATGCTGCCGTGGCCTCAATCTCGTCAATGGCGACGTACTCGTCTGGTTGCGGTACGGAGGCCTTCTCAATTTGTAGCTTGATATGCTGGGCCGTCTCAGGGTCGAATCGGGTGTCGATGAAGTATAGAGCATTGGTGCCGGCTGCAGCCACGTAAGGAGTATCTGGCGACACAACCTGACGGCCCAACACGGTTTCAATCACCTCCGGGACGAAGCTACTATTCCGGTATCCCTCATGGAAGGTTGGGGAGCCCTCACATGGTCGGAACGGGTTCAGAAGCATGGTGATCAGTAGGAGTAGGAAGAACATGGTTGGGATGAGGCTAGGAATAAGGGGAAGGGAAAGGGAAAGTGGACTATATATACTGCCAACTTCATAGGTTTGTGTACGCGGATCTTATCTCATACTTCTGTCGGTGGCTTGAGAGTTCCAGTTCATGGCATCAAGGATCATAGGTCCCTGCGCATCAAACACTTGCCCTAGTTCGATTATCAAAGCCACATCAGGAACAATTGGTCACTGCATTGCCACGACAATTCTACCATTACAGAATCAGCGATGCCGAAATGAGGAGTTGGCTGCTAAGTGTTGCTACCTACAACAACGTTGGGTTGTGCTTGCTGATTGCTGAGAGGGACTCTATAGGGCGAAGAGATATAAAGCTATCCACTTGTAATATACAAGATAGGGATTTTCTTTCGATTCGGATGCCCGGCGGAGCACAAACTGGGATGTCTTGGGGAAATTTTGTAGGTGAATGCTACTTGGACTCTTACAGGGCCAGGGCTCTTCGTCCAGTCGGAAGCGAAAGGGGAAGAAGGCTGGTAAAAAAGAACCATGCGGTAAATGCGGAAGAACAAATCACACCACAGACAAGTGTTTCGCCAAAACCACAATCAACGCCATCCGGGTCCTAGGATTGGACGATGAGGTTACTTGGCAGTACCGTCTAGTGGAAGTGGAGAACCGAGAACTCCGAGCGCTAATCGACTCGGGATCCCCGATTAGTTGTATTCGGGCTAGCCTCGTAGCAGGACGAACGGAACCCTCCACAGTGACGCTGCTTAACCCAGACGGGTCCATATTAGCAAGCAGAGCCCGCTACCAAACTGTTGTCATCGACCAGAGACCCCTGAGACTCTACCTCGTGGAGAGGCTCCAGGAAGAAGTGATTCTAGGTCGGGATCACCTATCATCGGTAATACCCAATAATGTACTAGCACTAAACACAACGGGGCCCATACCCCCGTCTAGACGTCTACGCCCCCTCTCGGCCAAAGAGGAAGAGGCACTGGACACCTTCCTGCAGACCAATCGGGAACGAGGATACATCCGACCTAGCAAGGCGACCAACCCTACTAACATCCTATTTGTTCCCAAGAAGAATAGAAAACTGCGACTGTGCATCGATTACCGCCCCCTAAATTCGGTTACAGTCAAGGATAGGTACCCACTCCCACTAATCCAGGACCTAACGAATAAAGCTAGAGGCGCAAGGTATTTTACCCTAATCGACATAGAGGAAGCATTCTACCATATCAAGATAAGACCAAGCGACGAATAGAAAACCGCGTTCAAAACTAATAAAGGAATGTTCGAGTTCACCGTCATGCCCTTCGGGGTGACCAATAGACCGGGAACATTCCAACGTTACATCGACGAAGCTATGCAACCCCACGAGGCGTACACAAGCTGGTACATCGATAACATCCTTGTCTTCGCTAACACCGAGGAACAGCACGACCAGCGTGTCGCAGCTATCAAAGAAACGCTGGACGAATTCCAAATTAAGATCAACTACAAGAAAGCCGTCTACAAGGCCCAGAGCATCAAGTTCCTAGGCATAATCATCCATCCGGACAGAGTGGAAGCGGACCCCGACACCGTGGCCATCAAAGATTAGCCAACACCCACTTCGCGCACAGAGTTACAGCAGTGGCTAGGTCTAGCCAACTACTTCCGGGACTTCCTCCCAGACTTCGCCGACAAAGCGGCACCACTCTACGAGCTAACGTCCCCGCTCATCCCGTTCCATTAGAGACACGAACACATACAAGCATTTTTACGCACTAAGGACGCAGTTATAACCACATTCGCGACCTACAACGTAGATCCTACCAAGCCGCTCGTCCTATACACCGACGCCTCGCAGATTACACTAGGAGCTATCCTATATCAGGAAGGACGCCCTATACAGATCACGTCCCGATCTTTCACACCGGCCGAACGAAATTACAACACGACTAAACAGGAACTATTGCCCATTATACATACAGCAAAAAAGTGGCGGCACCTGTTCGAATCCACAAATCTACCAATCACGGTCATAACTAACCACAAGGCTATAACCCAAAGCCTAAATGCGGCCGGCACGAATCGGCGCATCAACCGTTAGATTAAGATCCTACAGCCATTCAAACTAGTATTTGAGCATATAGCTAGAATCTCCAACCCTACAGACTATCCCAGTCGCAGGCCTAACTACCAATACACTTTTAGGGGAAGGGGGGGGGGGAAATTGGATTATATAAAAGCGACGAAGACTCGGAAATTCACTAGAACAGATACCCCCTCACGCAAGGGGCCCCATCAGGAGTCGACAATTACGATCATTAGCGCCAGCACTGCATCAAGTGTGCTAAGTAGCGTAAGTCGGTAAAGGAATGGCATGAAGAAGCAGCCAATAGCATTCCAGCGAACACGTCATAGGTAAAGGTCCGAGAGCCCCTAGCGGATACCTATAGAAGTGCGCACCCGGTAGTTAGCACCACCCGTACCCAGATAGCATAAATAGGTCGGAAGTCCCCTCCTTAGGAAGGGCACATCAATTTACTGTTATACTCTGGATTACACCCTCTCAGGACGATTCATAGGCTCTAGGCCCTTTAAATTGATGTTGCGTTGAACTGTTAGCGTTGATATGAGTGTTGATATGAGTGTTGATTTTGCTGAGAAAGACGTTCTCAACCCTTGATTTTCTTTTTTTTTTGAGTCTATAATATACTGTTAGTCATAACACTATCTTTAATAACAAGGACATGGTAGCCCCAAGTCGGATCTCCGGTGGCTGCCTGCCCCCCGGGGCCATTATCGGAAGGCCATTATCGGAAGACAATGTACCCTTAACAAGCGATGATAGTTGCTATCCCTGTCTTGTAGATGATGCAGTAGTCTACTTAGGAGATAACCTAGGCTAGATGTATCTTAGTATCTTTTAAACTTTGAGACATTGCTATTCCCTACTTACGCATACTGGTCCGATTATAGTCCTAAGCTAGCTCTATATTGTCCGTTTGGCCACTTTCTATTCGAGTAAGAAATGCATTGTATGTGTTTTAACGCCAAGAGCCAAGAGAAACAAGCATCAACCCGCATAAAGTGATCCTCGTTCCATGTTAGGGTTACTATTATATCATATATTATATCGGGACAAAAGCTGTATAGAATGCTAATGTCTCGGACTATACAATCAATTGCGGACCAACCGCCAATTATTCTCTTTCTACTTATTGATGAAACCTAACCTCTTAGCACGTGGCCGGGTTTACAAAGTACTTTGTCGGATTCTTCTCTGTGACCTTAACGGCCCCCGGGGCCGTGGCCCCTGCTTACTCCGTACTGCATACACTACTCTTGAAAGAGTTTGTTTAGGAAAGTTGTTATTGGAAATAATATTGAACTCAATTAAAACATCCCCACACAAAGAACCTTCTCACGATCGAAGACTGAACAGAAGCAAAGAATCAACATTGCACTCACCAAGAGGCGGATTCGCAGCTTCGACCATGACCACAGACTAGGGTGGCTTGGGATGACCTTAACCTGACGAGACACCTTATTCGTTTCAGTGCTCTCAGTATCGTCTCGGAGCACGAGCATTTTCTGCCCATGAAACAAGCCCGAGGCAACCACCTTCTTCAACTGCTTCTGGCGATACTGCTCAATGCTGAGTCCATCACGAACAGCAAACCAAGAGTCCCGCGAGCCAGTCGCAAGCAGTTCCCGCAGCTCATCCTGGAAAGGCGTATAAATCTCTCGAATCTCCTCTGGATCCTCAGATACAAGCTCGGCGAAATCATCCAAAAACTGCAAGAACTGTACAGTAATAACCATATCCAAGCCAGCTTGGAACTCGCGCATAGTTAGACCATAGTGGCGTAAAAGTCCAATCTCCAGGATCTCAATATGCTGCTGCATAGTATGGCGAATGACTGCCAGGAAACGGTCGACAGGAATATCAATAACGAGCTGGCCCTCACCCTGGGACCAGACTTTCCAGAGGTCCTCATAGTTCTTGATCGGGGACTCGGGCTGGAAGTAATAGCCCTGTAAGCGGCGAGACTCTAGGTCAAAGCCGAGCACCATACTGGCTATGCTGGATTCGTCATCCACGTCGGGGACAGGGAGGCTGGCAAAGACTACTGTGGGGTGTGAGTGGGTAAAGACGTCTTCGAGGACTGTCTCATCGTGTAGGCTAACTTGTGTGAAGCCGGTGGTCCCTGGGAGGTAGCACTCTTTCTCGCGATGGAGCTTGTCGCGGCGGCTTTCGATGTGTGTAAGATAGATGTGGTAGTCGATTACGCCCCAAGGATGGCGCATGTAGCGGTTCCCATGAGCCGCGAAAGATGGCTCACCAGAGGGTGTAGGTTGGAATTTTGAGGGCTCGGGAATAGTGGGTTCAGGAACCGTGGGCTTAGTATCCTTGGGCTTGATGTTCTTAGGTTGGGAATCCTTAGGAGGGTTGGGGGTAGTTGACTTAACAGGCTTTGCCCATTTCTTGGGATGAATGCGGGCCATCTCGTCGGCAATCTTGGAGAACTCGGAGAGCTCGGCGATCTGGGGGCTCTGCATGGCTATTAGAATTTCAAGTCTTAACTGCTTTTGGTTGGGAGAGTAATGTTTTGTTTTCGGTCGTAGGCGTTGACGAAGGACTTGATTCGAGACTCACGCTGCTTGGGGCAATCGACAATGATGGTTGTGTTTGGTGCGAGAAACTTTTCACGGAGAACAGAGACAATCTCCTGGATAGAATGATGAATGGCGAAGAGTATGCACAGGAGCAGGATGAAGCTCTTGAGTTCGAGGCGTGAGGTAAGGATATTGGAGATAAGGTCGACGAAGTACTCTATGCTTTCCTCCTCGTAGATGAAGTAATAAAGAATGTCAAATAGGTAAAAAGCGGCAGCGGCTTGAAGGATTTGCACGATGCAATGTACAATCACAAAAGTTATGGATCCAAAACACAGGACAAACCCAAAGCACACAAGAAGTAATATCCAGTCAAGATATGTAGAAAGGTCCTGGATGAAGTTAGTATAGGCCATAAAGAGAGCAATAGACAGGGCAGCTTACACTGTAGAATAGTTGTTTGCAGAGTGTCGATGAACGAAGCTGTGTTAGATAGTCAATTGGATTGTTTGCTGTGTTGAGATAGTTGATGGAGAGGAGGTTCCCTTTTGTACTTCGGAGAGTCCCTTAAATAGATATTGTCTCTCGACAAGCAAGAAAGAAAACAAAGGCATTCTGAAGATGTTTGTCTGGAGCCCTCGAAGGGGATTTCCTTCGAGATTTGATAATAAAAGATACAAAGAACACAAAGGCCATTCGCCGACAAAGTTATTGTCTGGAGAGTTCCTTTTGTTAGATTTTCATATTATTGGACTCGAAATGCAATTCACAATGCTCTTGTTGGTTCTTTATGGCCGTTTATCAAAGGAAAATAGAGAATGATGAAACACGGGAATCAAGTGCACAAAGACTCGATTCGATATTGTAGGAGAGAGCGTAACAAAGAGTCCCCTATATCAATCGGATGGTTCATCGATTGGATAAGTCGATTGTATCAGATCAAAGCAAGCAGAATGGCTTTGGGTGTTTGGTCGAGGAAGAGTTTCATGTAAATATAAACTCGATCCCAGGTCATGGAGACTCGATCAAAGACAGAACAAGACCATTCTGACAATAGAGAGACTTTGCTACCACCCAATTATATCTGGATGCTCACAATATGAAAGACATTGTCTCGGGCTCGTCAACTAGAAAAGCGTCAGCTAGAAAAACATTCCTTCACAGAGAAAACAACAGGTTCACTATTCAAGACGTCATAAACAAAGGCCAAGTCCCGTCAAATTCTCTCGAAGTTTCATTCTTGACTAACCCATATCAGCAAAAATGGGACAGGACAGCGTATTTATCGTACCCTCCGAATCTTTGGAGGGCGAAGAAAATGATACCTGGCTCAGCGTGGGCTCACCTACGCCCTGGGAGGATCCTAGCAACGATCAAGCTCGGTAGATTACCGTGCCTCTTCCTGCAGAAATGGACGACTCCCATACTGACGAATCTATCATGGGACATGCGCTTCATATCATCCGAAATTGTCAGGCCATTGTAAGCGAAGTGGCACAGCATAACCTGGAGGTGATTTGCATCTCGATTCCGGTCCCAGATAGTGCTGACACGGAGACAATGTGGGCTTACGCCGAGGCCGCAGCGAGAAAGTGGCTCGATGAGATTCGTACTGGTATGGTTACTCTGAACCGGGAGATCATCTTCCAAGCATCCCACGGGCTATTATGCCATAGCTGAAAGAGAGAGAGAGAGATAATCAAGCCAGAATTGAGAGACTTGCCTGGTGGAATGTGAGAATTATGTCAAGGTACGTGCAGGAATATAGAAAGGGTTTCAGGTCGAAGGTGTTGCTGTGATCAAAGAATTCAAGTCAGAATGTACCGGTAACTAATTCTCATTGTATATCCAAGTACTGAATACCAAAGTAGTCATGTAACTTATACACAATTCCTATGTACCATGTACCTATGCCTTCAATACCCTTTAACCAAATATAATCCTCCCATTTCTTTCTCTTCCTCTCCATCTCTCTCTTCCCATTTGTTCTACACCTGTCCTGGTTCCTGTCATAAAGGGTTAACCTTCGATCCATCATTTTCCTCTGTCCTGTTCGTAGCAATGGTCTATAACCCCCCTAGCTCTCATATATATAGATCGATTGTCGAGAAAACAAAAGCCTCGAGACCATCTTCCCCTTGTCTTTCTAGAGATGTTGATACAAAGGCTTTCTGTGCAGCTTAATTTAGGGGATTACTAATTACTATACGAATCGAGATAGACCTATGAATATCCGCTGAAGTATAGGGTCATAAACACACCTGGGAACTATACATAGGACAAAGACTATATCTCTAACAAAGACCAAAGCCATTGAAAGAATGAAGAAAGCCATTGTATAAATGCAAGTTCTTTGTAATTTCCTATGCAATACTCCAGATATACCGCATCTTAACTATCATTTTATAACCCCTCGGTGCCCTCGCGCGACTTATTCTCACTGTTACCAAGAAAAGCATTCTTCTATCAAAGACTTCCCTCCATCAAGGACACATCCCCTCACAATAACGGTGAGTCCCCCAACCACATTCAACACCACTAATTAAGATGTCAAGCAAGTTCCAGCCAAGCGTGTACAAAAGCACGAACGGTCAATATTTCGCCGAGCCAGCCGGTCACCGAAGTGACTACTACTGGATTACCGTACATTTCCCTGAAGAAGAGGATCACCGCGGCCTTAGAGATTTAGAAATCATGGTGTATGTAAAGACTATGATTGCAAAAGGCCACTTTACTATAGATGATCACGCAATGCATGGTTTAGGGAAAAAGTGCCTCTCGATCCCTATCAAGCGCGATCCGGACATTCCTCTACCCAAGTCATATACGGCTGATCCTACGCATCCAGATCTTCTTCTTGCTGCAAATCTCGCAGGATATTGGAGGGATCAGATTTACTTGCGGAAAGTTACTCTTGATCAACAAATAATTTTTGCTCAGGCTCGTCGTAAGGTGGTGAGATTGGATGATATGTTGGATGTGGGAGAAGTTCTAATGGATCCCTGGCGTATTTAGTTTTTATGTCGAGGTCGAGTTCATCGCACTCGAAATTCTCAGGCTTGTTATCTGGATGTACGAGTAATAAACTACTTTTTACTTTGTTTAAACATTCCACCATTCCACTTTAAAAGTGTCTGTAAGAATAGGATTCGTACTATAGACATGTCCGAATAGGTCATAATAGCCACCAGGAAAAGAGAGAAAACGTCAAAATCCATGACAGCAAGATAGTATATTGCCGGAGCTAGTGAGAAAACATTCCCTAAACTAAATATTAGAGGGCTAATAATCCAAGTCGAAACTATATCCAGTTTTCTAAAGGGACAATAAGAACAAAGAGAAGTTAAACAGGATTAATATAGAATATCGTGTGAAACAAAGAGAAAGAATATATTCTAGAAGGACATATAAAGGTATTATAGCTGTGAAAGGACGTTGTTATCCCATTGTTCCCTAAAAGACGGATTATTCCTTGGTATATAAACCCTCGGTGTCCTCATCTCGAGTATCTCACCATCCAGCATCATCCAGAGAAGCATTCCCTCAAGCAAACAAAATACACAACCGCATTTTGACCAAAAGACCCATTCAATCCAACCACCATGCCCTTTTATCAGCCAAGTATATTCCAGTCGAGTCAGCTCGAGCACGGCCGGCGATTTCATTTCAGGGACCCCCACAACAGCCAACCAGGTTGGATCTGGGCCACAGTGACTCTTCCAGATACCATGGGCATTGGAACTAGTGACAAGGAGATTATATATCATATATGTGATACCATTGCAGCGGGCTTGGTTACTTGGGGCTATAGTGCAAGACATGGCTTGGGGAATATGTGTGTCTCATTCCCAATCAAGATCAAGACACCTGAGCAAGACCTAGATACGCTTATGTCGCAGGTTGAGGACGCTGCACTGTGGTATGTGGGATTTATCTGCGCAGAGACTATTACTATTGACAAGGAGATGCTTTTCCTGTCCCATCAACCGCCGTCAGATCGTGAGGATCAGCTTCTGATTGAGCCTTTGAGTTGGCATAAGCCGGACCACGCGATTGCGAATCCTTGGTCTACGGTTATTAAGCTACGGGATTAGAGGTGGAATGTATGAAGATTGAAGTATTTGATTCTTTTCCTAGTTTGGTAGATTGATATATCAGATATTTTTGAATGGAACAATGAGGAAACATGGTAACTCGAGAAAACGAGTAGTATAGAAGGCTAGAATTTGCCGTAGTAACGCCAGTATGATACAATTGAAAGCAACCGATAGGTTGTCAGGTCTCTATGCGACTTCAGATCCATCTTGACTGTCTCGTCTTCCTCTCACGCTCTTTCTTTTTCTGCATGAGGTTATATCCACACGCGGCACCAGCCGCATACCCACCCAGATGGGCAGCGTGATCCATCTTCGTCAGCCGGGAGAGAGGCCAGGCGCGGAATAAGAATGCGGGAGCGAGCAAGCTGAAGATCTCGGTGCCGACCAGGCAGGTAAGGAAGACCCAGCCGTAAGTCCAAATATTCTCTTGGAGCCCCTGGGGAAGAATCCACATGGTAAGTTTGTCACTAAGGAGGATTAGTATAGGTATCGCGTAAAAGAGCAGACTGGGAGACAAACTTGAAGTGAGACATGCACCATGCGGCGACGATACCGCTGGTTGCAGCACTGGCTCCAAGGGAGGTCATTCCCAGGCGGCCGAGGATAACACTGCGTGTCAATGAGAAGACAGATCCCATGACGCCAGAAGCGAAGTAGATAGACAAAAAGTTCCCACGGCCGATTTCGTCGTGAACTGTAGAGCAGAAGAAATTAGAAACCATATGTTCTGGTGCTTCTACTAGCTATAATGCATACCTCTGGTTCCCATAAGTCCCAGGACCATCATATTAGTTCCAAGATGTCTCCATGTCTGATGACTGAATGTGCTTCCAATCATACCCAATGCACTGGGATAGAAGGGAACAATCACAAAGTATCGGTTGAGCAGTTTCCACGCGGGAGGTACGTATTTCCATAGCAAAGTCACTGCTACGTTAGCTGCCACAATGGCACCCACAGTAGCCACAGCAGGAGGCACATCCGGCATAAGGCGGTCCTTTCGTGCTGGGAACTCATATTTCTGAGCAAAAGTATAGCAAAGGGCGAGAACCACGATCGAGAACAGAAGCGGAGCGAGCAGCCGTTGAGACTGCGAGTTTAAATATGGTTAACAACCAAACAATTCCACAGAGTGAACCATCCTTACATTGGTAATGTTCATCGACTCAGGACTCTCGTTGGTAGCGGCAATATGATGCTTCTGGACCCAAGCGAGATACGGCCTCTCGATAGGATCCGCACGAGGACGAGCTAAAAATGTCAACACCAACACCTATCATCCAAACTAATCTTAGTACACATACCCTCAGTAAGCGCGG